ATTACGCCAGGAATGCGAGCGGCTTGCATTACAGGTGCAAGAGGAGGAATTTGATAGCATTGGGGAGGATGCAACAGTCTCAAATGTAGTTCAGGAATTTCAAAACTTGGGTAAGTTGAACAGTCAGGTTTGCATTGAGACATTACTTAATTCTTTGCATTATAAGGCCTGAATGGTGAAGAAGGAGATGAAGATGACATGCACGAACACTTTACAGGAGTGCCTGTAGATCATGACTTTGCTCCATATGGAAACAAAACTGTGTGTATATTTATTTGAATCCTTGTAGTAATTTTAACATTTTGACTTGAATGATAGATGTTTTTACTCGATGTTTTAGACAATTTGCCGAGACTGCGTTTGTCTAGCAGTCAGCTCAAGATGATTTTATGGATTATGAGAGAAGTTGGAGCTAAGAATGTTCCTTCCTTCAAAGGTTTTCGTCAGATGCAAAATCAACTACGCACTTTATGTGGGGTTACCACCTCTCCACAAAAGTTATCTCTTGGCAATCACTTTTATGTGAATGATCCTCGTGACATAATACACATGGTAAGTCACACTTCTCTTAAATATTCTCTCACATTTATTGATGGCATGCAGGACTTCGCAAATCCACAAGTGGCACCATATATTAATATTTGGCCAGAGGTTACAGATGGTCCAATTTCAGAAACATGGCAGGCAGAACATTGGAAAGAAGTTCCTCTTGATCTACTTACTCCTGCTGCACGTTCGGCATCAGGGTCCAAGCAGTTCTATGTTAATGAACTTAATGAACTTCAAAATGGTCAGCTTGTGATTCCTATTATCTGGATGCGACGACATGGAGAGCTTTATGGAGATTGTCGTTTAGTACAGAGAATGAATAATAATGTGAGTTAATATAATTTGTAATAACTGTAACTAACCAATTTTTTTGGCCATATTTAGAAGCTGCATGTTGAAGAAGCATCAGAGCTTGTTAGTATTCAACTCTCACAATTTTGCTACAATTATTATGATCTTCTTGAAAAAGCTTCCATTGTATTTGAGGGTCAGTTTCTCTTAATATTAGTCTATTAGCACTACTAAGTTACATATTTTATAGAGCCATTCAAGCAGTATGCAAGCAATATGCCCAATCCTCTCCGTAAACTTGCAGATGATGAGGACTTGGTAACCATTTTTATTCCATTGTGGGCAGACGATGTTTCAGGTGCTCGCTCCAAACAATACCAAAAACACGTCAATGTTTATATGGTCAATTCAAACTTGCCGGGTCGACTGCTTCAGCAGGAATATTTTGTCAAGTTTGTATCTACATCACCGCATGCTTCTGCACCAGAGCAATTTGAAGCAATCATGCCACTTATACAGTATGTTTATTTATACTTGCAATAGTTATAAACTAATATGTCGCCTTATAGAGAAACACACAAAAAGCCAATTCGATGTTTTAATGCTGCAACCAATCGCCATACACGAGTCAGGTTAATTGTGCCTGATTTGCCTGCAGATAATCCCCAGCAGGCCGAAGAAGCATCTCATATTGGTATGAATGCTAACTGCAAATGCCGACGATGTAAGGTAGGAGGTCCATATGAGGTTCAAGAATCAGATGAAGGGTATCATGCATTACATGAAGTAAGCATCATTTGAATGAGATATATATGTGGCTAATGTTTTAACTTTGTAGCCTGGTGAACTGCGAAATGCAACACAGACCAAAGAAGCAATACTTGAGCAACTTAGACTTGCCGCCTTTGGAGTTGCACAGAAGGTTGCAGATCATCAAACTGCATCAGGGGTGAAAGACAAGATTGCACAACATTACATTGAACAACTTATTCAAAAGGCCCACGAGATTAAAGCATCAGAACCAGGTCGTTCATCTGAATCAATTGCTGATCAGCTTGCAGAATGGCTCAAAACAGAGACTGCTCAACCATTTAATATTCTTCTAACAATTTCAAGTAAGTTTCACAAAGTTAGCTGTTTAGTAATTAGACTAACATATATTTTAGCTCTTGATCTAACCCAGGATACTCCAGTAGAGCTTCTTCACACCATATTACTGGGCCTTGTGAAGTATTATTGGCATTCTCTTCACATATCATGGACAGAAGCCAATCAGGATCTGTTTACACTCCGACTTCAGGCAACAGATATTCAAGGACTCAATATTCCACCAATACGCGCCTCTTATATCATACAGTATCGCAATGGTCTTATTGGCAAGCACTTCAAGACAATTATGCAGACTGCAACATTTCATGTGCATGATATTGCATCCCCTTCACAATTCAAGGTTATGAAGGCAATGGGTGAGCTTGGTGCAGTATTATGGATACCAGAGATCGATAATATGGCACAATATCTGGTGAATATTATCTGTTTGATCATATTATTCAATACTAAATATTCTACATTTTATAGGATGATCTAAAAATCTTGATTGATAATGCATTGGATGCATTTGATGATCTTGATCCTGCCCGAATCCTTGTGAAAGGCAAGCTTCATGTTCTAAAACACATTCTGGCCGACATATGGCGATTTGGCCCTGCAGTGCGATTTTCAACAGAAATCTTTGAATGTTTCAATGTGATCTTCTGCATGTGCTCAGTCTTGAGCAATCACCAGGCCCCAAGTCGTGATATTGCTCACAAACTGGCTGATATAGATCGTGTTAAGCATATTCTCAGTGACGGATATTGGCTGCAAGATCATCTACATGTTCAAGCTGGCAAGGATGTACGATCATTGCTCAAACGACAAACAATCATCCAGCATCATTTGGGTTAGACACCCGACAAGCCCTTTATTGCAGGATCGGTCAAAATATATCCACAGCAAAAGTGCAAGACTTGTCATATCTCAGAAACTCTTGCTTTCATGGCAGACAACTATGCAGAACTAGGCCTAACCCCAGATTCCATATGGAGTGATGCCATACATGTTGTTGCTCAATCTGGGGATGTTTGTAAGGTTGGTGCATGGGTGGTTGTAATATCAGAAGTACATTGTTCAGTCAGTCCAGCTCAATATACCTAACTAACTGCTTTATGTCAGGAAAATCAAGCAAATATAATTGGACGTATAGCAGAGATTCTAACTGTCAATGCTGTCTCAGATGCATTAGCATCTTCCATAGTCATATTGGATACCTTCCTTGTAGGTAACTCATTGCATTCCACTCTAGGTATGCCAATTTTGCGGCGACCTTCACCTACTCATAAAACATATCATGTTGTTCCATCCAAAGTGAGTTATATGCAGTTGTATCAAGGGAGTCACTCTAATAGAACAGCGTAGGCCATTCAGTTTATACTGAATGTGCAACATGATTGTTGTACATGTGCCTGTCAAATAACTGCATCACATCCCATCCTTCAGGAAAGAGAGCTCACTAGACGAGTTGCATGCACAATATTTCACAATGATGACAATCACTTCGTCATCAATACCCATGCACTACACAATAGTCATCTCCTGCGATGCTGCCTCCCCTGGACATTGACTGCTCCACAGGCACTTGTTGATGACCGTGTGAAATGGCATGCTGAGCTGGCAACAGTTCTCCGGGTGGACAGAGACAAGAAGCGATCCGAAACCAGGGCAAAAGCAGCTGCAACATGAGCAAGAAACAAGGCAGTGAAGACAGCGCAATCAGTACAAGTCCAAAATGTGGGACCCAGTCTGACAACTGACATGGAGGTGGAACCAGAGGATGTGGATGAAAGCGAGACATCTGACACTGACATGGATATTGAGCGCAGACCAAGGAAGAGGCAAAGAGGCGAGTTGCCTAATGATGATAGCCGCTCAGCGACCCGGGGACAGTCATAATTACTGAAGGACATTGGGCATAATATAGGATTGACATGTTAAGACAGAACATAGATTTATTGAGCAAAATGATCATGCCGACTGTGCTGTTAAGCCTGCTGGAGACTTGAGAGGCAAGAGTTTATCAACATAAGAGCCAAACAGTGCAATGACATTGGCGCCGAGGTCAGACAAGGGTCACGGCTCAGGGGCAACCCAATCTTGACTCAAAATCTCAGTACAACACTTTTGTGCGACATCAAAGCAGCCTCGAGCCTCTGAATATCCTATTGAGCTACCCAACCACCTCGATTGAACAATCTGACTTGAGCATTGTCTGCTCCATAGACCGCCTGTCGCGCCAACATCAGCTTGGTTTTGCGGTGTAGACACATTCCGATGGTGCGGAACCTACTTCCACGACAGGGTCCTTGTCTTTTGTATCTCCCACGCATGATCGGAATCATCGAGGTCTATCGTAGGAGGGAGATAGGCGCAAGGATATGAGAAGCCTATCTCGGGTTTGGCCTGTGTGTGAAATTGTGCTCGCACGCATAGGTGCCTACATGCCAAAGATGGATCGCAAGGATGGCCCAGCGCGGCACTGTCACCATCTGTCATACTCGGTGTTCACAAAACTGGAAAACTGGACAGCGGGAAAAAGGGAGAGCCGACGGAAGGCGCGAAGACCTGGTGGAGCGAGAGAGGTGTACCGAACAATTAATATATACGAGGAACTACAGAGATAGAACGCCCGCAAGTGTAGACTGAGGAAGTATGGACGTACCTGTCAGAATAGGAACCTAAGGAGGGGGCGTAAGCTTGAACGAAAGGTGAGGGCACCGTGAGTCGTGACTGCACAATGTTCGTGAGCCTGTGCCATACATTTACTGGTAAGTCGCAGTACAAAATATCCGATGTCTCTTCACTGGCACAGAGAAAGATATCCTCGGATAAAATTTCCGAGTCGCAGCGTGGAGCTCGGCAAGTTCGTATACTTTCGAATGAGTACTCTTTGGAGAGCCCTAGGTTCGACACAAACCCCTCTGATAACGTCGGAACGCGGATGGTGCTTGGTATGAGACTAACGAGAGCCGTACTGCAGTGACTTGAGGCAACCAAATTATTATTACCGAGCACATGCTTAAAGTCACAGCACTATAGATATTACTTCAATCGCTTTGTAACGTGACCGACTGGCGGAGCGGTTGCGCACTTGACTGTCGTGCGAAGAACCTCATATCCATGTCGTCAGGAGATGCAGGTTCGACTCCTGCGTTGGTCGTGTGCGCGAGTGTGGCATAGCTTTTGCCGAAGTCACCGCATTTTGAAAAAAAGAATTTGCTCACGCCGACCTTCGAGACAATTATAACGACAAACTTATAGTACAATATCGCTACCGAGTTGACGTCTACTTCACTGACTGCGAGTATGTTGTAGAATAGCGCGGGTGAAAGCACACATAAGCGCGTGCGCGAAGTGAATGAAGTGGGACACGCTACAACGTAACCTGCTCATAACCGGTCATGGAGGGCGTAAGCCAATGCACAGAGGACGGGACATAAGTATGCTTGGTACATTACAATGATGCATGGACTCCCGCAGAACTCGCTCTATCTCACACAGACCACAAGGACGACGACGCACAGCGACTCATCGGCGCGCAACGCGCTTCCGCTCTCGTCCCTCCTCTTCAACGTCCATATCGTCCGAGGACACCACGTTCCGATTCTGGTCTTGCACTTGGTGTGTTGGCGCTGCGCCGAGAGCCGCGCCGCGCGTGCTCCGCGTGCGTCGCCGGCTCGTGCCCACAGCCGCGTCCGCGGCGACGGAGGGAGCAGGTGTCGCAGAGTCGAGCATCATGACGTTGTGTCGCCGCTTCATGCCGACTGTCTCGGGCATGATCGCCGCGGGCGATGGCGGTGCGTTCTGTGCGGGGATGATGGCGACGGGAACATCGGGGGTATCAAACAGGCGCGAATTAGTCGGGATGGCATTGAACACTGAGACTTCCTTCGGATTCGAGAGCGCGAATAGCCGGGTCTTGGATGTGCGTTGCAGTGGGATGGGCGGTGCTGGGGACGGGGACGGGGACGACGGCATGGCGGGCGGTGGCATAGTAGTGAGCGATGGCGTTTGTGGAGTGGGTGGTGCGCCCTAAAGAAGCGTGAGACGGTAGCTGTGGATGATGTGATCCTGACTCACCGTCGATGCGCTCGGGAGCTTTGATGCGATCTTCGAGCCAACGCTGGCACTGGCGGCCGGACGAGCACGTTCCTTCTCCCTGTCCTTCTCCTTCTCTTCGTCCTCGTCCTCCTCCTCTTCTCGTGACTTGATGGCCTCGAGCCGTGCTTCGATGTAGTCCATTATCCTACCGATGGTCATACCCTGCCCGGCGGTATCGCTGGACTCGCCCGTGGAAACGCCTTGCTGGATCATGAGGAGCATATCTTGGCACGCCGCGGCGTAGCCTGCATTGTACGCCCGCTTCGACGTGCGCCGGGAAGTGCGGTAAAACGTCGTAAGGCTCAGGGCGGCCGCTGATCGAGGTCAGGACAAGCAACTAGACATGAACAATCGACTCTCACCTTTGAAGTTGTTGGTGAGCTCCTTCTCTGCATTGGCGAGATTGGATGGTGGCAGCGAGCTGGCGAGCATGTTGAGATTGAGCGATTCCATAGTCGAGGACGTCGAGGACGGTGTTGAAGAACGACCGCACACAAGCGCACATTAGAATCAGGATTATGTAATCTACCCGTGACGATCATTTGGGATCTCAGGAGGCCGTTTCTGCTCGAATTGCTACACACTGAGGGCTGTGACACCCCAGCTTGGCTGACTGGATGCCCAAAGTGGCCCCTTTGCCTTGCTCTCACCGGTGCGGGCTGGTATGCCTTCGGGAGGACAGCGAAATCCGCTGGTGGCGTTCCCGCTGTATACCACGCTTCGCTTGTGCTGATCCTCAAGACCTGGGCCTCCGAGTGGCAGCTGCGCTTTAAAAGCCTCCCTGAGCGCCAGCGTCCGATGATGCAATCGCCCGTCGCCGATCCAATACACTCCAGGTAATACACTCCAGGTACAGTACACTATCGCCGCGTTTGGACTACTCGGTTTGCGCTCCCTCCAGCGTGTTCTACCTGTTCACGGCACCTAATTAGGAGCAGTAGCCACGCTGCCTTGGCTCTATCTCTATGCACCGGGACTATGATGCAAGCTGAGTGCTCCGCCGTGTTCGATTGGTGAGGGTTGCGCGCCCTCTGGCGTGGCTTATCTGTTTTTTTCTCACTGTGGGGTCGGGCGAGCCCGGTCGAGCAGGATGTGCGGAGCACTTCTAGGAGCTTTTGGCATGACTGTCTCGCTATAGTTTGAGTTCGGGCGCTCGAGTATTGTTAATGTGCCTCCGGTCGTCGGAAATGTGATAGGTTGATTATGATCATGTCCGCCCCCGGATGTCGACAGCTGGCGTTCCAGTGAATATATGTACTGTATCATCAAACGAGATGCTCACTCGAACTTGGTCGACAGGATCGACTGGAGCGGGAGAGGGAGTGCTCGACGACGCCCGGTTGGCGCCTGTAGTGTCAGAGACCTACAATCAGGTGGGCCAGCCGGAAAGATTCAGATGTCAGCGTACGACAGCGCGGCCGAGCGTGAAAGTGCAGCGCGCACTCGATGGTCAGAGGCGCCCCTGTTCGTTGAGCTTCTTTGACCGGCCTAACCAGGCTGAGCTTGCTGTGACGGTAAGCGTGAGCTCGCCGTCGCCTCGCGGGGAAGTGAACAGGTTGGACTGAGCACATAGTCCACTTCAGCCCTATCGCCGTCCAGTGATGCACAGCGAGGTTGAACGTATCCATATACGCCAAAAGATCAGTTCCTGCAGGATAGGTCCAGATCAAATGTGTTATTACTCGTATACTTGCACGCAGCGGCTCGCGCAAGACAAACATAGTACCAATGCGTCTGAGATTACATACGAGGGTATTCCTGTGAGACCCTGTGGTCCAAGAGTCTATCCTCCAAAGCCAGCTCAAAATACTCCTTTCCTTGTCTAGTTCCCCACATCTCAGTCTTCGAAAGGTCAAAACTACCTTCGCCGAGAGCATCTCCAAAGTCGTCGTAGTCCCAAGTCAGATCTGCCTCACCCTTGACATGTTGGAAGAGACCTTGCATGAAGTGATCTCTGAACAATGCATCAATGGGGCGGAGGCTAGGGTCCTGGATGTGGCTAAGGTCAAGGTGGAGGCCGTCGATATCGGCGTTTCCATTCACAAAAGCAGTGATGCGATAATCATTCTACAATAAGGGCTCAGAGTTTAAGCGGTTGAAGATAACAAAAACACTGACATCAGGGTCTACGCCAAATTCATAATTGTCCCAAGAATCATGCAAGTCGCTCCGCAATGTAATGATATTCTGCACAGAATCGATCTTGGAGGATCCTCCGAGGTACGCTTCGTCCAGAGTATCGGTAATCATGCTGGCATAGCCCTTTCGTAGCCACTAAGAGTTGTTCTTGTCAGCTCGCAAGTGCATGTACAGGGAAGGTAGGCTCACCTCCGTCAAATGCGCTCGCGGGAAGATATGAGCGGCTTTCAGTCGGGAAGATATGAGCGGCTTTCAGTCGGGAATACGTATTCGCTTCCAATCCGGTAATGAGGCACTTGCCGTCCCTAGCGCGCGAACGTAAACGATAATGGTTGTCCTGATAATAGAACTATAACCAATCTGGTCAACGAGATAGTGCGCATGGCTCACTCGGGCGGGAGTCTCTGAGTGCGTAGGAATTCGAGGACGAGCACGTTCGGAAGCTACGAAAACCCTGGTAGGACGACCATCTATGCCGGATATACGTCTTCAGTAAGAACACGAATGATCAGCAAGCCCACCGATAGTGAGTAAAACGTAATGTCCCGGCTGCACGATTGTATCCCCGGAACGCTTCTCCTCGCCAACACGGCGCGTCTCAACATCATATTCGAAAATCGCCCAGTCCACCGGTACGCACAAGACGTTGGTCAACCAAGCGAAGAAGGTGACCCAAGTGACCCTGCCATATTGCCAAAACCCTGTGATTGTCTCGCTAAGTTTGCGAAAACTGAAGTTTAAGTTGGGTTTAGGAGCCGTACCTGCGATAACAGAGTTTTCAGAAGTGTACACCTCCACGTTCCTGCTGGGTAGTCGAGCAATCGTGTTATGTCTGTTAGGGCTGGTGGTTTCCCAATCAGGAAACATATATTAGTCAGCACATAGGTATGTCGGAGAACATACTGGAATCTCCTAGAATTACTGTGTAGTATAAATATATGGCCCCAACCGCATGAGCCCCTCATGCGCTTGTGACCCATGGCCTAACAGCCGAGTGAGTAGTAGTGATCAACCTCACAATAATGTCCGGGGGCTATATCCATGCCAGAAGACAAGATCCCGAAGGCCTTGAACAATCATGAACTTCAGGGTAGTGGTTCGGAGATACTTAGACAGTTGCCAAACTGGGAATCTATTTTCTATAAAGAATTATTTAAATGTCACGCGGAGTCACAGAGGGCTTCGCTGCCCAGTTTGGCAACTGTCTACGTCCACTGATCTCGCACCTTCCTGTGGCATGCGCCCCTGAGATTAATCCCCTCGTGTCCTCAACTGAAGGTACGGGTTCGTTTGATGAGTCGAAGCAAAGTGTCTACAAATAGCACGATATCCTAAGCAAACTGTACACGGTAATATAGACAGTGCGGATCTCTGATACTGGCTCGCATCACGTTCACAGCAAGTCCCGCTCTGCTTTTGCCTTCGCTGCAGCCTCGAGTTCTGCAAATGTCCCACTCTTGAGGCACATGTTGCGGAAAATGCCATTTTCTTTCTGGATGAGATTCAGCGGCGTGTCGAATTCTACGAGTTCACCCTTGTCGAGAATGAGGAGACGGTCGTAGTCGATGACAGTCCGTAAGCGATGCGCGACTGTTATCGATTTAGTTAGCACCAGCAATAGCCAGGAATTTTTCACGGATGTACCGGTCAGCAAGAGCGAGTCATTGAACTCCTCTCGAATAGTCGCCTGGATCTTTGCGTCGGTGGCGAAATCGATGCTGCTCGTGGCCTCGTCGAGAACAATGATCGAGCTCCGGCGGAGCAAAGCCCGTGCCATCGCTATGAGCTGTCTTTGGCCTTGAGAGAAGTTCGTCCCACCCGCAGAGACCTGTGTATCCAGCGTGATGACCGTCTTGCCTTCCGTCTCGGTTGCACTCATGGATACAGACGCAATGGTGCCTTCTCGTTCTATAATTGACGCCGGACGCGAGGGCTCGCGCGATGACTTTTGAGACTCCAACTGGCTGTCTGTCAGCATCTGGACACGGTACAGTACGTCGAGGCATTCGCTATCCTCGTGTTCGCCTGGGAGTAGGAACAGTCAGTACTGATTGTCTCACATCACAGAAGCTCATCCATTCACCGAAGGGATCAAGGTTGTCTCGCAGCGTTCCCGAGAAGAGAGTAGCATCCTGGTTTGAATTGTTGAGCATCTATCGGGTTAATTTTGCCACCGCCAGACGTACCTGCGGGATAAATGTCTGAGAGTTCGGCAGTCAGCGTGATCGCACGACAGCCCTCGTACTGTAATGACTCACAATTCTTGAGCGGAGGTCATGAAGTCCAATGCTGGAGATATCAACGCCATCAATTAGAATACGCCCACTACTCGGATCAACCTGGTCGAGAGAAAGAGCGTTACATAACGTTCACCCATATACGGAGCAATTCAACTCACGAAACGCAGGATGCTCATCGCAAGTGTCGACTTCCCACTACCTGTTCTCCCCAACAGTCCAATCCGCTCCTTCGCTTTGAGAGTGAACGAGACACCGTGTAAGATCGCAGGAAGCTCTGGCGAATACTTGATAACGAGATCTTCCACAGCAATCATTGAGTCCTTGTTAGGACTCGAGGACGACGGCCAGTAAGCAGGAGGACGGTTTGATTCAATAACAGCGGGTGGCTCCTGAGGAAGATCCAAGTATTCAACAACTCGTTCTACGGAGCTAAGACACAAATTGGCTTCAGTTCCGAAACATGTAATCAGGAGACGGAAACGTACTTGAGGTCGAGCTCCAAGGACGTCCAGAAACGGCATGCCCAGTAGACACTGGTAGTGAAGGACATGGCTGATGTGATGGAGACACCAGCAATACCTGCTTCGACATAGCCTGCAAGTGCGAATAACGTCGTCGCCAGAACAGCGCATGCGTTGAGTAAATCGAAATACAAGGACAACCACCTGTTAGTCATCCAGAAGCTGTACCACATCTAATGAAATGGGCGTTGTTGGATCAGTGAAGTGAAAGAAAGCTCAAAGAAGGAACAGAACTAACTTTAGTGGTAAGATCGACTTTGGTGTAAAGATCCTCTAGGAAATGCTGCTCAGCGGAGAAGGCGCGCACTGTGACAATACCTTCCAGCAATTCGTTGAAATTTGCGAAGATTGGGCTGCGCGTGACAGACTCCATACGACGGAGATCACGACCAGTATGGAGGTATCCAATGACTGCACGGCGATAGAAAAAGCTGAGGATTGAAGCAGGGATGATGAAGAGCGGAAAGACGACGCTGTGACCTAGCGTATGAGCAAAGGGGTGTATCGTGATACTGAGGACGATCGGCATACACTACTGTGATTACAGATGCAGCGAAACTCGCCAGCGAAGTATTAACGGCCTGCAGTGAACTCGCAAGGGAAGAATCCACCGTTTCTATATCCTACCAGCGAAGATTTCTAAGTTGAGACAACGGATGCAATGCAAATCGACCCACCTTACTGAAACGATTCAACTTGCGGCCTAGCGTTGAGATGCCTATAAGTGACGTTTCCACCGTCATCCAAGAAATAACTGACCTTGCGGAGTGACATCATGCCAACGCATGGGAGCTCTCACGACCGTCCTCAACATTTGCCCGAACAGAACTCGCGAAGCCCTCAACGCTCCGGTATACTGGGTAATGACTGCGGTGATATTGACTAGGCCAGTGGATAATGTAATGGCCAGGTAGATGCCAACGTAGAAGAACGGATGCTGCTGAGCAGGAGGCCAGTTGATGCCGAGGAACTTGCCCGGAACGGAGGGAGCGACTGCGTTTTGCACGAGTTGGAGATTGTGATACGACTCGTCCATGAGCACGTCATGGTGGGAAGTCGCCCAAGGCTTGTACATATACATAGAGGTGGAGTTTGGTGCACCGTAGGCCTCACCCCACACCTAGAGAAATGGATGTTAGCTCGGCTGAGCCAAAATAAGGGTCGTGAGGTTACCTTGATCCAGAGCTTTCCTGAGACTCCGAGGAACTACACGAATGGTCAACATAATCGCCAACGATATAACGTGATAATACATACTTGGGTCGCAACAACTAAAGTGAACAGAATAATCCACGTCCAATAAGATCTGCGCATTATTTAGTCAAGGCAGAAGTATGACGTGAAATCCACAACGTACGATGCCTTCAGATAGGTATTATAGATGGACCACTTGACGCTGCCAGTTTCTCTCTTCTCCTCCTCCACCAGCTTTCTGGCGGACTTTGGTTTTGCTGCTTCCACTGCTGTCTCAGGCGAACCTTCGGCATCAATTTCTGCATTGGGGTTTCCCTTGTTCTCTTCCTCCTGCACTTGCTGTTCTTCCTTGTGAGCTTCGACTGATTCATCATGAGTAATATAATCCAAAATGCCTTGGGCACGTAGATCCTTGATCATGCCCTGCATATCTATCCGCCCATCTAGCATACGTACAAGGTAGTGCGCTCCGGGAAGGACGAGCTCGACATGATGGGTGACGAGGATCTGACAAGAGACTGAGCCATTCGCTCGTGGAAAGTTAAGATGAACGTACCACAGTACGGTGTTCCAACAGAGGTCCGCACAAGAGCCGCTCGACCAAGAAGCGCGCAGTGTGACTATCCTGTTACGACCACAGGTAAATCGTGGTTGAGGTCACAGTCCGGTAGCACTCACCACTGCACTCAAAGGATCGTCGAGTAGGACGTACTTGCTACGCTACAAACCGAGTATCGTTAACTACTGCCGAAACAATACACCTCAAGCGACGTACCGCATACACTGCACGTGCGAGCGCAACTCTAAATAACACTCAGCCGTCATCGCAGTGCAGAAGTGAAAAAGCACATGCTCACCGGGCCTTCTGTCCACCGGAAAGACTGACACCCCTGCATGCAATTCGTCAGTGCAATGTCATGCAACCAGAGCTAGTCATGACTCACCGAGCGCCAATCTCTGTCGCGTCTCCATCTTCAAGAATGCTCAGGTCCGTCTGCAGAGCGCAGCATTCGATGACTGCATTGTAACGCTCCTCGTCATAAGGGAACCCGAAGATAATGTTGTTCTTGATCGATTGATGGCGCAACCATGGAGATTGCGCCGAATACGAGATTGTATGCGACAGACCGTGTTCATCCACTTTCGACGGGTTCTTCGACATCACGATGCGGCCTTCCAAACGTGTCAATTCACCCAGCAATGCCATCTAGCCCATTGTTACCAATCATTGATGCCTGTGTCAAGAGCGAGGGATGTTCGACGTACCAAGAGTGCAGTTTTCCCGCTCCCAGTCGGTCCAGTAACGACGGACAGCTCGCCTTCAGGGAACATGACGTTGATGTCACGCAACTCAAAGCGATGATTCATGTCAACAGCCAGGTCACCTTCGGTATCTCCTGCAGAGGACTGTCCTTCGACGACTGTGTTCGTCTCGTCCGACCCCGAGTCGAAAGGTGATCTCCGCTTCTGCTTTCCGTTCTTGTCCTTGCACTCGTCTTTCTCCTTAACTTCGTTCCACTTGAATGCGCCGTTGACGATGCCAAAACCCTCTTCTTCGACGTCTGTGGGCTTCACGTACTTGCGCTTCAGTGAAGATACTTGTTCGTCGACTTCTTCCTCTCCCAGATATGTCGCGATACGATCCAACGCGACCTTCGCCTGGATTGAACATCGCGATAAGCGAATAATAGAGATGGTTATTACAAAGTCTGACGCACCTCTAGAGCCTGGACTATCCAAGCCGGAATGGTATTGAGCGGTACCCTGGATGGTTTCGTCAGCATGCATCTGAGCATCTACAGGTGAGCACCAACTGACCTGATCATGGAGAACAGTGTGATAGCCTGCGACAAGTATTAGATGAAGACTCGTGTAAAAGAGGAACAAACGTACAGCGAACGCTGTGCCGACTGTCAATTCATTACCCTGCAGAACGTACACAGTGAACGAGGTGACGGAGAGCAAAATCGGGGCAGTCGTCCAAATAAGAGAGAACATGACGTTGTTCACTCGGGCTGAATACGGCCGTCAGCATCAGAGGACGAGAGCGTCTTGCTCAGACACACATTTCACCATCCACTGCATCTCAACCTCACGCGCATCCATTACGCGTTCGGTCCAACGCTCTTCCCACGCAAAAAACTTGATGAATTTGACCTGCAAGAATGAAAGATGGTTTGCTCACTCAACAGAAAGTGTGATGACGTCCTGAACATACCGCCCCAATCAACTCGTTCAGGACACTCATCCGCTTATCGCGCGCCGTGGAGACTCCCTTTTGGATGCGCACAGCACGTTTGGCAACATGATTGTTAAGCGGCCAGCCGACTACCAGTATAATAAAGCCAGCAAAGGCCGAAAGGCCCATGAGTCTGTATTGCAACACATTAGATTCAAAGTGCACATCCAGAACATATGCGTACTCACTGATACAGGAATGTGCTTGCGACTACGATTTCAAAAGGAGCTTCGTGACGGATGGTTCAGCAATCACTATGAGCAAAGTCAAGAGTAGGTCTTACCACCATTTATCATGTACATGCTGGATATCACATTTGCGATCTAAGTCATAATGAGATCATAAAGGCCGGAATTCCAGAAGTCGCTTACCCTGCCAGCATCACCCGCCATCAAGTTCACGATCTTGCCAATATCCGCGCCCGCTTTGGGATCATCAACGTTAGGATCTTTCTTCTCGGCTGGTTTAGCTGTCGCACCCGTTAGCGGATTATGCTGGTAGTTTCCGAATATCACTTACCGGGCTCGGGAGCTTTGCCCTTAGCATCCTTGGCCTCCTTGGCCTCCTTCATCTTTTCCTTGTCAATGATACCAGAGAAATCTTTCCGCTTCAGCGCCTTATCGTAGATTGCAGTCATAAGTTCCGAACGAGCACGAATGCTCGCATGGCGACTGTACCACAGGTGCTGCACATCCGACTCAGCCTGTACAGCGGGCATCAGCACCGACAGCGTTTGCTGGCACGTTTGTCACCTACCTTGCAGAGCGTGGACAGGAAGGCGAGGAAGGCGAAGACGCATGCAATCGCGTGCATCTCCGACGTCGGATCCGAACGCGAGTCGAGGGCATCCAGAATCCTCTTCAGGAAGAACGGCCCCGCGTAGTTGAAGACGATGCTCACTATCGCGAGCACCGCGTCGAGGATTATGTCCTTCGAGTTTGTGGACCACAGGCGACGCAAGAGCGACAAACTCTTTGACCTCATGAACTTGATGTACAGAGGGCGCGCCTGCATCGTCGGGCTCAGTGCCCACACATCGTCTTCGCTAAGAGTAGTAACAGTTCCCTGCACGGAAATCAGTACGCGCGGCGCCCATGCAAAAGGTGAAACGACGTACACGATCGATGAGGGGCATCACCCACATGAACGACGCCCAACCCCACAGCGTGGTGTAGTCCTCGGGCGAAACGGACTTCCCGATTTCTGCCTTGTTAACCCGCCGACTCGGGATCGCGAGCGGCATGTTAACTACGACCAGCAGTAGCAGTGCGGCTGCAACCAGATCCGCAATGTACGCAGCCAGTGCCAGTGGAGAGGGAAGCGGGAACCCATACACCGCGTGGTCAAACAGCACGCCGCCGAACATGAGTAGGCTAAGCACGAAGCGCATGAAGAAGAGTATGAACAAGTCGCTTGGCACAGTCGCGGTCGGAGCGACGACAGGCCGGCCAGCCGCATAGAACCACGAGAATGCAACAAGGAACGCGTACATAGCTTTCCAACGCTCCTCCGGCTCGAGGTACATCGCGCGGGCGCAAATGCCGAGCCAGACGAGCGTCTCGACCACGGCGACGAAGGCCAGCAGGACGCCACGCCAGAGCGGAGCTGGCGAGGCTTCTTTGAGGATCTCTTCCTCGGACACGTCTTCCCCCGCGTCAAGGGCCTCCGCCTCGGGGAGACTCATGAATTCAGTGAACGGTCGCTTGATGGCATTCACCGTACTCCGCAGCAGAGTAGGAATTGGGACCAGCGAGAGCAGCACAAAGGCTACAAACCCAGCAGGGAGTACAGCAGACCAAAATTCACGAGAGCAAGGGCTCGCGAGCGCGTACAGCTCGCGCGCACCACCGCTACAAACCTTCATACTGGAACAAGGAAAGCTAAGGTCATGAATGAAAAATCTAGTTTGGTGAGGATGCACACCTTGGATTGCTGCTGCCTTTCGGTAGGTGGTTCTGACTGTGAACTGGACCCCCTCCCAGCTGGTAGTGGGCAGATAGGTGACCTTTGTGCTGTCCATCGTCTTAAGTGCGAGAGATCTCAGCGTCTGATACTCAACTTGCCAGCGCAAGTTCAAGATTTCGCGGAATGGATCATGACCAGGCTCACGGGCAGAGAAGTCCTATCATCGTTTTCCGTGTGAAGATGATATTGACGCTGTAGAGTTCCCAGACCAACCACATATAAACTATCTGGTCACACGACGGAAACATTGGGAATACTCTCATGCATGCGGTGCGGGCCCGTTCAAAGTTCGAATTGAGAGCTTCCTGCGGGAGATGTAGCCGTTCCATGGTCTTGTACCCCGCAATCGAGTAACGAACTCTATGGCTGCCCCAAAAAGAAGACAGCATGTATTTAGTAGAAGTGCGCTGCGTTTTGCGAGAATGTTTGAGACTGCATTTTCGAGCGATACGCCCAGAGTGATAGGCACCAATGCATTCGAGTGTCGAAGGTGAGCAACCTATACCATCGTGTGCGGACTCCAACATTCGGCGGCGGGTTGATGCTATGATAAAGCACTGACGCTTCTGTGTCATGATAATCGTATTCCGGTGAGGACATCGTGGTGATAATTATGAGGTCCAGCAGTATCGGATATAAATACAAACCACGTACATTCGACTGACCTAACAGCCTAAGCGTTTTTATGATAATATTTGCCTGTTCGAGGAGGGCAGTGCGCACGAGCTTGGAGGGTGAGTCCTGCGGTGAAGACGTTCCCGTCTAGTGAAATTTGTTCCCAAAGTTTCACACAGCTCCAGGTAAGGCCGATACCATGACTTCTTCCAGCATCATGAATTCTCGAGAAGCGCTTCGTTAAATTAATTTGTCAACGCAAGAGACTCGAAGCAATTGCGTGCGAAGGAACCAACATACTCTTAGTCGTCATTCGAGCTTCGTGTCGCGGACTTCAAAGCCTCATGGCTTAATGAGAGGCCAAGTCAGTAAGGCTGTCATGTCAGTACGACGGTAGGTACTACATGGGTCCGACGTCACCATTGGAAACAGTAAGAGTTGAGGACCCGTTAAATTCAGACTTTAGACATCGCGTCGATGTTAATCGCATGAATGAGTACTATATATGTACCTTGCGAGGGACTTTCGAGCGACGAGCTCGCCATCTGTGAGTCGCGACGAAGATCAAGGGCGGAACCGACGCTGACTCAGCGATCAATTGCACAAAACGTGCCCACATCGTTGGTCTGTTTACACGATGTACTGAACACTTACTTGGCCGTGAAGAGAACCCTGTTCGACCGTCTTATTATCAATCAACAACGTCACATTGATCAGAAGTTGTGCAGTCGTAGTGCAATCTTCAAGACCCATTTCCGGAAAGCCGCAACCAGATTCAGCCACCGTACTTTGAGTGTTTGGAAAGTTGTTGAGTATATCCAGTCGTCTCCTAAATCCTATCGAAACCGGAGCATAGAGCTCAAACGAACGGGTCGGGCGTGATTCCAGTTGCCAGTATAGGGTGTGTTCACCGTTCCCTATCGATTCCGTAACACCTGAAGCCTTTTGTGCTAGTATTTTCAATCAGACCTGAGACACCTCGTATACACGCTGTGAAGTTGATTCAACATGCAACCGTCCTGCTCAAGCTTCGTGATAGGTCTGCCTTTTCGCATTTGGCTTTTCTAGATATGATTCGACAGCTAGAGTGTGAAACATAGACGACGATGACGCAGATGGTTCGGAAGATCCAGAGTTCGCAGAAAGTAGCGACGACGAGTACGAAGCCGAAGATGACGGGTCAGAGGAAGAGGAGTCTGAGTCTGAGGAAGATGAAGCGACGAGTGGAAGGGCCGGAACGCTCTCAATGGGCGATTCTTTTGCAGAAGTGCGTATAGAAGGAGATTTCGAGTGTGTGTTTCCCATAATTCAGAGTTGAGCAATTGTATTAACCTGTTTTTCCAGCCGTCTTGTCCAAAATATTCGCGAGACTCGGGATGGGTCCAGTTCCGGTATGCTCGGCAAAGATTGGGAATTGAATATCGAGGAAAAAGAGGCCGAATTTCTCAACGACTTGCGTGCGGCATCTGGCGTAGGTCGTACCAAGAAAAGGGCGAGTGTTATTCTGTAGCCATAGGACTCTCTGGCGAGTGGGCTGGACTACTGTGTGGAGTGCAATTAGTATATTCACCAGTGAGCGGTGGCCATCGTCTTCTGGGATTGGCGAACACATTGGTTGTCCTTTCTGCCACAGTAGCACGCCTGACTTCGCTGGACGTTCCATACTTACTGGTGTTTTGGAAGAGCGTCCCGTACTGATCCTTATAAAAGCACGGGAGACATCCGGGACCAGTGCTGTCTCAAGAAGTCCGCCTCCTCGTCGGACAGGGGAATCACGCATACGTGGATAACAATATCCCCGAGACCATGCGCGTAATGCAGGAGGTCATCCGCATCGAGCCCCGCGCCTCATCTGCATGGTCCGTCCTTGCGCAGTGTTATGAAGACTTGAATGAGCCGCAGAAGGCGTTGCAACTGCGCATTATGGCGGCGCACCTGACCCACGATGCGGAGGAGTGGGATCGACTAGTGAGGCAATCGATGTTCGTATTTCTGTGCGCCGTTCATGTGTCGCTGAAAACGCATGTCTGTTGTCTTCGCTCAGGGCCCTTGGATACAACCAACAGGCGCTGTATTGCTTCGGAAAGGTGTACAGCCTCGATCCAAGCAACGTCAACGCGCTATGGGATCGGGCGACACTTGCAAAAGATATTGGAGAACTCAAAACGGTAGGGCTGTCGCCATGCGAAGTAGCCAAATCCTGGTTCAAGTTTGAGTCAGGCACGCCAAACGCTTCTTGCGATATTGAAACGCTTACCGCACCATCTCATTGTCCTGGACGAGCTCCGTCCCATCCTGATCGAGCTGTCCGACCTCGCCCTGTGCGCATCTCTCTTTGGGGATGCCTTCGCACATTATCAGGTTACAGTTCCGGCGGGTGTCGGATATGACGCCGAGCAGCAGCGAGAGGTTCCTGGCGGTGGATTTGGCCTGATGTATCTGCTTGTCCTCGCCGACTTGTACAACACGCTTGGGGAGTATGAGAAAGCCGTGGAGACTATCAGGAATGGGTGCCGCTGGCTGCAGGGAAGGGGGCAGCAGAAATTTTGGGACGTTTGCGATGATGATCGCGAGTACGATACAACGGAGGGCATGAGGGGCGCAGAAGGCGAACTTCAGCCGGGGATGTACCCACTGGACGTCAATGCGCGGCACAGGTTGGCTATCGCGAGGATCAAGATGGGCGAAGTGGATGAAGGAAAGGTCAGATCATCTTTCTGCCACGGAGAGTGTTCACGTCTTCATCTTAATTCTCGGATGCATGCCAACATTGTACTATCGCAAGACGTCGCTGAGTACGCCCCGCTGTTCGCCGAAATCGCGGATGCATGTTTTGAGCGTGGGCTATATGTCGAGGCAGGTCACATTTATGAGACCCTTGGGAGAGATGCGGGGGTAAGTGGTTGATTCTTCGTGATCTTTAGTCGGTGGTGCGATGCGAATGTCCTGCTTATGTGCACTGGATGGAACAACAGACGAGCAGTCTCTACGTACTTCTCCAAGCTGCGGCGTGCCGACGTATGATGGGCGATATCAAGGAAGCCGCCGAAGTATACGAGCATAGTGGGTTTTAATGTTCTCAAGAAAATGCTCATCTTCATACTGGAACTTTCACAGTCATTACCGCAGATCCGACACACAACGAAGCCAAGATGAAGCTTGCCGAAATCTATGAGATTCTCAACGAGCCGCGAAAAGCTCTCGACTTAGTGCTACAGGGTGAGCGTAACTTCTTGCCGAGGCCTTAGCGAAGAAGTTGACGACCTCTGCCAGTCATTGATTCCCGGAAAAAGCGGCCGCGTCAAGAAGTCACAGAGGGCGGTGAAACAGACGATGCTTCTACTTCACTTTTCGAAGAGAAAGCCCGGGCCAAAGGGAAGAGTGCATCCGCTAAAGCCGCGAACAAACTCACTCCAGCGCAGCTGCGAGAGCTTGAGGCGGTGAAGGAGCGTGAAGTCGTGCAGGGATTCCACAGGATTAAAGAGCTCTGGGCAGGCATGCTCGCAGGCGAGGAGGCGGCAGAGCGAGAGTGGTTGGTCGAGGCGGAAAAGCTGGTCGAGTCGTTTAGGGAAACAAGGAACTTATTTCTCACTACCAGGGTTGGTCTAGCATGTCCTTCTGCGGAGATCGTGCTTATTCCCTTGTGTGATCTAGCATTCAGGATTCAGGGGGATGTTCCCTAGAAGCTCCAGAAAGCAGACGGCGGAAGCGAGCGAAGAGAGTATGGCGTCTCGCCTGCAGCTCGAGCTCGGTAAGCTCTACGCTATGCGATCGAGCCTTTCACTGCAATTTGTTGAGCAGGGCGGGATTCTATTACGCGAAAATCTAGGGCGGAAGGTGTCGACACCTTCCGCACGGTATCATTTGACGACTGGCTTCGGTTGTTCATGCACGTTGAGTATTATCACCTACAGCGTCTCCGTCGCCTTCTGATTGCGTCAACCATGTTCAGTATGCATTCTTGCTCACGAAACGAAATCAATACGACCAAGCAATTGAAGTTCTGCGCCATATCACTTATTCGAACGCGTATCAAAGTAGCGCTTCTCAGGACACGATACGACTTGCGCTGATAAGTGAGTTTTCCAATGCGGACCCGGCCTGCTTTGCCTGAACAAGTTATAATTCAGCTTGCGCCCTCCGTGCTGATAAACACATGACCGTGGTCGAGCAAGCACGGAAGCTCATCAACGGACACCAGTTCAATAATGAAGCTCTTCGTATACTAGTCGCTTCGCTAGGCGGCGGTTTGCATGCGACAGATGCCTTTCTGGCATCGACCTTGACCAAACATTTGCAGCGCGAACTCAAGCTCGCAGATGCAGCAGTGAAGAACAAGGATGTGCTCAAATGGAACAATACTCTGCATCGATATGGTCTGGGCAGTGCTTCCTCGAAAGTAGACGCAGATGACGTCGACGACGAAGATGACATTCCTGGTGAGAATTCTCCTGCAGACTCGGAGAAGAGCCGGCGTATGCCAACGAAAGACAATCCTATCGGTGTTGCGATTTACGGGCAGATCTGTCAAAGAGCTACCGAAGTGCTCTCTGTGCGTGTTATATCTAGTTTGAATATTTCGGCGTGGCTGATTTGAAACCCGCTAGTTTATCTGTTGCATGCCTATGACTACTGCCCTGATGATCCTATGATTTGTCTTTGCGCGGCTATCGCTTCGCTGGGGCGTGCAATGCAGCGTCAGTCGGACAACCGTCATCATCTGATCGCACAGGTTGGATTACCACACTTGCTAGCTGTTCGCTAATTCAGCGACGGGTTCAATAGGGGATGGCATTCCTTACTCGCTATCGTACACTGCGTGGATGTGATGCCGTCGGAATGGACGAGGTGGAATTTAATTTCGGACGGGCGTTCCAGCAGCTAGGTATTATGTGCCATGAAATGACGTCATCATCCGCACAGGACTGCATTCTCTCGCTGTTCGCCATTACGAACGAGTTTTGGAGATCGCAGAGGAGAGGCTAAAAATCAACGATCAGGTATGTAATGTATGCCTTGCCTTGTTGTTGGCCTCCCCATCTTCTTCTCCAGGACTTCGGGCTCGCCCGAGAGGCTGCGTACAACCTGTCTCTGATTTTCGTAACCACGGGTGCGACAGCTCTGGCCCAAAACTTGTACCGTCGATGGTTGTCCATATGATCTAGTTCTGTAAGTTATTCATAGTGTTATTCCATTTGTATCACTAGTCGCCTCTGGCCTGGAGCATATTCGTATCCATTGCATTGTAAATTGAACCAGGTCGCCAAATGTATGCGCGCCGATCAAGAGGCTGGCGAAACCGTTGTAATTCGAACTTGTGCGCTTCTTCCAAGCAGCAGATAGCGCTTGTACCATAACTCGACCTCCCTCCCACACTGATCATATTCCATCCAACTTTGAATACACGTTCATGTCTTTTCTTTCTGTCCCAACTATCTCGAATTTGGTAAGTTACTCTTCGCTCTCGCAGCTAATACCTACACCTAACCACGTCCCCTCTGGACAGCCGACGTTGTCGGAAAGCGGTACGGGAGACTCAGCAGACCCGTCGCCCCTTCCGTCTGGTCTCTGTACTCCAGGGGAAACTTACTTGCATTCCGGGGACGATATCTTGATCGCATCGAAGATCCCGTTCACGGATGATAGGTTCATTGTTGCTCAGGACAAATCCTTGCAAGTACAACTAGAACAGCTCCGCGATTCGAAGATCAAGGCGAAGCCTTTGTCCCGCGTCGTCTCACAGGCAAAGAAGCTGGCAGGTAGGGCACTGAGTGTGCGCAAGGCGTTCCGGAAGGTTCGCTTGCATACTTCAATATTCCGAAAATGCACGATGTGCTTAAGCGCGTTTTCTCAGTCTTCTGAGACTCTGAATGCCTCATTGTCCTCGTCCTCTCTTGGTCCAGATTTTCCTGGAGGCTGGAAGGCGGAAAGAGTGACGGTAAGCCCTATGTTACCTCAATAAAATTGAATATTAAACAGTCTATGTATAGCAAAGCGAGGCACGTCTGTCGATTTCTTCTTCCCAAGAGATTGTCAGTCGTATAGGAGCAGGAAGGGAAGACGGTGATGAGGTTCGTTCCGAAGTAACTTTAGTGTGACTTATTCTGAACTCTGGACAAGAGCATCGTGCAGACGCACTCATCCAGCGATTATCACCCGGAGACTCTGGGCAACTACAGTCACGTCGATCCCGACGAGCTTTTCAACTTTTTTGAGGAGCTTCTGTCTTCAGACACTGCGCACGATTCTTACTGGAAATTGCCAAGTCTCCACACGGCCACCAGCACGATCCTGCGAATCACCTTATTTCTGCCATGGTGCGCTGCGGTTGGTGGCACGGTCCTCCTTTCTCCGCAACATCTCGAGCTGGTTGCATTCACTCCCGGGTACATAGCCTCTCCAAAGGGACTGCAGCGCTTCGCCCACTGGACGGACTGTGCAACCCACCACGTCTTCATCTTCCTCGCATGCATCATCGCGCTCGCCTTATGGGACGTCGCTTTGGGAACGGCTGTAGCGGGTGTTGCACTTGCGCGGTTCATCTATGTCTGGAGCGACTTCCGAGTTGACGCCAGCGTGCCGCTAGGAGAGGATGACAAGCAGAGCGTATATCTCGCGGTGACGCAGGCGTACATCAACGACGGAGATCTGGTTTTTCGCACTTCGAAGACAGACAACCACGAGGGGAATCGTCTGCTAGACGGAGATGCGATGGATGAGGAGGGCGAGGAGGAAGAGAGGCCGCTTGTGAGTTGACTTCCACCTGCTTGCTAGGAGAGCGAGATTTCTTTGATTCTCATTCTTAATGTGTTGAATATTATGCATCGCGACTCGTTTAGAATGTCAATAACGTGGAAAGTTTTACTAGAATATCTGTCTGTAATAAGTAATATAAGCTACATTCTCGCCGCGTGTCACCTGACCGTGTCGCGTAACGCCCTGCCCTGAACGGCCACGAGTAGTGGCCAGAGCGGTGCAAGCTGTTCACTTTCTCCGCAGACCTACTACAACGCTATGGCAGACTTCGTCGATCTTACCGTCATCGATGATGATGAGCTCGATCTCTTGACACCGACAAGCGCGACTCTGAACTCATCCGTGGCGTCCGCCACGTTCTACTCTGACTCGTCCTCTTCCGAGAATCGCGCGCTCAGACCACGCGTCGTGAGCACGCCATCCACCTTAAAACCTGAAAAACAGAAGCGCAAAAGGACTTGGTCTGTTTCTGGACTCGAAAACGAAAATGTAAACGCAAAAGGGAAGCGGTCGAAGTTGGAAGACAGGAAAGTGGTGAGTGTGTGCCGATGTTGTGTATGACTGGATAGTAAACGCGATCCAGCTTACGATTACAGTAAATGCTGCAAAAGTGTCTGCAGAAACAGCCAGAAGACGCTGGCTTCATCGCTATCGGGATCTCTTCATTCCGCTGCTGCCCAAAAGTACATTTTTCGATAACTTGCGGAAAGAGGTGGAGGCATCAAGAGATAAAACAGGTCATGTACCTCTTCATGAGATTACCGAACAGCCGAAGCTCGTCAAAGGAGGCCAAATGAAGGACTATCAGGTGGGCCAAAAATTATGTCTCTGAACGATGACTCACTTTATGCAGTTACACGGCCTGTCTTTTCTGGCTTGGATGTTTGAAAACGGTAGCCTCAGTGTTGTTCTCTGTGCCATCCGATCCATTTCTCACATATATCTCAGGAATGAATTGCATCCTTGGTGACGAGTAAGTTCTGTGATTCACGCAGATCTCCACTGCGAGTACTGAGCATTCGTACAGGATGGGTTTAGGAAAGACACTCCAGGTGAGTAAACTTACTGCACCCGTTTGTCTGTGCTAACGTTCCGCAGACTCTTTCCCTCTTTGCCTATATCAAAGAAAATGCGAGAGGTTAGCATACAAGAAATGCTGACGATCGATTCTATCTGACACTGGTGCAGGAACCATGGACCCACATTTGGTGGTGTGCCCTCTCTCAGTGCTTCCATCCTGGTTAGCAGAAGCAGCGCGTTGGGTCCCGTCCTTACGCGCCTTGCGGTTTCACGGGCAGCAATCTGAGCGTAGCCGCCTTAAAGAGGGAGTTCGCGCAGGTAACATTAAGTTCGACATTTGCGTTACGACGTACGAGTCATACGTTGCGGAGGTACGCTCTACATCTACTCCGCGAGTTTCTTCTAACCTTGTTCCCAGGACTCCTGGTTCAAGTCGCGAAGGTGGACGTACTGTGTGCTCGATGAGGGCCACAAGATCAAAAACGCGGACACGCAAGTCGCCGGGAAGTTGCAGCGCATCGGCGCAATCTATCGTCTGATCTTGACGGGCACACCCGTGCAAAATAACTTGGTCGAACTTTGGTGCATCCTGCACTGGCTTTATCCAACCGTGTTCACGGACGCCTCGGAGCGCCTCTTCAAAGATTCGTTCGATCTCTCCCGAGGCCTCTACTCCCTGCCTTTCCTCAAAGCGGCGGAGGGTCTCCTGACCACCGTCATGCTCCGCCGCACGAAGGCCGCCGTGGAGCTCAGCGTACCGCCATGCGACGAACTCACTGTGTTCGTGCCGATGACAGAAGCGCAGCGATTTTGGACGTATAGGCTCCTCACACGTATGGACAGTGTCGAGCTCGATTCTATCTTCACCACGAAACTGGAGGATGCGAAGGAGAACGAGGGCCGCAAGGAAGTGCAGGCGCACCTCGCGGCACAGATCACGCACAACAAAACCGGCGAGCAGAATCGTACGTGTATATGACCAACCGTTTTTGTCGTGCGCGATGTTGTGGCCTACACAGTTTGCTGACGGAGCCATCCGCAGAGTGGAAGAAATTGATGAATCTGTTGATGCAGCTTCGCAAAGTGTGCGATCATCCCTATCTACTCCCTGATGCAGAGCCGGACCCATTCGTCATCGGCGAGCACCTCGTTGCGTCGTCTTCCAAGCTGACGGTGATCGACAAAATCCTTGCGGATACTTTGCCCAAAGGCGAGCGTGTGTTGATATTCTCTGTAAGCTCCGTCGCGTGTCTGTTGTCATCTCGAGTCCCTGATAACCGATGTGATCGACATAGCAATGGACAAAGTGAGTATGATATTCTACTGTGATCAAATAATAATTGATGTTGTTCTCTCAGTATGTTGGATCTACTGGAAGACTTCATGGCCCTGAGATCTATACCCTACGCTCGCTTGGATGGCTCCACTACACGACCACGCCGGGCCCTCGATATCAAGTTGGTGAGTTTCTGATGGCCAGAGTGTTCCCTTTGGTGCGGAAGATACTCATCCAGGCTCTAGTTCCAACAGGAGAAATCTCGTGAGTTACCTCGAGTCCATCGGTATTATTCCAATCAAATAATGCCGCCATAGCGTATCAAGTATTCCTAATATCCACAAAAGCTGGTGGCCTTGGTACGTAGTCATGACCTGGAGTTTGGCGTCTGCTCATCTCTATTCCAGGTATCAACCTCACGAAGGCGAGCACGGTGATCATGGTCGATTGCGACTGGAATCCTCAGGTACACTGTTCATGCACCACAGTAGCGCCCTTGCTGACCGTTGATATACAGAATGATCTGCAAGCCATTGCTCGTGCGCATCGGATTGGTCAGACAAAGACCGTCAAGGTATAAATGTAATGTGAGAAACTTCGAGGGCTGCTGGCTGATTCTGAGACGCGCAGGTATATCGTCTCATCTGTCGAGGCAGTGTCGAAGACCAGATGTTAGATCGAATCCGCCGCAAACTGTTCCTGTCGCTGAAGGTGATGGCAGCAGATGGCTCGTCTTCCGACGAGCAGAACTCGGCGCTCAAGACCAGCGAGCTGTTGCAGATCCTGAAGAAAGGCAGTAGCGCACTCTCTCAGAACAATGATGCCATGGACCTCCCGCGATTCCTTGAGGCGCCTATCCAGGAGATTCTGGATGCATCACGTGAGCGTGACGACTTGCGCGCCGCGAAGGTCAAGAAGCTCGAGGGCGAGACGGTCGATCAGAAGTTGGTCAAGGATGCTGAGGAGGAGGAGCGCAGGCTACTGAGTGGCATCGCGCAAGTACAGAGCAGGCTGTTCGAGGGAAAGCTCGTCACGCAGCCCAGACAAAACAAGGACATCGCGCGGGAGTGGAAGGAACTCCAGAAGCGGAGCAGATCTGACCGCATCGTGCTGGTGGATGGCATGGAGATGATAGCAGCGCATATGGGCCCCGAGGTCGTGAGTTGAATCCCTTGTCATGAAGGGTGTAGTACTCACCATGTCCTTCAGGTGTCTGCCATAGCGAAGCCAGTGGCCAAGAGACAGAGAAAGAAGTTCGACAGCGAGGACTGGTGCATCTACTGTCGCGATGGCGGGGAGCTTGTGCTCTGCAATAGCTGTCCGAGAGGTACGTCACTACTTTGCAAGCTGAGGATGGCACATAATGTCGAGACAGTTTTCCATGCTTCATGTCACGGGCTGTCAAAAGAGGCCCTACATCGCTCGATGACCATTGCATGCAGCCAGCATAGCTGCACACAATGCGGTCGATCGACAGCCGATGCTGGTGGAATGCTTTTCAGGTAGGGTCTCGTTATACGGTGGATTACATGTGCCTTAATGTGGCTTCTGTGCAGATGCCAGACATGCCCGCAGGCATTTTGCGAAGACTGTTTGCCTGACGGTGAGATCGATGCAGTCGGGGCCACATTGCCGGAATTGTGAGTCCTCTGACTACGTAGGTTGCGGGAACAGACGTCATGATGACTATTTGCAGCGTGCTTCTTGGATATGGTGAAAGCACATCAGCATACTACATACGCTGTCATGACTGCCACAAACTCTTCGAAGAGGAACCGCATGTGTGGGCGCAGTGGCAGCTAGACATGCAAGATGTGCAGAATAAGTTAGATGCACTGCCCCAGTCGTAAGGCGTTGTTCATATATACCATCTTTGCTTCGACACTTGAAGTCACGTTAGTTGTAGTTCATCCATCTGTTTGATAGAATCTCATATGTAGTACATAGATGCATCGTCGATCAACTTGGATTGTTTGCTCCACCGACATTGTAACCAGTTCCTCTTTGTGTTGCTCCGAGCGAAGCCACACATGTCTGAATTGTGAACAATGCATTGCCTCGAGCTCCAAAAAGGTGCGATGCGCCACACAGACAAAAGTAACGACAAATCCACTATATGCCCGACTACCTGTAGGAGAATAATGCAGTGTTGCTACAAATTACTGAAATCAAATTCGTGCACCGCACACCAAAAGGAACCAGTACACGAGCACAGAGACACAACACATATGCGAATCGAAAAACACCTTGTCCAGCTGCTGAGTAACACGAAAGCCCAACCAAATTCAAGATAATAAGTCTGTTGTCCGCCTTTCAATCATTTCTCGCGCAAGCCGTTCACAGCGCAAGCACTATGGCGCCCGCGCCCGCACCGAGGGCGACCCAAAGCTCTTATAAGGCTTTTGCGGCCTGTTGGTGGTCCTTGAGTCGCGGGAAGTGCACCGAACCGAGTATATTCGGAAGGCAATTTTCCAGCGAGTAAAGTAAAGACGAAAAAACTTCAACGCGGTTGACCGCATATTCAACGCCTCGGCTAACTCTGACGCCTCGACTCCTCTATTTCTCTAATATCCTTACACCTCCGAAGTAACGCAGCCAGGGTCAGCGTTGTTCTGTCTAACGTCGCTGTTCAAGCAATGCCGGGGGTCGCGCTCGGGGCTTCCGAAGAGCGTTGTGTCGAATACTCTCTCACGGACCTAGACAGTGCGGTAACAACGATTAATTCTTCAGGCATTCACGGATGAAACTGTAAGGGTCCTACGAGGACACACTGGACGACGGAGTTTCGGCGGCAGAGCTCGACGATGCCACGCTCCTACAGTTGATGATCGTTAACGAGGCACAGACCAAAAGTGGAGACGTACGAGAACAGACTGGACGACGGGTTTTGGACCGCAGAGCTTGAAGAGAACACGCCACACTCTGAGAAGGAAGGCTGAGCGAGGGAGCTGGATGGTACCTCACTCCTGTAAATTCGGGTGAAATGAGGTCTCAACAGATAATTCTGAATCTACAGCTGAGGTGTACGTACGAGAATTGGATGAAGGACGGCGAGGTGGAGAAGACAGAGAACGACGGGGAAATAGTGACAATGAAGGAGGACGACGGGAAAGTGGTGATAGCGGAGGAGAACGATGGGTAAGTGGTGACAACGGAGAGCGACGTCTCAGAGGGAGAAGTCTGAACAGGAGAGGTCGGCAGAATCACGCTCCTACAGTTGATAATCAATAGGCGGGCGGGCATCAGTAGTGGCAGATACATACGAAGACGGGGGAAACTCGCTCTCTGAGGCTGAGAAGGAAGGCCGAGCGACGGAGCTAGACGGTACCTCACTCCTGTAAATATGAATGATGGGATTGGTAAGCATGCAGGCAGTGAAGCAGAAAACGCACGAGAAGGGGCAGAGCGACGGCGAGGTAGAACGGATGAAGGACGACGGCGTAGTAGAATGGATGGAGAACGACGGCGTAGTGGAGACGAGGGAGAAGGACGTCTCAGATGGTGAAGTCTGTACTGGAGAGCTCAACAAGATGACAGTCCTATAGGTAGTGATTAATAGATTGGTGGACATTATCAGTAGAGGTAACCGTACGAGTACGGGGAGAACCCGCTGTCAGAAAAGGAAGGTTGAGTAGGGGAGCTTGACGGGACCTCACTACTGTAGATGGCAAGCAAATAACGTGTCTGTTAGCGGACGAGCGAACGTCTGCAGATAGGAGAACTCACGAGTAAGGGTCGAAAGAAGGGTGAATAGTTATGACTGAGGAAGTGGGCAACGTCAGGGCTTTGACACAGGCGATCCCAGAGAGTGCGATGGCGCAGGAAACGGTGGCAGAGAGTGCATTAGGTCTGGTGTTGAACATCATCACGGGAGCTGTTCTTGTGGATCACTGGCCGAGGATTTATATCTGCAAGCTTAGGAAGTGCAGTAATGCATAGGCGTTCATTTTATACAACAATACATCCAGTGCGACGGGCCTTTGGGTCCGCGGTGGGTTTTTGCAAGAGGCAGATCGCGGCGTTCGTTCACCTATATAAGATGGAGTGGTAAAAGGTTACGCACGCATCACTTGCATTTGCAGCCAAAGGCAGTGTACTTGACGAAGAACGCCTGCGCTGCCGTTGTGGCAGGCGGACGTAATGCCCACAAGGGAAATATGGACCATGGATGTTGGCTTTACGGCAGATCCTGTCTATGCCGAGGTGAGAGTCTACAACCACCGTGCTCGCTTCGGAGTTGATCACGCGGGTCGCCTTGACGTCCGAAACTTGAAGCAAGAGCAAAACTGCTCAGTCCTAGTAACACACACACCAATGCATAAGTGATAAACAACGTGTCAATGACAGGTTCTTCCATACCAATATTCATGCCGTGTAGGGTACCATGTATACCGAGTCATGATGCGTGCAAGTCTGTGGATTCCCAAGCACCATGGCCCGACCTCTCCAAGCCGAATCACAAAGAGACTGGCCGAAGATGACTTCGTTACTTGCTTAGCAAGGCGAGGCAGCATCGACCCTGATTGCACGGTCATCTTCGACAGTGGTGAGAAGATAAATACCGAATGAGCCCCTAACACGGTCCAACTTCGCTGCACAGCAGCACATTCACACGTATTGGATATTGTATCGCAGCAAAGGCGAGTGGTGACGGATGGGGTAAACACGATTTTCTAGACGGTACAATGAACCACAGAAGAATGCAAGTTCCTACCGGACAGTCACTGGCTAGCGATGCATCAGTTGTAAAACCCGCTCCTAAACACATAGCACTCAGTTGGGTCCGCCATTACACAGCCTTGAAGACCAGTACTTACCGAGCAGTCCGCCGATGCCTGCAGGACTATGTAAAGTCTCAGGCATACACCAATCATTGCGGACGATCCGTACCATTGAAGAAGTTGAAGTCTACGCATACCGATGATGCGTTTCGAGAGACTAGATGTCGTTCTCGGGGGAAACAGGAGAATCGATTACATGGGTTGCTGCCTGGTAGCGCTTCTGAAAGGACATGTGCAACTGTGGTGGCTGCCTCCCAAATGTCACATAGACCTAGGGTACAAAGAATATTGAAGGAGATGATATGCAGCAAGGAAGTACTGACACCGTGGGTGCGAGGAGTGATGTGGGTGGTACCGAAACGGGCATGGCTGGCGCACGTTAGGTGACTCGGTGGGCACCAGCCGCGTTGGCCATAGAATCATTCCACTACAATTCGCGATAGTCGTCGGTACCTTCTACTTCTCTTTTCACAGAAGGTTGGGCACTGCACGATGTAAAGTGGTCAGAATTCACGCGCATCCTCGGCCAACAATGGCGCTAGGGCTGGTAGAGGATTCACCACTGCACGAGTCAGTTGGTGATGAAGTACAGGGACATAAGTAAGGTAGAGGAGAGGAATCACGAAGTATGAGGACACAACTTCACATGCGACAAGGAATCGCTAATTCTATACGGGGTACTATAGCCTCGCGCATACTAAGATATGCCTACGCGACCACTCCACGTGGCAACTGATTTGCATTCTCTTCGACAACAATATCAATTGAAAAAAATCGGTTCCTGCAGAAATTATGGTATTCGCCGTAGCTAAAACCATGCAGGAACCGATTCTTCAGATCGTCGAGGTGCGAGTAGGAGAATGGACAAAACCAGCCACGTGGTAGTAGTCGTGTATGAATGAGGCATATCTTACGTGATGGCGTAAAGGAACGGGTTTCGTGGTTCAACCCCTCCATGCTGAACCATCAAGCCACGGGTGTGGGCTGCATGTATGAGTGCGGTAATCAACGCAGGACGCAACCCAATGAAACGCACTTCTAGCGCAGCATAGCCGGGCTACGCGCTTCCCATAATTATCTGCCTCAACTTATCGCTGCTGCAAGGAATGACCGATTTTAAGGCTCGGCCTCTGGTCTCCTCTTGGCAGTTCTCGCCTTACGAGCGAGGCAGAACGTCATTGCAGCAAAACTGGCGGTGGCAAACATCCCAAGGGCCTGATGCATCAAAGAAGCGCAATTTCGACTGAACTGAGTCTGATATTGGAAAACAAGAGAAGAAACAAGACGTACTCCACTGAAGACCGCGGGCCTCCACCATATGTACTTGCTGGTGAGCAGTGCGCCCGAAATAGCCCCTCCTACGGTGGATAACGTCAATCAATGCGAAAACTACGTATTCTTCAGGTCGGCACTGACCGACCAAACCTCCAATGCCTGCGAGAAAACATAAATCAGTGTTGAACAGTTCCTTTCAATCAGGGAGGCGACACATACCAGAGAAGGCGAACGCAAGACCCATACGGACACTGCGATTCGTTAACTCTGACACACGGACCAACCTTATTTGTAACGCACCCTAATTCGGACATGTTATCACTCAAAACCGCCATTAAAGGCGCCATCAGGGTAATATCTGCCAATACAGCACGTTGCCACGATGAGAGATAATGCGAATAGCGCTAAGGAGTACGCACAGTTCCCTGCAAAGAAACCGTAGATGATGCCGACGACGACGACGCTCGCGACGCTTTTCACTGCGATCATTACAAATAACAGTATTGAGCAACCCAGGACGGCGATGGTAATCATGTTCGCAACGCCGAATGAGTGCGCAAGGAACCCGGGCGCAAGCCGGCCCACGAAACTCGCGCTGTTCAAAATAACCAGCTTTTAACCAGAAATTTGACAGATCAAACATATCGTGGAACAAAAAAAAAGAGAAGACCTACGGAATAGAACGAGAACGTCGAGCTGAGACCGTGCACGGATGCATCCAGTTGGATGTAGAACAGAGGGTAGTAAAAAGCAATCGTGAATAATGAGAGGCTGTGGACATTGGTCTATCGGCTATGGGAGATAGAACGACTAAATGACAACGCACCCAATAGTAGCGAAGATATAAGCCGGATCACGGGAGAACTTCCTCGCTGCCTGGGCGATCGTGATGGTATGCTTAGAAGGCGGGAGTCGGGGACGCATCAGCAGGCACGCTATGAGCAGTAGGCCGGTGACAAGGCCTGCGCTTGCGCGGACCGCGTTTCCGAAGCCTAGCCAACCGTTAAGGGTATTGTTCAGCATTATTGGGTGGATAACAGCGCCCAGTGAGGACCCAGACGCGACGATGGTCATCGCAAGTGCACGCCACTTCACGAAGTAGTGCGAGACGACCGCGACGCTTGAGACATAGACTGTCCCCGCACCAAGGCCCATGCCCAGCCCTTGGCAAAGGAATACCTGTTAATTGAATGCAGTAAGTAAACAACTGTCACTACGAAGATTTCACACCGAATTACCTGATAATAATGGTCTGGTTGAGCAAGAGACAGCATGAAAAGAGAAAACGAGTATAATATTGATCCGCCGATGAGGAGATAATAACTGACGACAACGCGTTCAGAATGATCTCGCCGACAGGAAAACCAGTGAACCTACAAGTATCCCTTGTCATAGAGTCTCCCTGTAACCAATCCACTCGATATCACCAGAAAAGCATTCATGCCTCCAATCCAACTGCGCATGGGTAAGAAGCTACACAGGAGTCGAAATATGTATGGCTCACGAGATTGCGGAAGCCGACTCGTTAGCGAGATATGTCTGGACGTAGTAGGCTGTGAAGACAAATCTCAATCCGTGTTTGCAACAACGCCCTACGTGAAGGTAACTACCTTGATAAACCCCGAATGAACCGGTGTATCTGCCGAACAGTACTCAATGACACAATCAGATGCAGAGTGGACGATACGCACCCGAAACCGCAAAACTGAATCAAAAATCTGCAGCCAGTGTCAGAGGCGGAAACTTAGTCCAGACATCTACTCACGCTCCGGCGACAGTCCCCCAACCTCTCCACCCGCCCTCTGGGAAGTCAGTGGCCTGCGCAGTGCTCGTTGGTACCTCTTCGTCCTTGCCCTTTACAGGCTCCTCCTCATCCGCTTCCTTTTTGTCGTCGCAGTCTTTTTCACTGGCGTGCTCGGATTTGATGGTGGCTTCCGCGATGCCTTCCGGTGGGGCAGGGGCGCCATTGCGAGCGAAGTCCGAACGAGATTCCATAGTCGACGTGGTTAACCAAAAAATTGACACTTGGAGAGTTCACCTGCACCGGAAGGGCAGAAAACGACGTCTACCAGCCAAGTTGCGGCGGTGGCTGGGTTGGGGATGCAGGCAATGAACTCGACGGCGGAGTAAATATGCAGGAAAGCTCGCGCGCTAGGTTAAACCATGGCACCATAGGCCCGCTACCATCAGTGCCGTGATGGAATACCATTGGCAGATAAATTGCCCGCAGGAGGAATTGGTGTTACTGCGCTTAAAGATAAATCTGACGGGTGTTAAGAGTAGCAGGTTGATGAGTGTTCATGCCGATCGCGAGCCGTTCGCTGCCGTTCGTGCTTTTCCAACAGAAGCCTTTGATCCGATCTCAATCTTAGGGTGTCGGCACGGCAGTCCCCGAGATACCAGACACCTCCGCTTGTCCTGTGTTCAAGTTGCCGTGGCCACAAGTCACTATAGTATTTCAGTCACTAGAGTCGGCAACTGCTCAGTATGAAATACGTACTGAGTGACAAATGCGGACAACGGATATGCCTGATGCTCAGTAGCCTATGGGGGATACCAAAGAATGCCAGACACTTCTTAAAGCTTCAAACGTGGGGCGGGAGGACGCATGTCGCATCAACATTAAGAGAGGCACCTGTTCAAAGATCGCTCGACTTTTCGAGGGATCTCGACGATCCCGCAGATAAGCTCGGGATCGACCGTCAAAGCACATCAAGATCTCTGTGAGTTCCGTAATGCTGCCACAAACTCGCCTTGCATTGTCTAGGATATAGTGCTACATCTTGATGAGGAGGAACATTAGCCCGGCCAGTATTCTGGAACATCGCCCCTAAGTACAAAGCCCCATGTCTCCCACGGAAGTTTGGTATTGAATATACCTCGATCGTCGTGGGATAAACTCGAATTTCTTTGCCCAAGCTCTGGTTTATCTGCCCATTGGTCGGGATGGAAATGGTGGGGAGACAATTCTGGCGGAGGACGCCCGCATTTGGCAAACGGCAATACGTGGTATCTCAGTGCCTGTTTAGATTCAATGTCAATCAGATTTATAATATCGATATCAGAGGCCAAAAGTGAAACTACTTTCCTTCCTTAACTTGTTTTCATGTTCCCGACTACTTTGAAGTCGTCACTAGTGGCCATAAGCGATCTCATTTACCCAGGCTCCAATCCGGTGCTACAACAGTAGAATAGTGAGAGAGGCAGCTTCAGGTTGCAAGCGCGGTATGATGGGGTCAAGAGGTGCCTCGAGAATGATGCATATTCATCCTGAAGATAAGCCAGCATAAATCTACCACATTGAATCTCAGTATCGAAGGTATGTTATGAGCTTTTTCCTTTATGGAACTTACTGACAGTTGAAAATACGTTTTGCCATGCAATGCGAGTCGATGGAGCCCAATGGCATAAGATTCTCTTGCGCCGTGCAACTTAGTCCGAATCAGCTTGTAATTCTCTGGAAGGTGACACAGGGACGTCCGTCAGGTGAGAATAATGAGGAAAATCTGTCGCATGAAGGTCCATAGCAGATCAATTGAACGAGATCGGTTGCTGGCAGGGTGCCAAGCTACCGCGTGACACATAATCATATGATATGTGACCTGTGGCGTACGTGCTAGATAAAGTAGATACAGATAAGATCGCCATACCACACGTCACGGTCTGCCCATATCCCCAGTTCAGGGAACAGTTACTAGCCCTTCCCAAACAAAGACCAGTCAACCGGCCTCATAGGTGGCGGACGCGCCTGAAGGTCGGATTTCGACCATTGCCGTCCTACTTCCCCCGTAATATCCGAAAGGTGACGCATCGTCGGACGGCCGTGCGGACAATGCCACGGCTGGTCCATCGTCCCCATATGGCGCACGACCTGCAGGAGAATAGAATAATCTCAAATGAGAAGATGTAAATCGGGAGATGCTCGACGTACGGAGACCATCTGTGATCGTGTAAGCGGCATACCGACCATGACGCTCTTTCGGCACGCGCGCATTGCGAACATGGCACGGACTTTGGAGCAGCGCACGATCTGCCCGTCGGGCGCGTTATGCATCAGATGTAGAAGCTCTTCAAGATCTGGTCAGAGGAAGATCAGAAGCGGTAAGTAAACGAAGGAGATATACGAACAGACCTTTGACGTCGAACACGGTGCTCTTGCTGATAGGCTGTGCAACCAGACGCAGGCGTGCAGAACCACCCAAAGGATCGTCCGCTATGTCGATCTCAAAACCATTTTGATGGAGCATATCCACCCGCTCTGTTGCTAACATCTCGTCAGCTGCAGTGAGCTCCAGTGGGAGGGGTCTGCAGATTATTGAGCATTAGTGGATCAGAAAGAAAGGAACAAACCAAATACACACCGAAAAAGCTTCTGTGAGTCAATCTTCGTGGTTTGCTGCAGCGTCTCAAAGTTGTACTTCTCGTCGGCCGCATGCTGGTCCACAATGAACAGGTCATCCATCGCGGGCACACCCTCAGCAGCTTCTTTACGCCTGCGCGCGATAATAAAGCCAAGATTGAATTGGCCAACGACCTCCATCACACCGAAGTCCGCCTTATCGATGACTCGAGATAGCGTCTCCACTGCCTTGATGTCATCCTCCGTCACAACACCAGCCTCGGCATCCAGCACCAACTTGGGCTCCCTTGTCGGAGTGCCCCCAGCAGTGAGACGCTCCTGAAGACGCTGCCAGGAATCGGTTATATGAGACAAGGAGATGCTAAGGGAGACGTCCTCGCTATCTGTCGTACGGACGACCTCAGGACGCGATTCCTGTGATAACGGTAGTGCCGATGAGGTCGAAGACGTCGTGATGTCACTGTCCACAGTAATCTGCCTGACTGAGAAACTCGACGAATCATCCACGGGAATGACGTTCCTGTCTGAAAAGTCCGTATACGACGTCTTGGCGACTTCTGATGTTGAATCATTCACGTTAGGGACATCTTGGCCAACGTCGGACTCCTCGATCACCATCACTGCATCCTCTGCATCGTTGGAAGTTTCGGCGACGGCTTCGTCCTGAGGCAAGACTTGCTCCTCGTCCTCCATATCCACGTCCACAACCTGACTCCCCGTCCGGGCAAATCCCCTCAAGTGCGCCCTCAAGTCCTGCCGAGCCTCTCTCGAGTCTCTCGTGTGGTTCCCATTATCGACTCTACGCCGCTTGTTTTCCGGCTCTGAATCACGATTTCCTGCATGTAGGTCCCAAGCAGTCCCAGACGTGCTGAGCACCATCTGCACGGTGCGAGCAGTGCTGCTGTTGCTGTCTACATGCGACGCCAGGGGTCTTTTCTGTCCAGCACTACACACGGAGGGCGGGGCACGAGACGGACCGGCTTTAGGAGCCTTTTCGCTCAAATTTTTGGCAATATCTGTATTTGTGGGGGCTTCACCTCCAGACGTGGAACTGAAACGGTCGACGATGCCTCGCAGTTGGGTAACCGTGGGTGGGCGGTTAATCTCTATATCTCGCGGGTCCATCTGTATCTGGGTGACAGTGGGTGAGCGGACTAGTTGTACTTCTTCAGCGACATCGGAATGCATGTTCAATTCATCGTGGTCACTTTCCAAGGTCGTATCATCCCTGGAAACGAGCGACGGAACTTCTGGACTGTTCTGTAATGAAGTATCTGCGGAGGCAACCCAACTCAGACGAGTCGGCGAGTGCGACGGCGCATGGTATGGTGGAGAGTTAATGACAACCTCGGAGGCTGAACTTGCACCAGACTCCGGTGAGGCATCAATTTCAGGAAGCGGAGAAGCGGAGGGCATAAGAAGTCGCGGTTCGCCAAAGGCCTCGTTTTCAACAAAATCATTTGCGTTAGAAAGAACAGGCTGTTCCTCGAATGCTTCTCGCCGTTGCGGTGAACCTTCGCCTCCAACATCCTCGTCGTCATCTAGGAACAGAGGTATCTGTGAGCATTTCGGGTTGGTGGTTTTCTCCCGCAATTTCGCCTGTGTCCCTTGCTTAGTTGCAGCATGCGAGCTATTGACGTCATACGTTGCACGAGATGACGCAAACGTCTCTTCCAGAGCACTCTGGGAGGATAGATAAATAAGCAAAAGTATGGCGTTAAAACACGATCAACACACACCTTCAGCGCCTGCACCAAGCTGTTCTCGCTGTGCAATAAAATAGTGCGTTTGTCCGGGCTGACATTCACGTCGCACGAATCTGCGGTAATAAGCTACGGTATCATGATGTGTCCAACGTACTAATGAGCTAGAAACGTACCAGTCGGGAGGATAAAATCAGCCACGACGAATGGGACTTGATTCGCGTTGAATGTACGATACACCTCGTTAAACGCTTTCTGGACCTGCAGAATTAAAAGATGAGTATGTCAGGTGCGCAAATCTCGGGAGTCCTGACTGACCTTGGATGGATTGCACGGGCGTCCATTAATGAAGAAGAACTGCCGATCTGTAGATGCGCGTCCGCATCCTACTGCGAATCTGGAGACCAGGCCTCGCACGTGTACCTCGTTGCTATGTCTATTTTCAGACAATAATCGGGTAAGTGGTTGAAGCCATGAGTACATGACCGAGGCTTACTGACCCATCTTTGTCTATGATTCCTTGCCGCCTCAGTACAGCCTTCTCTATCTCCACCGAAAAGTGTAGGTCGAGGTCAACAAGGTGCTCCAGCGCCTTCGGACCCCACAGTGCCGAAACGGACGAGCGCGTTGAGGCTGAGCCTTCAGTGCGCAGCTGTACACTCTTCTTCCTGCAAGTCAACGTTGTACATTTGAACCCGCACAACACGCGCACAAGATAAGGAAGCGCACCCGCCAATGGGTTGATGCGTCACGGTTAAACGCACACCTCTGTTCTCCTGCGCACATGGGACGAGTGCATACGCGGAAAGGAGCGCCAGCGCTTTGCCGAACTCCCGTTTCGCATTTCGTTCGAGCTCTTTTCGACGAACCGGTAAAGGCTTGAACAAACCTGCAACAGCAACAGTGGTGCCGCGCTACAATGGGACATCATCAGCATGGAGCTACGACGTCGCTCTCGGTCCGGACAATACCTGCCTAGCGACCTTTGAGTCACGGCTCACAACGTGTCCAGTGCGATCAAACTCGATTACGGTGCCCATAGGAGTCTCCGACGCAGTTGCTGTCGTGACGGTGACGCTATCCGCGAGGGCGCACAAAGACGAAAGAGCTTCGCCCCGAAATCCAAAGGTACTCAGCGAAGTAAGGTCAGAAAAAGCAGAGAGCTTTGACGTGTGGTGTTTGAGAGCTGGAGCGATTCAGTTGGGCATGAGCACTCGGCCAAAGTAGAACGTACCGATGGCATCATAATCCTGAGGAGCGATTCCGCTCCCGTTGTCGACCACCTCAAAGGTGCTCAGACCGTGGTCTTTGAAGCGTACCTCTAGATGCATTGTATGGGCAGCTGTGCCAACGAAATGGTCCACACTCACCAACGTTTGTAGCACCCGCGTCGAGACTATTCTCGAGAAGCTCCTTGACAGCAGTTTGCAGGTCTACTACGACTTGTCCAGATGAGATACGGTGAACAGAGCTGGAATCGAGTGCCTTTATGGTTTGAAGTGAACCATCGTGTGAGATGGCGGTTGTTGGAGATGTCATGAAGAATAGTCGGCAGTCAATCCCGGAAAGCACTAGCAGTTCTATCCTGCGGAAGTATTTTACTCTGTTCTAGTGCTGTAATTAAAACGTTCGCAAAAACATCTGCACACCTGAGATGACACTGCGCAGACACTCAACGTCGCTTGATTCACCTCACAGTCTCCTGAGTGTACCACTTTGGACAAACAGGAATATACAGTATTCCCGAGTCTCAAAACAGTGCGGAAGAGCGGCAACCCTTGTACATGCAAGATAAACGGTTCTAGTTTTGAATGTCGCGGTGGAGGATGAACTTGAATGTAAGGCGCGCTGTCACGGTCGTCACGTTGCACGTGACGCGACTGAGTCACACTCGGATCGGCTATACTCTGAATCCTGATGTAAATTCTGCAGCGTCCACGATCTTGTCCTGTGTCTTGTTCCAACTTCCCACTATCTTCCCTGTGGAGTTCATCGTTAAGAAACTTTGGAACTGTTGACAGGGCTGGCGCAGAGTCTGCTGCACTTCCACTGCAATACTCGGCCGGTGTCATGAATGAACTCTGCGGATTGTCTTCTTCGTACGTTCTTCTGGGCAGCATTCCCGTTCAAACTGCAGTAAATTTTTTTGTCGAACTCTTGCTCTTTGAACGGCCGGTAAATCTAGGCGGGACCGCTCGATACTTTCTGTTCTGTGCTCTTCTGCTGCTATCCGGGTTTGTCTATCACCACGAGCTTCCGGCGTGTACTTGGTTCAAGATTGTCACGGCAGTCCTGACCGATGCGTGTCTACCTTTATCTGCAGGCTTACATTCTGCACAAAGTATCTTTCTCGCCGGACAGCCGAACTGACCGCCACCCAGCGCGTGTTGCTAACTGGGAGGAAGAAGAAAGGATAACGAAAAAGTGCATAATGATTCCAATGGCTGTACTCTCTTTCTTCCATTGTGTCCTCTTTTGCTCTGCTGAACCAGTGCGTATGCATGTCTCCTTGCGTTGTTGCTAGCTGCTGCGCTCCTCGTGCACTTCGAGTGGCTGCTGCATATCGATTCCATCTATGCTCCAATGAGCGCAATCTCATTCTTGGTCCCGACCACATTTTGCCACTGGGCTCCCCACGTGTGGAGGCGATGAAGGACGTCTCCATTGTCGACGCAGGACCACAACTTCAATGGCTTCGATGTACGCGGATGTTCCGATCACCTTGCTGCCCATGCCCTGGCCAAAATCTCCATCCTTTGTCTGCAGACAGTATATAACGCCATGGTGCAAGATGGACGGCAAATTCGAAAAGTTTCACTTCATGGTCTTCGCTGCAGTGCAGCGAACCTCGCTCTTTTTTCCCGTATCTGATTTATTCCGTTTCTTATGAACGTGCAACACTCTTCTGGTGCTGGCACCAGTATTCAATTTCCTTCCGGCTCATCTTCACAGTATACAGCCATCGGTTCAGGTTTAGGCTACGAGTCGCCGGGAGGGACGCCTTTCGATGAGGCGAATTTGTCTCCGCCAAAATTCCCTCCCACATTCGGGCGTACGCGGTTCGAGGTCCCAATGCCTGTTCCCGCAGCAAGGTGGACAACCAGGGATACACCCAGGGAGTCTGTACCGCCTGTGCTCTTCGGCATTGGTGATGTCTCCGGCATCCCCATAGGCCAGCCGGGACTCTTTGCGCGGATGCAGGGCGCTCACGACCGAGTCTTCGAAAAGACAGGGCTATCTTCCATCCGTGTAGTCTTGACAGTATGTTCCCTATTGCTATCCGATCTCGAAACGTCCTGACAGGCATTGATTGCGACTGCAGTGGTTCGACGGAACTCAGGTTGAAAAAGCCGTAAACCTGATTGTTAAAGGTTTGCCGGTCACGCGAGAACAGCTCGCCAACCAGGTGTCGAAGCTTGTCGGTGATTTCGTTTTGGTACGTTGATCGTCCTTCTTTGAACACTCACATTTTTGTCTTAATCGTTCGTTTTATAGCACAAGGTGGTGCGGGACGAATCACCTCCCGAGCTGTACCTTGTTGCTCTGGACCCTGTCCAAGCTGATATATTTCGTGTGGAGATGCACGCCACCCTTTTTTAGAGCTGGTCTCTTTTCATTTTTTTCAAACCAAAATGTAGCTAGTGATATTACTGTATTTCTAGTAAATTTATCTATTTGTTACACTCGTTCTTTTCTCCGGTGGAATTATCGATTCGATGTGCACGTGTTCGCAGGAAACGACGCGGCATACGCCGACGCCGTTCTCCGCACACAATACTGTAGAACATGTTGCGTACCTTGGCGGTATGTTCTCCCAATACGATTCGTTTCACGCTCTAACATTTAATACAGCGCCGGAGTACCGTCGCAGCTGCCGCTGCCGTGGTCGCAGTGCAAAGCGACAAGGTACGCCGAACGTCCTCAGCGTAAGCGCATACACTCACCAGCTGTTACATCCGAAGCTTCCGATATATTCTGCCCCGACCCCAGAGATTGTCCTTGTTGATACACCATCAAAACTGGAGAGACAGATAGGCAACGCTCGCCGTGCAGTCACCACTCGCTACCTCGAGGCACACGCCCGTGTACAAGGGGTCGTTTCCCGATGGATCGGTGTGGAAGAAGCCGTCGAAAGTGCGCCATCTCGCATCCAAATTATTTCTTTCAGCGCTGACGAGTGCCCTGCCTTGGTTTTAATCTGATGTTGCAGAGCGGGTAAAGTCGCTCGTCGCGCCGGACGAGCCAGTCACGCCAGGCATACTCTACGTCGGGGTCGCGACCCTGACCGGCTCCATCTTCGCGCGCAACCGCGGGCTCTTCACCCGCGGGCTGCTCCCGCCCACGCTACTCGTCCTCTCCCTCAACCACTTCCTGCCCAAGACTGCGCACAACATCTCCGCGTACTGCGGCGAGCTCGAGGACAGGTATTTCCCCACCCTCGCCGAGAAACACGAGATCGCGAACCAGCACACCGCGATGACCTGGGAGCGCCTCAAGGATGCGGGGCGCGGCGCCCGGGAGGGGATCACTAACGGCGTCGGCACGGCCCTCGAGCGCGCGGAGGTCGCGACCGGCTTGAAGCTGAAGGAGACGATGGGCTGGAGCCGGGGCGTCGCGATCGCGGTGGAGGAGCGCACTAAGGAGGCGGCACACATTGTCGAGGAGAAGACTGAGGCGGCGGTGGAGGCCGTCAAGGAGACCGCCGCCGCTGCCGTCAAAGCGGTCGAGCAGAAGACACACGCTGCGACGACCAAGACCGCGCAAACCACCGAGAAGGAGCCAGGAGTGGCAGATAAAAAGGCGGACGAGCCAAAGAGGCCCACATAGTGCACTGATGGACGGAACTACTTGGACGCGCATGTCTGCCGTTTTCACTGCATTACAAGACTGTAGGTCGTTACAATATAAGTCTTGAACCGAGACATGGTAAATGACGGGTGCTCTACAAATATTCGTAGGATTTCCACTGAATATAATAGCCGTCGTGCACACACGAACAAAACTTTCCAGATATGTCATGTCTAAGTAGTTTTGGCTGTCAGCGTCAAACTAGCAATTACCGTGCAGCGATAGTATTAGTAGACCCGCACGTTGTAGATGACTCCCGCACTCACAGCTACCTGCCCTGCGCGCTCCATATACCGCACTGTGCTCAACCTCACCGCTTGCGCCCCTTCGCGCCCTTCGACTGCTCGGCGATGTCCCGAGCGGCCTCCTTCGCTATCTCCTTCGCCTCACCGCTCCCCTCGCTCTCCGACATCCAATCCACGTCCGAGGCATGCCCACCCATCCCATCAAACCGCCTATTGAACCGCCCAAGACGGCCCGTGACAAGGTCCTCCTCCTCGCCCTCGTTCGTCCAGCGCGCGGCGTTCCAAAGCGGGTTGTTCGTCGTGTCGCGCGTGAGGCGAAACACCGAGCGCGGCGAGGTCGTGTAGTGGATGAATGTCGAGCCGTCCGCGCGTACGACACGCTGGGGGAACTGCGGCACGAATGGGTTAGGGAGCTTGCGTTGGCGGTGTTTCCAGACGTGTGTACGCCCGTACGGCGAGGAAGAAATGCCCCGAGTTTGCGGTTGCGTTACAGGCGTCGCACGTTGTGAAAGCGCTGTTCTTTTTAGGCAGCGAGATGTGCTCGCCAGAGCTGACGGAAAGCTCATGACGGAGAGAGAGAAGATCGAAATATTCCACGGGCGCTCAATGGCATATGTTGTGACCCAACGCAAGATCTGAATCGGGGACCGTCCTTAGCTCAACTACGCCTTCCCCCATAATGAATCAGGCTGCGGAACCTTATTCTCCGCTTTGATATTTTAGATGTCGTCTATATTTCGCGTCGGAGCCAGTTTGAATTTTTGGTAGAGCCAACAAATTGGAGTGGCTGAATTGTGGCAACATCGGTGACCCTGACGTCCTGACGCATCTCGTAGAGCCGGAAACAAAATAATCTAGGATGTATTCCCATCTCTAAAATTGGATAGAACGCAGATGATACCTTGAGGCAAAAATGAGTTATTGTCAAAGTTGATACAGTAGCTGAGCTTCCAGGAGACGTGGGTCACTGGGGTGTGCCCAGATCTTGCTGTGACTGTGACCCAATTAATTACTGTTTGTCCTGAATCGGGTACTTCCGATCGGGATCAGCCGCGAAAGGAAGCCGCGCCCGCTGTACGCAGTCAATAGGTAGTGTATAGAGTACTTATGATACACATACGCTACAGAGTGACTAGTGAACATTGGCAGCCCCGAGATTGCAACGAATCCCACTGCCTTTTCGTAAGGAGTGATAGATACACACCGTCTGTATGTACTGCTCCCGCTGCGGACTATGTAACTAAATTTTGAAGGACCGGTTCACGACCATTCGCTCCTTCTGCAATACAGTATACGATATAATTCTGTCCTTTGAGTCAAGACTTCAAGTTGAGCCCTGCGTCTCTCCAGACATATGCAAACACTCCTTTGCTCGTTCTAGCGACTGCCCCAGGTCTGACAAGGTGGGAATTTCATTCCCCGATGTTCGAACGCAGCTGGGCAAGAGTCTGATTCATTCCCATCAATACCATATCACAATCGAATTGTTACCCCTCTTCGACGGCGTTCTCTCCAATTTCTCTTTCTTTATTTTGACAGATCGCTGGTACGGTCGCAGCTGCTCTTGTCTACCGCACTCCAATCCGAACTCGACGTATCGGACAGGAGCGAGCCGTCTATAACTAGCCAGCCGCCGACCAGCCATACCCACGCAGGGGTATTCCTATCATATCATCATCCCATATCTTTCGCACAGCCTGTTCGACGTTTGCGTTTTGCGCTCGCCTCGCCAGCATCTCCCACAGCTCTCTCTCGTGTTCTCGCTACGATGTCTACGACCTCTTCTAATGATCCCACTACTACCTACCAGAGCTCGGCCTCGACGAGCACGAATCCCGTCCAGGACAACGATGGCCTCACCTCGTCCGCGTCCTTATATTGTACGTCAGCCCCGTCGTGATGCCCAGCTGTTCGCGCACTGAACACACGACCTCCAGTGTACACCTTTCTCGGTAAGTCTTCTCTTCCTGTCAAGTAGGTTAGTTACCGTGCAGAAAGGCGTTCGTGACTCGCCATGCATGTGCCAGCGTCCCGTGCTATGGGCGTTGGATGTGAATATAGCTACTGCGACCGCAGTAGCCGTGAGGCAAACCAACCCGTTTCCGCAACGTCGCCCCTCTTGCCTCTCCTGACCCACTCCATGGTGAACTCGACTAACTCCGCTCTCTCTGCAGCGACGCTCATCCTGCTGCTGTCCGTATCCGGGGCGATCGTGGTGCGCTCGTACCTGATGCGGCGGCGGCAGCGGATAATGATCGAAGAGGCGATACGGAACGGGACGTACATCCCGCCAGCGCGATATCCGCGGCCGCTCGGGGCGAAGCCGGTGCTGCACGACGTGTACCTGCGTTTCGACACCGCTACGGACGAGAAGGGCGGCGCGGCGGGCTCGAGCTACGGCGGGCGGAGCTGGTGGCAGTGGATGATGGTGCGTGTCCTGTCGGAAGGTGCGATTCGATGGTTGACCGTCGTTCGTGCGTTCCAGCCCGTTGCAGCGACATTGTGGAGCACCGGTGCTCCGTCGCTGCAAACCAAACCGGAACGCGCCCCAATGATGGGGCCCCTGCCGTGGTACCTCCATTCGCCGTGGCGCCGACATCGTCTACAGTCGCAGACATCGCTGCCGAGGGTCTCGTCAGCGATCGCGCTGCAGTCTCCTGCCGAGCTCTCGAGTGAGGAGACGGTGAACCTGACGGTGCTGATCGCGATGCCCGCGCCGCACCAGGTGTCCGATAAACTAGATGAGGGCACGCTTCCGCACATCGAGTTCGGCATTGCACAGGTGCCACTGAAGAAGAGGGACGGCGCGTCGTCGTGATCCTCCGTCGTAGTTACTCGTGCGCCTGCGTCACCCGCCGGACGTATCCCCGCAGGCGATGTGTTCCGTTCCTTTGCAGTATATACATTAGCGTGTTTGTGCAGGACTTTTCTGTCTGTAGTAGTGTCCGTGCGTCTGTTGTATATCCCCAGTTTACGATGCTGTAGCTAATTGTTCCCAGAAGCTTCGCTGCGCCCAAGAGCACCACATCTGGCGTTCGGCGCGAGTCTGCATTCTGCCCAGTTACATGCAGACGTCGGACATGCTCCTTCTCTATAGAACGCAAGCGCCCACAATTAAATAGGGTTCCCGTTCAGGTTGCAGGCGTGGCTATAGACTCCGTAAATTTCGACTCACACCCAACAATATTGTGTCCTCAGCATCGCTTCACCCGCGTCCATGCTCCGGCACACAAGACTCTCACTGGGGTTAAGGTCACGAAGTGGAACGCCAGCCCGTAGATTGAAGGTGCACTGCCTCCGTTCATTGGACCACCTTGCCTTGCAAGTCGTTGTGTGGGAAGTGGGAAAACGAAACAGCACCGAAAAGTCGGCGACGTACACCCGCTGAGAAAGATAGGACTCGAGCCAACCCCGTCGCTGGTTCGCCATCAACCGCGTGCAATGAAGAAAGGGAATTCAAGTTCGACAAAGCCAATCGTCATCTCTCGAAAGGAAACCGAGGAAACTAAGACACTATCAGACTTCGAGCAGGCCTGCTGTTCGGTGTACGAACGAACGCTCCCTTAACGCTACGGCTAGTAAACGTCCACGACGACACGACACGACGACACGACACGACGACACGATGCGAAACACTGTCAATTGGCAATAGCTAAGTAGAACACACCTGAACCTGCATAGCAGTCCTACTACGAGTCCTCCAGAGTCCAAAATGTTCGACGAGATCATAGTACTATACGGAAGCTGTTCAACGCTCTTCGATCTTCAGCTGTGAGAGAATGGTAGCCAGCGGTCGACATTCCGCTGGGCCCAGACGACAGTGTGCGCTTCTGGGGTACCGGAGGAGCGAGGTGAAACACGGGGACCACGTTCGACAGCCGTGGCAAACAGTTGACTGAACCGTCGCTTGAAGAATGACGCGAGAGAGTATACGTGGAAGAATCCGCAGAAGGGGATGAGGAGGAAGAGGATGACGTTGATGAGTTGGAAGAATACGGACGATCAGTGCCAGGACTAAGGCTGGGTGACATCGACCACGAAGCGGGCATCCATTCTGGGTGATCGTCGCTATGATGTAGCCCTTCGTGGCCAGACGCACCGCCTAGAACGCGGCCCACTCTACCCAAGTTCCCCTTCGCGGATGTGTAGATCCCTTCTGGGACGCGCACATTGCGTAGGTACTCATAATCCTCCACCACGGGTAGGGTGGTGTAATCGTCGCCCTGCGAAAATGACGCGCATGAGAAAATGGAGGGCACACACCGGGGAAACGCCATATACCGTGAAGTAGGCGACAACATGCCATTTGCGTGGCTCGGACCCAGGCATGTAGACATGCGTCGAATACGTCTGTTTGGTGAGCCCGTCAGGTTTGGATGGGCGGTCCTGGCGGGTGGGCGTAGGCTGGTAACCAAAGGGATCCAGAGTCCTGCGCGCTCTAGCTGACAGCGTAAAATTCACTCAAGATTCATACAAGGAGCTGCGTACCGACGAGCAGCCTTAGCCGCTTTTTCTTCTGGGGTCGTCTCGATCTTTTCCTCATAGAAGAGATAATCACCGCGCATTCTGCTCTGCGACCTGTAAAGAGGGGGTAATCTCAGCACACGCTACTGCCGCATGGTGAGAAGTTATTTCTTTACCAGCGGCGCCCATCAGTCCAGCGTTCCAGTCCACCTGATCAAGTCAAACGTCATCAGCATCAGCTGCCTCTGTCGTCATCATGACACACTCACCTTGCTTGTGTTCTGCTTCTTCCCAAACGAATACATTACCCGACTTCAGCTGATCACGCTCATTGGCGGTCAACCGACGCGTTATCAAGGGCAGGACATTGAGTCGAACCGCCTCAAAGACGATGTGTGCGTCTCGAGCATCACGAAGGTCTTCACGTATTCGAATAAGATTGACAAAATGAGTAGAATGATACGCGAGCCGAAGACGACGTACGTACGAAGAGCGGGTATTGTAGCGTGTGCGGCGGTTTGCATTGTTGAAGAGACCAAGTCGCAGAGGCAGAGGATACGCTGCGAATGGGGGACCCAGGGGCATCGGAACTGAGCATCAGGCCCTTATAACACAAGCGTGAACTCCGAACAAAGCTGCGATACTACCAACGACACCGGAAGTCTCGAATTGTGAACTCCGGAAGGTTTGCACGCTGTACTGGTTAGACGGTTAGTAATTGGTCAGGGAAGATCAACTCGAGGCAAATATGTTAGGTCCAACCTGTGATACTGCGATCGAAGTCGGTATAGGTACCAGGCCGAGGAAATCCGAGCAACCTTCCTGCTGCGTGCATCAGACCAACGTCAAAACCCTCCAAAATGACTACACGTTGAAACCTGATGTTCGCCTGACCAGATCGGCTACCGAAAACGAAGGCCATTTCTCGAATGAATCGATGAGGGACCAATAGGTGCCCGTGAGGAGTTGTGAGTCCAGAGTCTAGACGTGACACGTTATCTGTTGCCCTCCAAAATAAGAGAATGCGCAAGTCCGAAGCACATTACAATGACTCTGGTGACCGTGACGAGCAAGACAGACGCTAGAGCATGGAAATTACAAGAACATGATTGTGAGACGTATTGATATCAGAGCGGGCGAGACCACATACCAAGATTGACGTTCCATACTTTGCCATTGATGGCTTTAGAACGAGGTGCTGCCGATATGCCGCGGCTGCCCACCAAACCTTGCGATGACGTCTAGTGCTAAAGCAAAATTCTCTCACAGACTTCTCCAAGCGGAAACTTCACAGAATCTTCCGTGATGGAGGATTGAATGTGCGTAGATCTATCGACTCTGGACGATAGCATCAGGTACGGTATCAGACACAAACTAATGTGGCAGCGACCACTGTCGTGGCCGCTCAGGAATTAACTCACTGAACATGACGAATAGCATCCTACTACGCAAAAGTGTAAACGCAGGAACTCTGGATAGATCCGAATGTCTGCTGGTGAGAGCTGCGACGAATGTTAGTCATCGGGGAATCCTCGCAACGAGAAGGCTGATGTGGCACCTGAACCCTAGCAAGCCGTCAGCACAGCGGGAGATAGAGTGCAGAAGCAATTTGGCTAACGGGAGAAGGATTAGAAGCAAAGACGCGGAAGTGTACGTCAACGCGACGTCACTAGAATAGATAACGGAGATATAATTCAGTAGCTCATAGAGTTTCAGCTTCTGCAATCAGCCTCTCACGAGAACAGTGGGCAGCACATGGCATATCAAGAAAGGTCTGGGCACCGCCAGTGAGTCCTGAGGTGAGCTCGTCAGGGCGTAGATCAGCTTAAAAAGAGAGTTATCAAATATGTAAATGCAGATCGTGAGATTATGCACCTGGAGTAAACGGCCTCCCGAGCCAATATTGACCGTACTCAATGGGAGCGCGGGCATTTGACCTTGAACACAAGTCAGCCCCGTGCGATGCCTCCTGATCAGTTCAGTCAACAAAAAGTAGTGCGGCAACCTCAAACCTAGGAAGGGTGTCCGATAGTTCTCACAAGGCGGCATTGCTAACTTCGAGTGTCGAAGACTCGCGTCGCACATTGCAGTCAACTTTCTCAGGGTATGCGGTGCATGCATCAGCAATCCTCTAGCCTTGAATGGGGATACAATCGTCGAGGATCATCACTGTGTTCAATAGGAAATGATCAAGGCCCCATCGAATGACATCAGATAGAAACGTACTGGATAGATCGGGGGCAATACTACGTTTAGGGTGGACCTTGAGTGCTCACTGCCACTCTCAGATGAGCACAAACGTGTCTTCCAAGAGACATTATATACGTCCGCCAAACATATCAAGTGATCTTCTGAACAGAGTCGATGTCTCGTTAGAGAGGTGATCAATATCTGAATGAGACACACCGTAGTATATTGATCTGTAACGAGGAAATTGCAAGTAGACAGGTGGGTCCACGAATTACCTTGTTTCCCACAGCGTGCCTCATGCACACCCTGTTCTCGTCTTTGCCAGAGATGAGCGCCCTGCAATACAACAGCATTGGAAAGTACGTACACGGATGAGCGTTTCCTTGTCAGACCGGAAACACTTCTTGATTCGAGACCACTAGCGCAATTCGGCGTTCTCAGTCTTCATGCACCTGCCAGAATCTTGAGAATATGAGACGTCCCTGTACATCTAAGGAAAGAACTTCGCCAAGCAGCACAAGGTTGTTGAACCATAGAACACTCCCTAGTCCAAATATTGTTATGACGAGGAGCAAACGGCTAGCGCAGTGAAGTCGTTACGCGCGGTGAACACGTGTTACGAATTTCTCGGCATCGAATCCTTCGCCCAAAGAAGCATAACCTAGTATTTCCCCGGGAAAACCCACTAGAAGGGGTTAAAGTAAAGCACACAGAAAAACTGTTAAAAAAAGAATAAATTTCTGCAGGAAAAATGTGATTCTCCGCTGCTGATTGGACAATCACAGCATTTCCCACGAAAAGTCATTATGCTTTCTGCAAAGTTTTTCCTCATGCTTTACTTTTATGCCTTTTCTCAGGGTTTTTCCCTGAGAAATACTTGGCTATGTGTCTTGTGGATCTCTGGCTCGTACAAAAGCAACTCTGTCATATTGCCATCATCAGCATGCACCAGGACAACTCAGCAATATCCTACTGCGCTGTACATACGCTGGAATTCGGGTGAGCTCTGGATTTCCGTTGATTATGTGCCTTGTCGTATTGCAGGCGTGGGACCCGTTTCCTTTCTCAGCAGCGCCAGTCGTTCGAGAGTTAAAAAGTTGCGAGATGGCGCGCGACAAAACAAAATTCGTACGTCAAGGTTTTCCGAATCGTCTGTAATACCTGGAATTTGTCGAATTTGACTGGAAACGGCTACTACGTTAGGAGCTGGATTTACGTAAGCATATTCGCTCAAAATATTCAAGTCACCCTTCTCTCCGCATTTCTCTTAACTCCTGCGAGAGAACATAGTCATGCAGAGAGGAAGCGCTGGTTTCACTGTCACTGCGGAGATGGAGGCGATCCTCCGTCATCCCGGATATATCAGCTGTGATGCCGGCGGACAAAGGCTGCGCGACCTTTACCAGAGTCGTGAGTGAATTCAATACATAGGAACACACTGACGTATACATCTGAATCAGAGTCCGCCGCGTTCGATTACAACCTCTACAATCCATTCGCGCGCTGTTGTTTTTTAGGACTCATCAGAAACGTCTCGCGGGTACGGATTCTGCCGCATGCGCACCCACAAACTGTAGCTAAACAAGAAAATAGATGGTAGAACGCGGAGAAGCGCCCGACCTGACTGGCACGGAGACGCCCTACAAGTTCGGCTACCTCACCATTGCGGTCACCGGCTGTGTCATGAACATGACGCCTCCGCCAGTATGCGACTATGTCTCCGTCGTGAAGTGTTTGCTTTCCTCTGGTGCGCCCCCGAACTCGGAAGACATCGTCGGATACAGCGCACTGCACCATGCGGCAATGAACAACGGGCATCGAGACAACCCGATCCTTCTGGAACTGATGCGAATCCTGCTCAAGAACGGCGCGAACGCGAACCACCAGAACCGGTACGGCGAAGTCCCGATCAGCGGCGCATTCCAGCACGAAGAAATCGGGGCGATCGACATCCTGATGGAATACGGAGCGGACCTGGAGATGGCGGACGCGGACGGCGTCAAACCGAACCCGTTCTTCATCAAGTGCGGAGCGAAGGTGACGGCTGCGGTTACAAAGTGGCTGAGGAAGCGCACGGGCGAAGAAGCGCCAATGGGGGACACGAAGATGTGCAGCAGATGCGGAAGAAAGGGCGGAAGCCTGAAGATGTGCGCCAAGTGCCACGTAGCTCGATATTGCTCTACGGAGTGCCAGCGTTAGAGTCCCCTGCACGCGTCCTATCGCTGTGGATGAGTCTGATGTGGTCGATTTCAGACGCGCATTGGTCGACACACAAGCTGACATGCCAGCCGTTCGACGCGTCGAACACCGTGACGGTGCGACCGTCTTACAGCGCGCCGGGAACAATGATGTCCACGGCAGACTTCTCTCGCCAAGCGCTGGGAATCCCGACGGAACCCACTCCCGCGAGCCACCAGCGCGCAGCGCGTGCACCGAAGCTGCGCCCCGAGGAGGCGAAGGCCATGATCATCAAGGTCCAGGTGCCGTACAGCGTCCTCGCAGACAGTCCTTCGACCATCTCCCGCGCCGATATGCTGGTGTACACCAAGAAGCGTGACTTTGTGTGCAACATCAAACACTCAGGCAACGCTGCAGCGTACTCGCGCATCTCACAGGTTGTCAGGTCCAGGGGAGTCGGCGGAGCTAAGGCGTACTTTCCCGCGGAGCTCAAGGGGAAGTACGAACTTATCATCAAGATTGGGGAAGTGCTTGCGGAGCAGCCATTCTGAATTTTGTCGTCGGAAAGGTGCCTTTTGAATCAGGGTTTCGACTTGTTGGGTTGTTTTACTGTGTTCTCCATTCTGGGCTAGGTGCCGTTTGTTGTTATTGATTGTAATTATGTGTTCAAGCATCGTACCTGAGACCGCGTATGAATCAATTCTGTGTGACGGAGTTTTGGTCCCACTACCTTGCTAACTCAATCTCGCCTCCAAGTCGAAGCTTGTCATGAGCAGAATGCAAATGCATACTTGAGTGATAAGTGTCTAACCGTGCGCCGTCCAACCCTTATCCCAGGAAATTGCACTACACGTCAGTTCGTTGTTATCGGCGCTCACTAATGTGGATCTATCACTGAGGAAGAGCTGTAGCTCCATCGTTGGTATTCCTTCAGGTCCGGAACAATCGAAGCGATCGTAATGGCAGTAAACAGGTCGCAGAATGGTCTATGTGGTTGATTTGCAACTAGCAGAATTGCAGCCGGAACGAATGTGTCTGCGAATGCACCGATTGGACAGAAGAACATAGGTGTAAGCAAGTATACATTGACCCATGCATAAATCTCTCCTCCAAATTAAAATATTAGTTTATTCATAGTACAGAGCATACAAAGAGAGAACAGAGTGCAGTCCAGGCGGCAACAACGTATGATGGAAGTATGATGGGAGACCCGAGTCGTCGCCGTGAAGTTAAAGCCATTCAAGTTGTAGCCACGTGGTGGCGGTCATTTGTAGCGCCCAAGACACTCTATAGCTAGGACATTCAAGTACTCCGAGTCGAAACTGCTGAATTGAACGACAATCTCATTGACGAGAAGTACAGTCGGACTGATATTCGTATGAATTTTTCTTCTTTATATTAAACCCATTTCAATCGACCCAAGAACATGCAACTCTGGGCGTTTTTCCGAACGCAATTATGATAGCGTGTCGCTTCAAGGGTGGTTGACATCCGAGGCGTCGATATTCGAGTTGCCAGCCAGTGCCAGTGTATCTCTCGTACCCTGGCACAGGAGAGCTGTTCAAATTCTGAGGGTCCTATCCATCCGGGACGCTTAGTATCATTTTCCCTCGATCGCGACATATTGGCCGTTACGCATACTATCTTACACCCGTCCTGCCAGTGCTGTTCATCTATTTCACTATACTGATGCACATTTATATGTCTCCGGAGTAACAGGTGAAATTTGCCTTTCAATCAGCGCAATCACCGGTCGATAGACCAACGCTCGGGCTTCAGCTCCACTCGGGATCGTGCCACCGGTGATTATGTGTGAGGTCATTTCACCCTGCATTGTATGACAAAAGTGCACGATTTGAAGATTCACTGTTCGAGGAATCTATGCACACGCTACTGTTCTCATTGAGCTATGCATTGACATGAGTCTGGACAGCTTCCACACTGCAGGCTATTCTTGACCCTCCCAGTCTGGTCCGTCTTGGATTTGGATCGTAACCGCCGGCAACTACGAAGTAGCACAGCATCTATCTTGGACAGGTCCTGGTGCAGCAGCTTGCAGCAGACGCAAACACGCATGGCGTTGCATAAAATGCAAAAGCTTCCGACTCGGTCCCGGTGACGCAGCCGCCGGCAGTCACGAAGAAGAAGAATGACCAAGACATAGTGCGCCACTTGGTTCGACCTCCAAGAACCACGCACAATAGTACTCAGGAGTCGACCGGTAGGGGCATGTGTCGGCACAGATCAGAACCGTACCCAACGAGGACAAGTGTATGCGGCTGTTAACCTTAACCGCTTCCGGCGGATCTAATCGTTGGAAGATGACGAAACCTGCAATACCTGGCCTATACAACACGCCATGCATGCATGCACTCGGAACGTACCCACTCGACCACGCAGGCCGGCAAGCCTAACAGCACATGGGTCTCACGTAGCAGCATGGCGTACAGCCGAACGTCCAATCTTCGTACAGAACTCTCGTCGAGATCCAAAAATGACATTCGTATGTAATCTTCAGAGCTGTAGCACGGATTGAGCCGCTGTTACAACGGGAAGTTGGACATCCGGTGAGATTAATTGAACTATAAGGTTGAGATGATATGATCCCTACAACTGTTCCTTCGAATCGAAACCTCATGAGACGAGCCTCGGTCAGTACAAGCTCACATGAATCCGAATAAGGTAAACAGCCGAAACTTAGGGGTTGCATGCCGTCTCGCTGAGAATGTTGAAGTCATACCACAGAAATGACAAGAAGTAGATAGATCAGCCTCGCCATCACACAACAGGAAGGTGGAGCATGCGAACATGGGCAAGACGGCTGCCTTGCAATGCCAAGACTAGGCGGAATGAAGAGGCGCAGGGATCTCTAGAGATCCACGAGGCCACAATCCAATCTATTCTCGATCCGATCGTTCGAATGCCCGGCATAGCAGCTTTTGGATGTCGTCGTGCTTCGGTCTGTGCAGAATCCGTCGGGCTGGTGCATGCCGCCGGGATATCGAGATGCAGACAAAGGGCACTGGCGTGACCACTGATATCATCCGGTTAGTGAAGATTAGCAGATATTCTCAAATAGCATCGTGCAGGCGCGAGCCATAGCTTCTTTGACAGCTCTGCCATGCAGCGCGTCACTGCAGTGAACCTCGGGGAAGTGACTCATGCGACGCCTTGAATGTTCTTCCAACACGTACCGAAGGAATTGTAAATTTGAGTAACATAAAAGCTCGAGTTCATATGATATTGCCGATTGTATATGGAATCTCAGCCAAGCTAGAAGTCCGAAAGGCAAATGTTGGGACCACAAGTTGATTGAACTACAGAAGTTACCCGTTTGGGGGTTGGTGGCGTGTGAAGCACACAGCTCATGCACGGCTTCACGCTGATCCACACCAGCATGTACCGGTAGAATCAGCCGTGGAAGAGCACCCCTCCGCGACGAACACTTTCGAGAGCAGAACAACGCCGCCGCGGCGTCAGCTCAACCGTTTAGAAACGACGCTGCCGTTCGAGATCGATTGGTGACCGCGAGCACCCGTCCGTGCTTCTCTACTTCTGCCGAAGCAGCTCTACCGGGTATCAGTATCCAGCACGGCCTTATAAGCATTGCGTTGCTGGATGGTAGTGCACGATCTTCAGAGTGCGTTCTCCGCTTAACTCCCTGTCTCTCTGTGAATCTGTGACGACTACATGGAGACACGCAAGGAGAAGGGCAACAGGTCGCCCAGAACGTCACCAGTGCCTATACATGCATCGCAGTCTGATTCCACATCCTCTTCTCCATCGTCCACCGTCAAAGTATCATCTCCATTGAACCCATCGTCCTCTCCACCTTCGACCAAACTTTCGCCCTTTGCCTCCATCGATCATGCATCTCTTGCAATAGAACCGTCGCTGAGCCGGCAAATCGATCGTCCTTCTCGTTCACGAGTGCACTCAGTCTCCACCGTGCGTTCCTATACCCCCACTGGAGAGCCTGTGTCACGCGTCAGCTCCAATCCCTTGCCTGCACTCTCAACTTCTGCTTTCGCTTCGCCAGGTCGCGGGTATTCTTCACGCAGTCCCTCTCCTGCTCGAGACCGCTCTGCGAGTCCCTTGCGCGATGCGACTTGGAGAGTTGCATCTGGCCGATCCGAAACGCCACCGCACGGTGTGCCGGTCACCTGGTGGAATTCGCGCGAGCCGATTCCTCGGGCATGGGAACACAGGAGGCAGCGAACGGTACCACCTGAACATACAGAAGGATGGCTGCGCACCCGCAAGGTAGATCTTTTGCACAATCGAAGTATCAGAGCTCAACCGTTATCGACTCTTTATCGCAGCGTGTAGCAGACGCTGCAGTGAGCATAATGGGAGTCGCAGGAGATGTTGTCCATGAAGCGCTGCTTCTCAGCTCAGACGTAGTACAGTTTTCACCGATTCCTGGTCTTCAAGTAGCCGCGCGAGGACTACTCGACATCTGGGACGCTCTGCAACTTGTTGACGTAAGTCAGAATTGATCGCACAGGCGTATGTATTAGCTGAAGAATTCTGATACTCTATCTAGATGAATCGTCTCGCGTGCTTACGGCTTACGGAGCGATGTGCAACTATCTTACTGTCGGTGCGAGAGGAGATCGCTGAGGCCGGAGACGAAGTGGGACAAGAGCTCTTCAGCCCCATCACGCGTCTTGTCGGGTAAGCTCCCTGAAGTGTTGTTCTCGCATGCACTAACCTTGTCTCACAGAACGTACAGTCAAATCCATGGGTTCATGCTCAAGCAGAATCATCGGCCGTTCATCAAGCGGTATCTCAAACGTGGCGAAGTACAGCAGTCCATTCAGGAGTGCGAGCAAGGCCTCAACGATGCTCTCAGTATGTTCAGCGTGAGTACAATCATTACATTCTTGGAACTTGACATAAATATGGCCTTGATATCTCAGCTCGCCATCCAAGTGCGTATTCTGAAGCAAGTTCTTCACGCTGAAGAACAACGCCAGGCGGACACTGCTGCTCTGCTTGATCATGTTATGCACAGTTCCCCATTAGAGAAAGACTTGCCTGCATTGCCCATCACGTCGTCCAACTTGCTGCAATTCTCCAGCACGGTAGCCGATTCCGCTAGCTCTATCGAATCCAGGAACTCGGACGAGGTCAGGGCAACTCTGCAGGAGCTTGCCGAACGTCAAAACGAGCAGGACCTGGTGCAGGACACAGCGGACATGCGGCAGCTGATGCGAGCTGCCTTGCAGGCCAACAGCGATGTCGAAATGATCCGGGTGCTGCAAGTCGGACGCGACGAGATGCCCGAGGCGATCAAGGTTTTACAGCGTGCTCTCGAGACGGAGGTTGAGCGCGAGAGCATCGTCTCTGAGCACGACTACGAGGATGCTGTCTCTGCCGCCATTGCCGCCGATATCACTACTGGCCCGGTCGAGTCGCACACTCGTATGGACGCGAGCGTCCAAAGCAGGAAGTCCTCTGGTGGAGGCAGCTCGCTCTCGTGGAAGAGCACCCCACGCGATACTCTCGACAGAGAGTTCATCGAAACTGGAATAGATGCGTTGCGGCGTCTGAGCGGTGCAGAGGTATCGTTGCCCAGCTGGACGATCACGCGATATGAGGTGGACAGAGAGGAGAAGATTGGGATCGGCTTCTTTTCTGACGTCTATAAGGGCACGTGGAGGAATCGCACTGTCGCAATCAAGGTTCTTGCCCAGACGACCCCGCGACAGATGTTCGTCCATGAGGTGAGTCTTCTCCCGTTTTCTTCCAGTGCTTCTTTTGACGGGCTACAGGTGTCGATATGGAAGACGCTGCAGCATCCCAACGTGCTTGAGCTTCTCGGTGCCTCCTCGACATCGTGTGACCCTCCGTGGTTCTTCGTCAGTCCGTATTACAAGAACGGCAGTATGGTGGAATACCTGAGAGGCGTGCCCACCCTTGATTCTGTCGACCTCCTGAAGATGATCCATGAGACCGCTAAAGGAATGAGTTACTTGCACGGCAGAGGTGTGCTGCATAGCGACCTCAAGGTGAGTTTAACTGATCTCCGACTGAAGGACGTAACATCTGAACGCCGACTTTATAGGGTGCGAACATTCTTGTGAACGATCGGGGACACTGCGTGATCTCGGACTTTGGTCAGAGCGAGATGAAGTCCGAGGTTTACCGCATTAGCGGAACGCCCCTGCCTCGTGCGTACCTGATCTCATATCGTTTCCATCGAGACTTACTGATCTTTTGTTCAAGACGGGACGCTTCGTTGGCAGGCGCCCGAGCTCATGGCTGGTCAGAGCAACATGACGCAGCAAATGGACGTGTACGCCTTCGCAATCTGTTGCGTCGAGGTCCTCACTAAGGGGAACCTACCTTGGCCGACGGCTGACGACGACGCAGTGCGGTACTTCGTCTTAGGTACGCTTTGCATAGTTGCGTCAGGAATTGTATTGACACGCCGTCTCCAGAGCAAAATATGAGGCCCGAATTACCCCTTGTGCGGGTCTGGAGTTCTCAGCTCGGCAATGTTATTCAGTCGTGTTGGAACGTCAATCCGACCTTGCGCCCTTCCTTCTCCAAGATTGAACATGACATTAAGCAGATTCGCCTTCATTTTGGTGCTGATCTTAGAGAGTCCCCACTCCCACTGAAATCTCCGGAGCTTGCGACGCGCAAGTCTCCTGACATGCACCCGGTCCCTTTGCCGTTGCTTCCGCGTAAGTCTTTGCTCCAAATTCGATCACGATCACCCCACTCATTCGATTTTAGCGGACACCATCATAGAGGAATCCACAATATCTTCCGACGCAGCTTCTGTCCAAAGTGCCCCTGCTGAACTCGTCACTACCGCCCTGCGTCGACCAGAGCCTGTTCAGTTGTCTCGCCAAGGCAGTCGCACTTCATCTGTGCACTCGATGCTGGACAGCCTCTCTGAGGACGGTGTGATACTCGATCGAGTAGACTCTCCGCCACCCCTGGATGAGCTCCGTGCGGAGGTGCGTGACGAAAGGCGCTATCGAATGCTACTGCAGCACGAGTTCCATCCGTCGTGTGCGTCTATCCAATGCCTCTCTGCAGACAGACAACTAATATTTTCTCTAGTGACGCTCCCGCTATGGACTCCCACAGTAGTGGCTTTGGGCGCTGTGGGCTATCACTCGAAGCCATCCGGCGAATTTATAACGCTTTTCAATTCATTTCGGCCCGCGGAGTCATCGGGGGGCGTGGCGCGCGATATTCCGTCCTTGTATGGTTATGGACGTGTTGCGACCGGAAGCCAGCGCCAGGACAAGCGTAAGGTCGGGCAGCGCGCTATGGATCTCATCCAGTCGTGGGTACCATCACGCGGTACCGGCCCGTGAGTGCATCCCACACTCCGATGAGTGCTAACGCTGACTTGCTGCGGTGGATAGCCCTAACGTTAGTCGGCGCTACTCGTCGCCACTTCGTGCAGGCCACAAAGCGGCGCACCTCTTCACCGAGCTGACAATGTATCGCTACGTTGAAGAACTCGCGACGCCGAAGCAGTGGTTCAAAGCCAATATAGACCACATTCTCGATCTCTACGGGGCTGTACATCAAATCACTCGGGAGGATTTGTACTTGGGTACGTCGTTCCCTTCCTCCTCCTCCCTTTGTGCGCTAGCTCACTCTTCCAAAGTGATCGGTACCCTGGAGGCGCAGGACTATGCGCTCTTCGTGAGTCACAGCCACCCGGACGGACAGGTACGCATAGCCATTTCTACGTCAACTCTCTCACCGCACTTAACTACGTCCATAGGTGAACTTCAGCGTTTACGCAGCACCACGCGCGGGTCAGCCTTGGGGCGCGTTCTCAACGGCAGACGCGTACCACCCCACGCATGGCATGTCCGGCTCGCAGGTTGGGGGAGCTGCGGGACCGGTGTATGACGAGCCCGTCGGGAGTATGCTCTCTGCGAGCAAGGTCTCCAATGCTGGGCGCGCGGAGCGCGCGGACGGTTGGCCGGTCGTGCTCGTCGCGCGTCTGCGATTCAAACCGGATGGCAGCGAACCGACATCCTTGTGAAGAGGTTTGTGTGGTTGCTTTGTTCGTTGCATCGTCGTTTTGTCGTATCGTCGTGGTCCCTGTGCTTGGTGCGGGCCAAGCGACGCTTTTGCTTTTGCTTGATTTCTTGGTTCCTCGTCCAACTTCTTGCTATCTATCGGCACCCGTATCATTTCACATATATATTCCTCACTGTCCCCTCCAAATTGCATCTATACACACCATGCGTGTCGGACGCTGTATTCAATACCCTCTACACAGAAGAAATATCTGTAGCTATATATTCATGTCTCGGTGCTGTTGTTAGGATATCTGACGCAGCTGCTGTATCTATGTATGCTATTGTTACCATATCAGCTGAGAACCTGAGTGGATTATTTTGAAATCTCGAGTACAGCGAGCATGCAATTCCAATTCTACCCACGACAGAACAAGTATGCGTATAAACATAGCGGAAGCAGAGGCGATGGCATGAGATTACCGCGAACACTGCTACAATAACGTTGGCCGCTCTAGCTCTATGGAATACTCTCTAGCTACGCTACATTGCAAGCAGATCCCGTGTATAATGCACTTCCACTGACTCAGAGCAGCCCAACAGCTACGCCACGCGCGCCTTCCGTCCCCTCCACAAGCCCCGCGACCGCCGCGTACCCCTGTACACGCCGGCGCTCGATATCCCCACCGAGCGCCGTCTCCCACCATCGTTCCCCCTCCGCCGCCCGGACCGCTTCCACGTCCTCTCCCGGGTACGCAGCGCCCGCGTCGCGCCAGCCGCCCTTGAATACCTCGCGCAGCACCTTGACGCCCCGCGGGATCTGCGGGGCGGTGCCGAACCCGTCGCACGCGAGCACGACGGCGGGCGGGACGGTGAGCCGCCCGAGCTTGAAGCACATGGCGGAGACGGCGACGCAGTGCACCGTCGCGCCGTCTGCCTCGGGACGCGCGGCGACGCGGGCGCGGGTGGTGGTAGCAGAGGATGCTGCTGGAGCTGCAGATGGGGCGGACGGGCCGGGCGAGCGCGTGCGTGCGGGGGTGGGCGCGGTGGTTGTGGGCGGGCTGGGGAGGTATGCGGCGAGGACGGGGCCGGTCGTCTGCGCCTGCTGGTCGGCATCTTCCAGGGCGAGCGTGGTGGGCTTGTCCTTCTTAGACGACTTCTTCGGCTTGGTGACGTACCGCGCGATGAGGTACATCTATCCCGGGCACATCAGGCAAGCCCCGTCGCTCTGACGCGGAAATGTACGCACCCACTTGCCGTCCCACCCGGCGATGCCGCAGCGCACTTCGTAACGCGAGAGCGCGGGGATTTCGCGGATGAAGTCCCAGTGCGTCCCGCCGAGCAACATGCGCCCGCCCGACCGGAAGAACGCGGGGAAGCTGACGAGCGCGAACTTGAATCGGACAGCGTCCAGCGTCTGAGGGGACGGGTCAGTGTGAGACCCACAAATGAAGACACTGAAGAGTGGCGTATAAGAATCACGAAGTCGACTGCGCACGGCGCTTGCACCCCGGTCACCTGCTAAGATCCACGCCACGCTACATCCTGACAGTGCAAAGGCGTGTGCTGAATGGATTATCGCCATCCCTCGCATGAGAAAACGTTTCAAGGAAGCGATCGCAGTGTCAACAACGTCCTCCAATCAGAGACGACCTGATTCCTCTGGGCTCCCGTCGATGACGCTTAAAGCAGGTATACACAAAAATGCGAGCACATGTGCGACCGGGAGCCCACTCCGCTAACATTACTGAGCACCCGTGCTGCTCACCTTGGCGTAACATGAATTGCTCAAGTGAATGTTGAAGTCACAGTCATCGGGCCCTTCACCACTCGTGAGTTTATACCGCAACTGATTCGTCGGAGGACGACGCACCTGCCCACGTATTGTACGTCGTGATCTCGTCGAACGGCTTTCTCCCGAGCGGGGATAGCGTCTCCCACCACCTCTCCTCGATCGCAGAACGCGCGCGGGCGGACTTGAAGGCTGAGGATGCGCGAAGGCAGAACACGCGCGCGTCCAGATATATCAATGGCCGAAACACGCGAACTGGGAATCCGAGTCATGTTAATGCAAGGAAAACAGTCTGAAGAAGAAGCACGCACTGTGCCAGAGGATGGGCCAGGAGCGAGCGTTGAGAAAGACGACGAGAAGGGCGACAAACTTGAGCGCGCGACTGGCGATGGTGGTGAGCGCCACGCCGGACTGGGTGAGGCGGCGGACGGCGAGCGCCATGCCGACGGCGGCGGCGGCGGGCGAAAGGCGGCGGGCGATGACGGCGACGGCGGGCATAACGAATAGATTTAATAGACTCGGTCAACCCACGGGAGGTCCGTCTTTTATCGGGACCGGAGCGCCAGGCATGAGGCGTGAATGATTTGTCGCAGGTTATCCCCGAGTATCACGGAGACCGTCCATTTATGGACTCGCACTTCTTCTTTTGGCAACTGTTGTTGTTGAGCGCTGGGCGACCTGGACACCGACTCACGCCAGTACTGTCGTGAAGACAAAGGAGTAACGCGTACACGGCCCACTGTCCAGCGGAGTTTGCGCTAGAACTTCGTCCAACTTCACATACTTGATCACCGCGCGCAGCGCACTGCGACACGTATAAATAGAAACACGTTCGCACCATCACGGAAATAATACAATCAGTCAGGATATTAATACGGAATAGAGGGCGGTGATAATGATACAGCGTATAGAGGATAGTGATAATGATACAACGTATAGAGGGTGGTGATAATGATACAGCATGTCAGACTAATAAGAAGGGAACGCGACAAACGTTGATACTAAACAGCTTACTGCACCACACCCATTTCCGCACAAAAAATATCAGCATAGACCTGCTTAAGACCCAACAACACGACTTTCGAGATGGGAATTTTGCCATCTCTCTGTGCTCCAACATTCCAGGTGGAAAACGGCCCCGCGAGCTCCTTCTTCGTGATATCCTGGAGACAGGAAATTATGTCACCTTCGATGCAGGCACGACAGAAAGAATAACAAAAAACTGACCTCGAAGAATTGTTTGTAATGATTTGCGATGCATGCTGCAAGCGTCCATCGCGATACGGGGACATTTACCGAAACGAGGCGCTGGCCTTCGTAGGCCGGCCACTACAAACAATCAGCGGATCAGTCATATCACACTGTTACAAAAGGAATTAAAAATAAAAATACCAGCACTATCAGCTGAATTTCAGTCAGCCCAACGTTTGCCAGGACGAGATCGTCCGGTCTCTGGAGGGTGTTGGTCGCCCCCACCCGAAGCCCGAGTGCATCCTTCAGTGAAATGCCTCTGCCCATGGCGGAGATGAAAGGGATAGAGCCGATTCGCTCAGTGATCGGGATCTGTCTCGGCACAATATGGCTGGATGGCGGCCTCCACGGCACCTCTTGTAACGTGACCCTTCCGATGCTCGTGTAGCTGGATATCTGCTCTGGAGTAGGTTGAGCAAGACGATGCATTGCGAAACGGTGTAAAGGAGGGTGTGAGGACGCGCTCTGGAGTAGCGACCGACCTTCTGTAGTTTTATACAGCACATCGCCAACAGGTGCGCCTGGCAGGAGGTGGGCGGCGCGTTTGCGTGGACAACGAGAGGTTGTGGAGGATAGCCGTGCATGAGTATTCTCCTCACAGTACATCCCTGCTGCGGATGGCAAAAACACGCACGAGCGCGCGAGTGGCGGAGTTGTGAAGTGACCATGCGGTGCACAGCAAAAGAGGAAACGCATGGCCATTGCAAATTGCCACAGATGCTGTGCAATGCTCGCTACAGCTCGGTGATACTAGCATGGCATATGGTACCAGTGGAGGGCGCCTCGGTATATGCTCGCAGGAGTTCGTTTTTTATGCGAAAATCTGTGCCGGCAGGTCACAGATTCTTCTAAGTTTCGGTAATACAACACTCAGTCAAAAATACATTGCCGCTCACAAGAACTATTGGCGTTCGTCCGTGAGCAACCTCATGCCAAATTACTGTGTGATGAAGTGAACGTAGGGATGCTGCGCAACGATGTCTGGGCTCGTGGGGCCTCGGTATGCTTGTGGCGTTCGATTTTTGTGCGAACGTCTGTGTCGACAGTTCGAAGATCGCTCTACAATAACACAACACTTGGTTAGAAATACTTTGCCGCTCACAAGAACTGTTGGCGCTCATCCATCATGCCAAATCACTGTGGGATCTTATCGAGTCATCCAAAGCTGCGGCGTCATAGCGAGAATATCAACAACTGACTATAATCACTTGCGCTCTGTGCACCTGCAAGGGTACTTATCGGACATGTGGGAGTCGACCGTTTGTGTGTTACGCGTCGGAAGTGAACGAGGTATGCGGCGAGCTCTCGAGCGGCGTGGCTTCGGCGTGGCTCTTGAGCGCTTATAGAGATCATGTGATCGCGGTGCGGTACCGACCGCTCGGCGCTAACTGGTCTACTGTATCGGAGTCAGCGAGGTTGTCCTTCAACCACAACCGACACGCTCAGAAAATAACGACACGGTGTCGGCTGGATCACAGGTACAATGTGGCAGTACCAACTTGAGGTTGCGATTGTCCTTGCATCAACGGCGGTCTGCAGTCTAGTTGTCTTCCTCCTTTCACGACTGCGCGAGGGCAAAATTCAGCTCCCGGAAAGTATTGGCACGGATGTAGCTCTCAGGAACGACCCCTTTGATGTTACCGAACTCGAGGATCTCATCGACGGCATACCTGTTGATGAGGCTCGCTTCTGGAGCCAGGTACGTTTACTTGCGACTTCTTTCATCACATCTGCTGACCTACGTTAAGATGCTGCTGAGGAAGCTGATCATGACGGTGACCTTGGTCGTTGTCCTTGTCGTGCAAAGTGTCTTCTTGGGCTGGGCTATCGTGGAAAACGATGGGTTAAGTCTCGTTGTGTATTCCCTCCATGTCTGCGTCGCACTATACGCGTTTCTTGTCGCTATTCGCTCAATAAGCCAGCGAGATGACCTTCACGCTCAATCTGTCTTTCATTTGTTCGCGTTGACATTCGTCGCTACTTTGTTGCTCGGCACGACAGCCGTCCTGCCGTCGCGTCCGTCTTTGCATGCGAGCTTCTCTGGCGACCTCGTAGGACCCGTGGCGCTCTGGTATACTGCTTTTTTGCTCTACTCTGTGTGCTTCTTGATAGCTGTTACGACGCCGGTTGGTCCCCCTCTGCACTATCCATCGGAAAAGGTTTACTCGGACAAGACCCTCATGTTGGTCAACACGACGGCCGAGGACAACGTTTGCGGCATCACAGGTAAGTCAATGCGAGCCAAATGTAAGTTCAGCTATCTCATTCTCTCGAGTACAGGTGCCTCCGTCTGGGATACCTTCTTCTTCTCGTACACGACGAAGGTCGTGATGCTCGGCAATACCGCCGAAAGCGTAGAGATCGCGGACCTCCCGATCGTGCCCGCCAACATGAGAGCGACAAACATTTACTCGGACATGCGCGCGGCGATTCGCAGGTGGAAGCTTCGGATCCGGAATTGGCAGCCGAAGCCTGGCTCTGGCTGGGAGCTCGGCTACCGCTTGTTGCGAGTTAACACGTATCTTCTGAGTCTGGTTATCGCGCTTTCTTCGGTCACCGCAGTTTTGTTCTATGTGCCTGCATTTTTCCTGCAACGAGTTGTTTCCTACCTCGAGTCAGATCCGCTCAGGACAGACCGAGGTTGGGGTTGGGTGTATAGTGCAGGTCTCTTCTTCAGTAACGCCTTCGTGCATTTGCGTAAGTCAGTTCAACCATAGTGTATATTCGTTGGTCCCTCATATCCGTAACAGTCACAGGTCAACTATGGTCTCTCTCTACCACTAACCTGCAAGTTCGGCTCAAGATCCAATTGAACTCGACGTTGTTTGCAAAAACCCTTGTGCGTAAGGACGTCGCATCCTCCGCGCCCCCGGCTTCTACAACCGAAAATGGTGCTGCAACGAACGGTTCGGCCGACGGTAAGAGCGAGGCAAAACCCGAGGAAGAGGACAATTTCTCTAGCAAGGCGCAGATTATGACTCTCATGACGACTGACGTGGACCGCGTTAGCGAGTTTGCGTGGCATTTGTTCACACTGATTGGTTCGTACGGGCGCGTTTCGCCCGATTTATTTTGTTCACTGGGTTTGAATTCCGTAGATTCGCCCATTGAGGTCGCGATCGGTACAATCTTCTTGTACAATCTTCTGGGTACGATTTACTTTTGCCGATGTAAGCACGTTTTGAGACAAACCTGCAACCATAGGCGTGTCGTGTTTCTTCGGTCTGGCTGTAACATGCTTGTTCTTGCCTCTTAACCACTTCGCTGGGAAGGTAATTGTGGGCGCGCAAGATAAACTCATGAAAGCTCGCGATGAGCGTGTCGGCTTAATGAATGAAGTTTGTTTCTCTGATTAAGTTTGCATTCCCGCGGCTTGCTGATGTGGATGTACGCAGATCCTCGGTGGGATTCGCATGCTCAAGGTTTGGTGATGATCACTTCCGCTTGATTCCCAATTGAAACACATTGTGTTTTTCAGTTCATGGCTTGGGAGCGCAGCTTCGAAGCGCGAGTGATGAAGATTCGCGCAAGAGAACTCAAGTACCAACAGCTCAACTATCACATAGAGGTTCGCATCTATGTCTCTCATTATACACTGTATTGAACATGAGTTCCGTTGCAGGTGTTGTTCAGCACCATTTGGTTCGTATCATGCTGCAGTAAGACCTGAACGATGGTGCTCAAGTAACTTTGATACAACAGGAGTGCTTCTCCGATTCTTGTGACTCTTGTGTCTTTCTGGCATTTCACCGTTATTCGCGGACAAGTGCTCACACCTTCTATTGCGTTCACTTCTGTGAGTGAAGGAGCTTCTGAGAGTCTGATATAGAGATTTATTTAGGTCATGTCTCTCACAGATCAGTGGTAAGTACCGCGTCAACGTTAGCGAGATTCGTCCGTAATAAGATATTTTTAGTCTTCAACGAGATGAAATTCGCCTTAAATGCCCTCCCGGAGACGTTTATCAACATGCTCCAGGTATGACCGAAAATCAACATTGATTCCAGTCTATTGATTGCGTCATCTTCAGTCGCTTGTCTCTATGCGCCGTATTGAGAAATATCTTTACGGCGCGGAGATAGACTCAGTGCCTCCCCTGGATGGTCTATCTCATCCAATCGCATTCCAGTCTGCAACGATCACTTGGCCCCAGGATCGCACTCGGTCGTCCAGTGCAGCCACCACCGCTGCTTCGACTCCCAAGAACAAGTTCGTCCTGATGGACGTGACGCTGAACTTTCCGCTTGGCGAGCTTTCCCTCATCTGTGGCAAGCTGGGTAGCGGAAAGTCACTCCTGTTGCTAGGTATGTGGACAATATGTCATACGGTACTTTGTCGTAATACTAGGATATTGCTAGCTCTGCTCGGAGAGGCAGACTTGTTGACCGGACAGCTCACTTGTCCCCGTTCTCCTCCCGATATCCTTGCGTCGTTTGCTGACGCAGATGTTCGCGAGGAGGAATGGATCGTGCCCGGTGTCTGTGCTTATGTTCCTCAAGTGAGTTCTTCGCTCTCGGAAACAGCACTTTCCTATAATTATCATATCGTTTGCCAGAGTGCGTGGCTGCGAAACGCATCCATCAGGGACAATATCTTGTTCGAACTTCCTTACGTGGAAGAACGCTACCAGAAGACTCTCGAAGTATGAAATTCTGTCGTTTGGACTTGTCACGTCTTAACGTAATCGAGATAGGTCTGCGCGTTGCTCAGCGATTTGCGGATTCTTGAGGATGGCGACATGTCCGAGATCGGAGAACGAGGAGTACGTTTGTCACGGCAAGTTAAAAGGGCAGGCGACTAAGTATACGTTCTGCAGGTGAATTTGTCGGGCGGTCAGAAGGCGCGAGGCAAGTACTACCGATCCTATGATGTTATTGCCGCTGACATTGCCTCGCGCTCTCTCAGTCTCTTTAGCACGTGCAGTGTATTCGCGTGCCTCGGTGCTTCTCCTAGATGATGTCCTGTCTGCTGGTAAGTCGGTCCTGTCCTTCTATCACTCATCACAACGCAGTGAAACTGATCTGCCGTAGTTGATGCACATACTGCTCATCATCTGTACTACGAATGTCTGAAGGGCGATTTGATGCGCAACCGGACAGTTATCCTGGTCTCGCATCACGTCCAACTGTGTGCACCAGGTGCGAGCTACATCGTCGCTCTCGACAATGGCCGGGTACAGTTCCAAGGTGATCGGGGAAACTTCAAGGCATCCGGCGTCCTGAACACACTTGTCCAATCGGGCGCCGCCGACCCATCTGACGAGAAGGAGGAGACCACAACCGTGAATATAGAAGAAGTGATGGATGCGGAAAGGAAAGATGTGTCCGGGGAGGCTTCGGAAGCCAGCTCAACCACCGCTCTGACTTCCAACGATGTGGAGTCCAAGCCTGAGCAGCGGAAAGCTCCGAGAAAAGTCGTCGAAGAAGAGAAACGTGCCGTCGGTCGCATCAGCAATGACATCTGGATGACCTACTTTGGCGCTGCTGGAGGTCTCGGCTATTGGTCGCTTTTCATCTCGGTCATGCTTCTCGCCACTCTTGGCCCCGTTTTTGAGAATGGTTGGCTGCGGTATGTGTGATCTATATCTTCGCGCTTGACCTACAACTCCTACCTACTTGATCTCTGCAGTATCTGGACCGCCGCTGCTACGGAGACCGAGAATGTCAGAACGCCTCTGTTCTATGTTTGCACTTACGCTGCTGTTAGTATTCCTATTGCCAACCATTAGTTTTTGCTGATGTTTACAAATCTTCCAGATCACTACTACCGGTAACGTTCGCACCTGTCCTTCTAATCGCGACTACTCAACGCTACTTCAGTTCTCATTTTTTGGACTGTACGATGGGTTGTGCTCTGTGTGTCGCTTTTTTCTCTCGTCCAAACGTGCGGAGCAGCTGATCCCGTATAGATCACGGTGGTATTCACGCCTCCACTGAGTTGTACAAAAGTGTGTGCAGATGGTGTATGCTCTGATCGCCGCTCGGCTGAGCTCTTTTCAGGACTTCTCGAGTGCGTTCTTTTCGCGAACATCCGCTTCCACGACACTGTATCCAGAGGCCGCCTGCTCAATCGTTTTGGGAAAGACTTTGAGGGTACGGTCATTATAACTGCTGTCATCACCAACCCTTTCATACGGCGTTACGTCAGGTGTTGACAGCAATCTCCCGGATAACTTCGGTCGCAGTGTCGCTTACGGATTGTCTGCTTTGACCACCTTCGTGACCATCAGTATTGTTGGTGGCTTACCGTTCGTTATCGCTGCCATTGTTCTGGGTATTCTGTACTACAACGGTAAGACCTCGTTTCACGCCATTGATTCGATCCACGCTGATGTTATGGTTCTGTAGTTGGCAAGGTATCGACATATAGTCCGTCATTCTTCCGTCCTGCTAACCGTCTTTAGGTCTACGGTCAAACTTCGCGAGACATGCGTAGATTAGGTATATCTCGAGCACAGGAAACAAACTCCCGTGCTAATTTCCTTGGTAGATTCCGTGACTCGATCTCCGCTTTATTCGATGTACGGAGAAACGATTGCAGGAGTAACTGTATTACGGGCATTCGGTGCTTCGTCCAAATTTTTGCGAGATATGCTCCGCTGCGTTGATACTGTAGGCCCTGGACTGTCTAAGCCGTTACTAATAACTTATGGTCTCTTTCAGAATGCGAACCCTTACTATTGGATGTGGGGAGGTAGGTGATTGTTAACAAGTGGACTGTGCTGTTTATTCATGTCATGCAGTTAATCGGTGGTTGTCTGCTCGCTTCGACCTGCTTTCCAGTGCTGTGGTCGGGATAACTGGATTTGTTGCTATTTTGAACCCGAGCATCAGTGCCTCTCTTGCTGGTTTCACTCTCGCGTTCGCTTTCACAATCACCAGTGACGTATGTTACTCGATGCCTTTTCACTCACAATTTGCTGATGAGTTCCCCCTTTGAGTAGCTGTTGTTCTTGGTATGCACTGTATTTTGTCTCAATTGTGTCCTTGCTTAGTGAGTTGCAGGTTCGGCGATTTGTTGGCCTTGAACAGTCGATGGTATGTGTGACGAAGGTGCACATGTGATCATTTTGACTTACAATCACGATGCTAGGTTGCTATTGAGCGAATCAAGGAGTTCTCCGAACTCAAGCGTGAGCCACCAGAGTTCATTGAGCCACGCCCTCCAGCGACTTGGCCTGCGCATGGTGCCATCAAGTGTGAGAACCTGGTGATTCGATATGCAGTAAGTCTAGCGAGATTCACCGTGATACATGACACTATCTTTGCCGCAGCCTGAACTACCGAATGTTCTACACAACCTCAATTTTGAAATCAAACCTGGCGAGAAGGTCGGCGTGCTCGGAAGAACGGGCTCTGGGAAGAGCACGCTAGCCTTGTCGTTCTTCCGATTTGTGGAGCCAACAGAAGGGCGCATCCTCGTCGACGATGTGGATATTTCGCAGCTTGGCCTCACCGACCTCAGGAGCAAGTTGACTATTATTCCCCGTCAGTGATCCTATTTCGTGTTCTTAAACAAATCAGTCCTCACCAAGCATAACCAGAGGATCCAACTATCTTGAGTGGTACATTACGCTCCATGCTTGATGTTTTCGACGAGTATGACGACGCCGAAATTGTGTGTTCATATATTACTTCAATGAAGAATCGTGCTGATAGAGCTCTTGCAACAGTATGAGGCGCTTCACCGCGTCCATCTCATCCCATCATCCGATACCCCTGCTGAGGACGAAGATGCGGTTAATGCAAATGTCTTCCGTAACCTTGACTCTCCCGTCTCCGAGGGCGGAGAGAACTTTTCCACTGGGTGAGTACGGCACTTATTGCTTCTGTCATCGGTCTGAACGGGCTTGCAGCGAGAAGCAGTTGCTGTGCATGGCCCGGGCTATCCTCAAGCGCTCAAAGGTGCTGTTGATGGACGAGGTGCGTTGTTGTTGATGAGAGATGTAAAGCCATATTCGAGATACTGACGCTTCCGAACTTAGGCTACCGCAAGGTGAGTGCTACGCGGGTGCCGTCGAGCTGGAAGACTGACGGCTTTACAGCGTGGATTATGCAACGGACGAATTAATTGGGAAGACGATCAGACAGTGCGCAACTTTGCCTTCCGCTCTGCTTGTCAATGGCTAATACAATATGCGCTTCACAGGGAGTTCGCAGAGAGCACTATCCTTACCATCGCACACCGGTTGCGCACGGTAATCGACTACGACAGAGTGAGCCTCTACTTCCAATTTCCCCGTAGACGTTTATTCACCAATCGTCTCCGCAGGTCATGCTACTGGAACAGGGAAGAATCGTTGAATTTGACAAACCGCGAACGCTACTTGCAGACCCCCGGTCGAAGTTTCACGCACTGTGCAGGGCGACGGGGAAGAACGAGTTCGCCGTCCTCAAGAAGATGGCGGGCGTGTCTTAGAGATCTCGTTAGACTGGGTTAGACCGGGAAACAGAAGGTCGTATTGGGAGTATTGGAACTTCTATAGCATAGAGAGTAGTGATGGAAGATCTAGATAATGCCTGACGATACACGGCTATGTATACCTCGTTAAATAAATGAGAGAACGTTAGACTATCTATTATCTACGAAGCGTACCCACCGACCTTTGCTCCTCCAAAAAAAAAAAAAAGCGTACCCACCGATGTTCCAGAGGCCTGCTTCACTGAAGAGTTGATCAAGGGTGTTTGCTCAAGAATTACCGTGACTCGTGAGCGTCGACATGGTGGCGCTAAGAAGTAGAGTATTGTGTATTATTTGTCTTCTTTCCAAATCAAGCAAGTACTGAACGCGCCTCTCCATCTCGGCAAAACTGCTTCTCTGCGTTGTATACTGGGGCTAACTTTCACCACTCACGTAATTCAGTCTAGCAGTATCAGGGACAATATAAAAATTTCCGTCATTGCCGCCCCTTACTCACTCTATCATGGAAACCCAAAAGCCCGCTGCAAAGTGCGTCGACATATGATTCGTACATGGCTCACGGTTTATTTAATTGGCTCTCATTGCAGGAAGCGCAAAATCACGGACAAGAGCATTCCCAATGCATTATTCCAGTCTCCAGAGTTCACCGCCGACTCACAGATGTACCGCGACCTGCTGGATATGGAGAGGCGGCTCGACTGGACGATGACGCGCAAACGCGTCGAAGTGCAGGATACGCTGGGGCGCGTTATTGCAGTTCGTGTTCATTTTCATAAGCATGATGCATCATATGATGACCCTTATCTTTGGTGGCTTCTTGCATTGCAGACGCCACGAACACTGCGCATATTCTTGAGCCATACGGTGTCCGGCCAGACGTGGCAGATGGTAGACGGCGCGGGGCTAGGCGGTGCGGAGGTGAAGGTGAATCCAGAGACTGGCGAAGGTATTCCAGCGTGGTCGTTCAGGATAGAGGGCCGGTTGTTAGAGGTGCGTGATATCTCCTCGTGTGTCCGTGAACTACGACGAACCTCTAGATAGATCCCCAACCAGCGTGCAAAGGACAGAGTACCGCCACGCAAATTCTCCACATTCATAAAGCAGATGGTGGTTGAGTTGGACCGTGACATGACGCTATACCCAGAGGGTAACATCGTGGAAGTGCGTATAGCTTATCTTAGGTCGCTCGGTCGGCTCATCTCGTGTATCAGTGGGTGCGCGGGCCAAATCAAGCACATCTAGATGGTTTCACCGTCCGGAGAAAAGGAGATGGCCCGACCAAGATCAGAATCATTTTACACCTGGAACAGCAGCCCGAGCATTACAAAGTCCATCCTGAGCTCGGTCAGTTCCAGTTCAAGTCATCGGCTGCGTGGCGTCTGATTCATGATCCATTCACAGGCAGGATTTTAGGCCTCAGAGAGGAAAGCAGGACGGGCGTCGTTCAGGCGTTGTGGAACTATATCAAATTGCAGGGTCTGCAAGACAAGGTCGATCGTCGCATGGTCCGCCCAGACGCCTATCTGCGACCAGTGAGTGCCTTTTTATGCTGCTGTTCTGTACGCATAGTTGACGCCGTGCTAGCTCTTTGGTGTCGACCAGCTGCCATTCCAAAACCTACCAGAACTGGTGAATCGCTTCCTGCTCCCTCCAGACCCCATCATCCTGCACTATACCCTGAATCCTGCTGTACCACCCCCTGAAAAGCCAGGTGCCTGGGATGTTGAAGTGCGGGTAGACGACTCAACGCTGAAGGGCCGCATGAATCACGTCATCGTCCAAATGGCATCAGAGAGCGCGCGGGACTTGGCGAAATTGGATGACGAGGTATGCTCATTGTTCACATGTCAATGTGGATATTGGATCCTCACTATCTTGCGCAGATCGCGCTGCTTGCTCAGTCGCTGAACAACTCTAACCTGAAGCGTAACTTCCTCCGTGCGTTCGCGGACGACCCGCAGGGGTTCATCCAGACCTGGTTGGCGTCGCAGTCGCGTGATCTCGAGAGTGTGCTGGGTAGCGGACCTAGCGAAGGCGGTACTGTGCGCCAGGAAGACCTGAAGCGCAGCGAGTTTTTCAGGCTGCCTTGGGTAGAGGAGGCAGTTGCTGTTCAAGAGGGGATGCGTCTTGCTGCGAAGGCTGGCATGTAGTTGCAATTGTATCGTAATGTTGACTGTTTTTGTAGCCAGTACTTTGTGCTAGATTGATGTATGATTGGAGACCACAGATCTTTCCTGCAGATCGCCATGATCACCAACAGACTCTCGCGCACTCTTTCTGCCTTCAACCGATCCATCCGACGCTGGGAACCCATACCTTTGCGAAACGCACAGAGCCAAGTGACGCAGACGCTTTCTCTCATATCATGGAACATTGACGCTTTCTCGCGGCCCGTCTCACGCGCCAAACTCATCCTCAGCCATATCCTCAAGGAACCGGAATCTCCTGATATTCTCTTGCTCCAAGAAGTCACGCCTGAGGTCCGGGCCTCTCTCCTAGACGATGCGAGAGTGCGCGCTGCCTTCCTGGCCACTGATTTGAGGACCAAACGTCGTTTGAGGACGTGCCCTTTGCGACCATGACGTTGCTGTCCAGCGCGCGCTTTACCTCCCTCCTGGATTCGCAGAAGGAAGGCGATGGGATCGAGAGAGGGGATAATTTCATGCTCGGGCCCGTCTCCGCGTGATACTCCCGAGCAAGTACAGGAGGGATGCTCTTTGTGTGGACATCATCCACCCAATATCGCCGGGTACAGTCTTCCGTCTCATCAACGTGCACCTCGACTCGCTCGAGGATACGCTACACTACCGCGCACAGCAGATGAAGATAATGGCCAACGTCCTACGCGAGCCCGGATACAGTGGCGGGATCATTGCAGGCGACTTCAACGCCATCACCCCCGGGGATGATGGGCTCGTCGACAAGAACGAACTGGTAGATGCGTGGGTCGCACTGAATGGGAGGGAAGACCTTGATGGAGCTACGTGGGGTGTCGGCTTGGAACGGCGGGACGGACTGGGGCCGGGCAGGTTGGACAAGGTTGCAATGATGGGCTTAAAGGCTCAGGAGATAAAAGTCCTCCGCCCTGGTACTATTGAGGTACCCAGGCCGGGCGAGAAACCTGTCGAGATCCCTTGGAGTGACCATTGCGGGCTGAGATTCACCTTTATCATCTGAATACTGCCAAGCAGGTTTAGGCTAGCACCCTCGCCGTCGCTTCCAGGTCAAATCCTTCTCGCATACCTGCCAACGTCGCGCTTGGAACATATCAAGAATAAGGCAGCACGTCGCCGTAGCTTGGCGAATTTATTTCACTCATGCTTAGCTCGCGTAGTGGAACCTCTCCAAGAAGCTGGCAGGTCAGGGATTGCAATGGCTAGCGGTGATGGAGTTGAGCGTCGCTGCCATCCCATACTGGCCGCATATGTCGGGGATTATCCGGAGCAATGTCTAGTGACCTGTGCGTACACCGGAGACTGTCCTGTGTGCGACTGCCCCCACGATGATCTTGGTTCTTTTCCTTGCGAGTACGACTATCGCGACCTTGATGCTGTCTACGAAGCACTGGATTTATTAGGCTCACCAAAATTCAATGAAGCCTGTGAATCTGCCAACCTCAAACCCATACAGCATCCATTCTGGGAGAAATTACCGTATGTCAACATCTTCCTCTCCATCACTCCCGACATTCTTCACCAGCTGTACCAAGGAGTGGTAAGACACCTTCTGTCATGACTCACTGATGTATGTGGTGCGGCCGAGATTGATGCACGTGTGCGACGTCTACCTCCGAATCACGATATCCGCATCTTCCACAAAGGGATCACAAGTCTTTCACGAGTCAGTGGGACAGAACACAAGCAAATGTGCCGTTTCCTGCTTGGTCTAGTCGTTGATATTCCTATGCCCAGAGACCTGTCAGCAGCGCCTCTAGTTCGTGCGACGCGGTCTATTCTGAATTTTCTATACCTTGCACAGTATCCCGTTCACACCGAGGAGACCCTACAGGCTCTGGACGCGTCGCTTGTGGAGTATCATGCCAACAAGTATATCTTCATGGATCTGGGAATACGTGATCAATTTAACATTCCGAAGTTTCATTTCCTCGAACACTACGCCCGTAGCATCAGGCTTTTCGGCACTACTGATAACTACAACACGGAATCCACTGAGCGGCGTCACATCGATTTCGCCAAGGATGCCTATCGTGCAACAAATTGTAAGGATGAATTCCGCAGATGACGAAGTGGCTAGAGCGGCGCGAAAAGGTGATCCACCTTGCAAAGTACATAATCTGGCGTTCCCACCAAGCCGTGTCAGCCGAAAATATCATCGCGGTTGCATACGAGCGTCGTTGGGAGCCGCCAGACATGGCTTGCGCTCTTCACCAGAAGATGACTCGGCATCCCACTCGCAAGGGTGTCGACCTTGAACTCCTCGCCTCACCGTCGCATTATGGTGCGACATTCTTCGTCCCGGCTCTCGCCCGATTCATTGCTCAGTACAACAACCCCACACTCTCAATCCAGCAGATTGAAGAATGCGCAGCAACGATCCGTTTTCCCTTCCACTCGGTTCCAGTCTTTCACAAGATCAAATTCTGGAATGAAGAGGTCCACGGCAAGGAGACTTTGGATTCTATCCATGCCCATCCCCGCATCTTCGATAAAGATGGGGATGTCGTAGTCCCTGCCCCTTTCGACACTGCACTCATCCAGGTACGTGCCGCACGACTCGAAGACTTAGTGGGATCGACCCTCCAAGGTACGTATGTAATGAACTCTGTTAGCACGATTGTGTCTCTGACCTGAGGTTCTTGCTCCGCATAGCGAAGCGCGTTGGACAGATTCGTTTAAAATTTTGTCTCTGCCGTCGTCAGCCTTGGGACTTTTTCCTCATAACAGTCCTCCACCTCGCCACCTTGCTTACGTGGAATGGTTTTCGAAATTCACGGCATCTCCTGACGCAAACCTCAAGATGTACAAGGTAAAGCAGACACTCAAAGATGGTGCAAGGCTCGCTTCTGTTGTGCCTCTGTCACTGATCCAAATCAGCGTTCATCTCCTACCAAAATGGAGGCGTGCCGTACCTGCTCACTGGACGAGTGAGAACGTCCTCGACCAATGCTCTACATTCTACGTGAACCCCTTCAAAAATCGGCATACCTACTTCAATTTATATTGACATCTTTGTGCATCGGTCGTGAACTAGTAGCGTACACAATTCACATGTTCCAGTAGTAATTATTAGTTTTTTCAATGTGATTATTGTCGAAGCCAAAGGAATGAGCACGCTTTCCTACAATTCACCGGAAAACGTCAAATTTATACGCATTCTCTACAATTGGACGGTCCTATGAATTCTTCACAATGGCGCCGGGAGGTTTTTCCTGATGCCAGTCAACTGGGCAAACAACCACCAAGCAGGGTCCCAGAATCGGACCAGGCATCAGGGAAACCCCACTTTTCCTTAAAAGGACACTTAAATAACTTACATGGACTTATGGTCGTTATTTAAGGACATAAGGACAAAAAGGGCCTAAGGCATCTTCCCTGAGTGTCTGAAATTCGACTTATTTAAACACTTATGGCCTTAAATAGGGGTTGTCGGACCCAAAAATCTAAATAAGTCCATAAGAGAAAGTTGGGAGTGCCCGCTTCTTGTCCCCGCTGGCACCACCCGCTTCTTGTCGCTGTCGACATCGTCGGTAACCGGGAACCAGGACCAGGACCCGCGGACGTAACGAGCGAGCAGGTGAGTCGGTTGTTTGCGATGCCTACTGAGTACTGACGCGCCAGAAGCTTGCAAAGTTGCGTACAGTGCGTCAGGTTCATTCCGCAGGTACGACAATATACTGAGAACTGAGAACATTTCGCAGGAAGCAGGTGAAGTGAGTCCATCACAAGACAGGACCATTTTCATGGACAAGTATTGTGAGTTTAAATTGAGCACGATATTTACCTACACGGACAGCATGGTCTCTTTCTCACCACGTACACAGAAGTGATAAACCCTTCTGCGGTCTCTGTATCTTCGAAACCTCCATTATCTCAGCCCTTGTTTGTCATGCCACATTTCGGCACTAAAAACTTAGGCCAATGTGAAGGAGACGCAGTCGCGGTGGATAATGCGCACTTGAAGACCGAGTTAGAAAACACAATGGTGAAGAATGACATTCAGGTGAAGGAAGAATTAGTGGAGCAAATTCTCGGCACCTTGGACGAAGGGAATGTCAAGCATGACTGGCTGGAAGGTCTATTATATGCACGGTACGGGTTCATTAACAATCCGCGCTACGAGGAAGTCACAAAGAAAGTCCTGGAACCCAAGCATGTCATGGGTGCACTCGCTGAGAAGCAGTATAGGTTCGAGGTCGAAGAGATGGGTCATGGCATCATCCATTTTGTCTCATCTCTCGCGAATGCTCAGGTGCCCGAGGAACAATGGGATCTCTGCGAGAAAAATCCCGCATATGTGCTGGAGATCCACAAACCTATGTTCAGAGTCCAGCGCTACAAATTCGCAGACAACTCGTGGGGATATGCGCTGACGCCGGTCAAAACTCGGTTGATAAGATCGTGGCAAATTGTCGTCCGCGATGCGATGGCAGTCATCCAGTGTGTCCGATGCGAATGGGGTCCATCCTTGGAGGAATTGGCCGCGGAATACGTACGCATTGGAATTCCCTTCCAGACTCTAATGAGCGTGGCGATGGACCGCGTGCAGTGGAGGGACACCGGCTTATGTCCGAGCGTGCCCCGCCGCTCGAAAGATTTCAAAGCCACTCAGGAAGAGTACGACATATACGTTCACCGCCGTGACCAACTGCTATCGCAGCCGCGGGCCCGCGCCGCTGCACTAGCGGGAGGAATTCTCTGGCGACTCAGCAGAGAGGCATTGGAACACCGCAGAGATGTTCCGCTCGGTCCGTCAAAGGAGGTGACATCTTATTACGGGCCCACTGCTGGGGAACAATCGGGCACGCTTGACGATACACTCACGGAAGATGAAATCAAAATTTTACACGGCATGTACTACGTGGAGACAGGGGAGTCTGCAGTAACGCTATGCCAAACAAGCTATTACTTAATATCTATACAGGTAATGGTGGCGGGAACCAAGTAACTCATGTCTCCTGGTGGCCTTCACCTGACATCTGGAAGAGCTGTGGCCTAGATGTTGGGTACTGGACATCGGGGGCCGAAGCGTGGTTTCAGAAGAGGTTAGAGGAGATGAAAACAGGGAAGGCAACCGTTGAGAGTCAGGGCTCGTGGAGGTCAAAGATGCGGTTCTACAAGAAAAACTCTTGCGCCGTGATCAAGCATACAGAGCGGATGTGTGCGGACGTCTTGCAGCACCTCCTGTAGTGTCTACAAAGCTGACATCATTTCTCGAGGTTGTACTGTGGAACAATTCGCGCGCGGAGAAGCCGCGCTGCGGCTCTCTGAGCTGTATCCGGGGGTCCGAATGTTGAATGTAGTTTCTTGTGTTCTTCACGTATAAGGACAGTAGACCCGTGTCGTGTACAGCTTCTGCAGAGCTCGAGGAGAGCACGAGTGGGTAGAAAGATTCATAGCCGTAGCGCCGTCCTCATGTCCGGGGTGACCGAAATTCGAGAGGTTCGTCAGAGAATGGATGCTGCGCCTTTAAGTCAGGTTTCGCAAATACTCATGGAAAGCTGAATCTCGACGGCGTGTTCGGCTCGTGCCTTTGACGCGGTCAGTTCCCAATATGGCAAGCATAAGCTTCCCGATCGCATCTCTTGCCTGGGCCAATAATTCCCGTTACCGTCATGTGGGGCTCCAGAGTCGAACCACCACCTTCGCGTCACCGTCGTTATTGTTGGTAACCAGTGCGAGGAGCAGCGGACAGCGGACATGGCGAGCAAGCAGGTGAGTTCGTTAGTCTATGTTTGTGATGCCTAACTGACGCGTTAGAAGCTTGGAAAGTTGCGCCAGGTGTGTCGCGTTCATTCGGAAGATGCGACGATGCAGGAACTGAGATCATTTCGCAGTGGGCCGGCGAAGTAATTTCGTCGCGGGACCGGACCATCGTCACAGATGAATTTCGTGAGCTTGAGCACGATATCGAGCTGCGAAGGCAGGGCTTGTGGAAGTGAGTACCAGCTGCCGGTGTGTATGACATTGTTCACGCCTTGTGAACTATGACGGCAGGCTCCATGTCGCATCGGAGGATTGTCACGAAGCCCTCCGAAAGAAGAAGATTTCTGAGGTCATCGAGGACTCCGGGAAAATGCTGCCCATCGACGCGCTAGGCGTGGTTATGATCCAGCACGGGGAGGAGTTTGGCGATGATTCTGCCTTCGGTACTTCTTTGGTCATCTGGAGGGTACCCCGTATATTCATCTTGTCTCATCAATCGTAGGGACATCTTTGGTTAACTTGGGTCGTGCTCACTGCAAGATGGCGACGCTCCAGGAGACGTACGCGATGCTGTTCGAGGAGAACTATATCGCTTCGTTGCGTCGTGCCGAAGACGAGATCAAGGAGTATCAGGTGGTGCGAAAGAAGCTCGAGAGCAGACGGTGCGCATATAACCCGTCCCGTCGTGTATCTGCTTTAATTTGTCTATGATAGGTTAAGCTACGATGCAGCTATCACAAAACTAGATAAGGTGAAGAACAGTAAAAAGGAGAAAGAGAAAGAGCGGATAGAAGCCGAGGATGAATGTGCGAGAGCGCAGTCGCGCTAGTGCGTCCCCGGTTTCGCGTCACTGATGTCGGACTAGGCTCAATCGTTGCTTGTCACATAGCGAAGAGACTGCCGAGGATGTGCGCGCGCGCATGCACGCAATTCAAGACAACGAGGTCTCTCTGTTGCGGGAGCTCTCAGGACTATTGGACGTCGAGATCAATTACGCCGAACAATGCGTGGAAGTCCTGCGGGATGTGAAGTCAGGCTGGGTTGACGAGTAAGTCGCGGTGGTTTTATCTTTGGGACGTCTGGCTCATCAAGTCACGAAGGTCTACACTACAGCAGATGGAACCTCATCGTGGGAAGGCGGGTCCTACGCACTCGTTCATCCGCTCTGCACCGAACGAGCATCGCTCTAACTCTGTACGTTCAATGAAGTCCCTTTCAAAGCACGCAGAGTTGTCGGACGAGTCCGTAGAAGAGCCGTCGAAGGGGATAAGGAGATCGCTGAGTCGGCGAAAGTCACAGGCCAGCAGCAGGGCGCCGTCTCGCGCGCAATCTCGTGCGTCTAGGAAGCGCTCAGACAGCACTGCGACTGCGGCAAGCGAGAAGGACAGAGACAAGACGGACAAGGAGAAGGAGAAAGAGAAGGCCGACAAGGCGCCGCGGAAGATGAGCGTGGCAGGGTGGGCATCCAGTGCGATGAGCTCTGTCACGGCCCTTGGGAAGAAAGACAAGGATAAGGACGCCTTTGCTGCGCTACATGACGATGCTGGAGTCGGCCATCACCCTGGAGACGAGGATTATGCTGACGTGAAGAGATCCACAGGCATGTACGCCAAGAGCAAGAGCGCGCCTGCCACACCGAGTCTGTCTCCTAAGGGGGTCACCCGTATGCCTGCGAGTCAATCGATGTACGCATCCTCGCGATGGAACGCGGCTCCACGCAAGGTTGCGGTGGCGCTGTATGACTTCGCTGCGGGATCGTCGGACGAGCTGACGTTCCGCACGGGGGACCAGATCGTTGTCGTTAACGAGGTGCTCGACGGCTGGTGGATGGGCGAGCTGGGCGGAAAGCGCGGTCTCTTCCCCAGAACGTACACGGAAGTGATCAACCCGCCTTCGCTCTCTGTGTCTTCGAGACCGCCATTACCGCAGCGCCCACCTGTCATATCACGCTTTGGCGCCAACACGCCCTCTACGCTTTCCTTGGACAGCGACGATCCCAAACGCGGGACGGAGCATGTCGGGACGGAGGAATTTGTTACGAGCGATGTGGACGATGAACATCTCTTTGGCGACCACAACTATGCGGGGGTCAGTAGTCCCCTGTACGGCGCGTTCAATCACGACGGTGCAAGCAGCGGTGGGGAGGACGATGAGGAGGAGCACCTCATGCCAATCCGGCGGTCGAAGGACGACGACGATTCCGATACGTGGCAGACCAGCACCTCGTACCTCCCACCGGGAAGGATCTCTGAGATTGCGGTGAAGGCAGCGCCTGCGAAGAAGCCGCCGCCACCTCCTCCCCCTCGGCGGTCGGCAACCGCCTCTCCGTCTGTTCCGCCGGTGCCCAGTCGTCATGGGACAATCCGCTCCAAGTCGTCGCAGGGCAGCTCGGTGTCGCTGGTGGCGTTGGCTAATACTCCCACCAATTCGGTGGGAATGGCCAGGATGACACATTCGCCGTTCGACAGCCCGCGAGACTTTCAATGACATGGATATCGATTCTGCTCTCGTGTATTTCCTGCTGGTTTTCCATAGGACTGAGATATCGGACTTGCTGCGTTTCTGTCTACTCCGTACTACTACTATACTGCATGTCGCTCATGAGCTTGACCTGTTTCTAATACACGTCGAGGTTGTACCTGGTAGCACGGTCAGTGTAATCTAAGCGCTGGGCGTTATCAGATAATACGCCCTCCAGCAAGTCTGATCGTGACTCCGATGTCATCTTCCCCACACGACCGCCTCCCTCGCAGCCTCACCATCCTCTATGCGACGGAGACGGGAAATGCGCAGGAAATTTCAGATCGCGTCGCAAGACAGTGCAGGCGCATCCATCTGGACGCGATAGTGCACAGCATGAACGCCTACGCCCCGGTACGTCCTCGCGGTATTCGACCAACATGTCAACATCATACTCAGTGGTTCCCAGTCGGACCTTATCTCGGAGAACCGCGTGGTGTTTGTCGTGTCGACGACGGGAACAGGGAAGGAGCCACGCGCGATGACGCCGCTGTGGAATATGCTCCTCCGCGCGGACCTCCCGGAGGACCTGTTTGAAGACCTCGCGTTTGCGGTGTTCGGCCTGGGAGACTCCGCCTATGAGAAGTTCTGCTGGCCCGCGAAATTACTGGCCCGCCGGCTCGAGAGTCTGGGCGCGACGGAGATATGTGCGCGCGGCGAGGGGGATGACCAGCACCCGCTCGGGTACGTTGTAGTATCACCTTTAATTTGCCGTGCATTGCAGTTTTGGTGTTACACGGGCTAATGCGTGTTTAGGGTCGACGGCGCGTTTGAGCCGTGGATAGCGAAGCTCGAGGACGTGCTCCTCGCGATGTACCCCCTCCCGCCCGACGTGGTGATCCCACCAGCAGACAGCCTACCCCCGCCGCGCATCTCGCTCTCTGACGCGGACGGGCCGAGCTCCAGTGCTCTCAAGGATCCGCTGGCGCTGGATCGGCGGTACAACACTGCGACGATGTCGTGCAACCGCCGAATCACTGCGGAGGATTGGTACCAGGACGTGCGGCACTTTGAGTTTGACTTCGAGGAGGATGTGCGGTGCGTGCGACTGCGTTAGTCGAGTTTGTTGTTGAATGAGACGAGACGGCGAGCAGGTACGAGCCTGGGGACGTCCTTGTCATACACCCGGAAGCTGCAGCAATGGACGTGGACACCGTGCTTGTAACACTTGGCTTTGCGAACGTAGCGGACGACCCGTTCACGATTACACATGCATTACTAGGTACCGTACACCGACCTACCTTTGACCAGTGATAACTGAGATGCTCGCAGACCAGTCTCTCCCCGATCACCTCCCCCACAGGACCACGCTACGCGCGCTCTTCACGCGATACCTCGACATCGGCGCGGTCCCACGCCGCTCGTTCTTCGCGCTCTTGCGACACTTTGTCACGGACGAGCTCGAGCGCGAGAAGCTGGAGGAGTTTCTAAGCGCGGAAGGCGCGGTAAGTGCTGACCTCTCCCCTGTCGAACGAGACGCCCGCTAATTTCTCCCCTGTAAGGACGAGATGTACGAGTACTGCCAGCGCCCGAGGAGGACGATCCGCGAGGTTCTGGACGAGTTCCGCTCGGCGCGCGTGCCCCGTGAATACGTGTTCGACCTCTTCCCGCCGCTCCGGTCACGCGAGTTCTCCATCGCCAGCTCGGTCAAGGTGCGTGGCTCCTCCCGCCCTTCCCCTGTCCAGCTGCGTGCACCTCTTTCTTACCGCGCTTGCAGCGGCATCCGCGCCAGGTGCATCTGTGTGTTGCGATCGTGCACTACAGGACGATGCTCAAGGTGCCCCGGCGGGGCGTGTGCACGAGCTACCTCGCGCGCTTGCGGGTCGGTGCGTTGCGGGTCGAGTGTTGGTTTAATGTGCTAATTGGTGGGTGGTATAGGCGATACGCTGCGCGTGGGGATACAAAAGGGACTGCTCGCGCTCCCCGAGGACGCGCGGACGCCCGTCATATGCGTCGGCCCCGGGACGGGCGTCGCGCCGATGCGCGCGCTGATCGAGGAGCGCGTATTTGCGGGGTCCACGGGTGTGTCCATTGCCAGTTTACCTCGGGCGTATGTGCTAACGAGCGCAGAAAATACGCTGTACTTCGGCTGCCGCTCGGCGAAGAAAGACCAGCATTACCACCGCGAGTTGGAGGCGCACGCGCAGCAGGGGGAGCTCACGTACCGCGTTGCGTGCTCGCGCGATGGGCCGCCAGGGGTCGCGCGTACGTATGTGCAGGACCTGATTAGGGAGGACGCGCTGCGGGTGTGGGGGCTGCTCGTCCGGGGTGCGTGGGTGTATATATCTGGGTGCGTCCTCGTTTGAATCACGCTTGAGGAGGAGGAGGGCTAAGTGGCCTTGAAGGTCGTCGAACAAGATGCCAGCGGGAGTACGGGGTGCGCTGCGCGATGTGGTGAGGATGGAGGGGGGGAAGGGTGAGGAGGAGGCGCGGGAGTATGTTGGCGCGATGGAGAGGGAGGGGAGGTTGATTGAGGAGTGTTGGAGTTGAGGTTGATGCTTGATTATACCGGACTGGACGAGCCTGACGATAGGTGAATGATGGTAGACCCTGCGCGTGCTGAGATCAGTGGAGGAATCCCCGCACCAGGCTGGCGGTGCAGAGGTCCAGTTGATGATGTGCTGAGATGCAACCCGGTCTACTCAACAGCATCGAGTTCATCTCCTATTTGGATTTCCCATTTGTTCCTCGCTCACGGTGGGTGAAACGTGGTATCTACGTGCGGGACATCCGAATATCAGCTCAGGGACTAGTCGGGCTTAAGAGCAAACAAGGTAGAGCCTCGCTCATCGAGAGGCGACATTGCGCGCTTCATTACAGCGTCTTGTCCTTATACATGCACCTGTGGATGAGAGTTAGTAGAACAGGTGCGGGGAGGGGAGGATAGCACACCTAGATAACGGCAAAGGTTGTATGCGACTTCGAATGGATGGAGAGTATAGACATCGATGGACTGCCGGACACAGTCGACTGTGTACACCCACCTGAGGCTCAGCAGGAAACCGGGCGAAGTGGAGATCCATGCGCGTAGAGAGGATCCGAACGTCGAAGATGCGCCTCGGATATTGACAACTATACGTCCACAACATACGTGACATCTTGCCTGACAACGTACCCAAAACGCACCTCACGAGCGGGTTCCGAGTCTTAGATCCAGCATGTACGAGCCCGTCGCTCGCCGCCGCGCTGCAGTCTGGAAGACGTCTCTCAGCCTCTGAGACGCGCCGAGACGCGCTGCAAATTGCGTTATGACCTTGTTTGCAACCACGGATCCAAGGTAGCTTCGGCTGCGCGTTTCAGCAAAATTTCGGGCCACACAGGCTTCTTCGAGCTCTGTTTGAGGGTGTTGAAGTGGGCTGGAACGGAGTGGACGTGGAACCAGGTGGCGGGTGGGCGCCTATTAGTAGTCGCAGCCACAGGCGCGACACCCGACGGCGCGCGCTGCGGTTCCTTCCCTATTAACACCACAACGTTGACGACGCACCTTTTCACGACGTCAACATATTCGTACTATTCATTAACAACTTTTTAGACAATGTCGCCGTCGAAAGCCCCTGGCGCAAAGCGGCAGTCCAGGGTACTCGCCGCGCTAGACAATCCTGCTTTTTTCTCTCCAGATCCTGCGGCGGCTGTCCCGCCTGTTCCCTCGCAGTCGACCCTAGTAGCGCCCATTAAGAGACCGATTGAACCGCCCCCGGAGCTGCTGGGTACGCAGAAGAGGCGTAGGACAGAGCGGGAGAACGTTCCTGGGTCTGCTATGGACGGCGTAACACCAGGTGGGTCGTCTCTTCTCAGCTGTGACTGGCCACGATGATCCGCAAAAGAGGTCTTAGAAGCGGGGAGAGTCGTATTTTAGCTCATTCTGCAGCATACATGCACCTTTGCTCAGGAATTGTATACTGAATGTTCTTTGTGCCCCTAGCCGGTGCCCAGCTGCTGTCCCAAATCCTCGGTACGCAACCGCGGGGTAGCCAGCCTTCGCATTCCGGCGGCAGCGGTGCTCCCCCGGTCGTAGTCGGCGGGGTTATCGGCGGGATCGCGGGCAATGGTTTCCACTTGCGGTACGACGCGGAGGCGCCGGTGCATCGCATCGACATGGGCGGCCAGGACCAGAATATGAGGTGCGTGACGCATTTTCCTGTAGTGGTATTACTGAAATGCGGGTGTGTGTGCGCACAGAATGGCAGAGTTCGTGACGCGGACGATCGACAATGCGTCGCATGGGATTACCGTCAAGGCTGCGATGGAGAAGCTCGGGCTGCACGAGTATGCTTCTGTTGCGCATGTATTGATTTTGGTGTGCTGAAATTTGCGTGGTAGTGCTCGCGACCTGCTCCCGGGTCTCGAGGTGCGTCTCTTGCCGCACCAGGCTATTGGCGTGAACTGGTAAGTATTGGTCCCTACCTCTCCGCTCTCCGGCGCAGAACACCGTTTCAATAGGATGCTCGATCAAGAGCGCAATACTCCGCATAAAGGCGGCATCCTAGCGTACGTCTCCTCCCCTCCCTTTGTTCACCTTCTTATATTAGCTCTGCGCAGAGACGACATGGGTCTAGGTACGTTTGTCTCGACGACGTGATATTAGGTATTAACGCGTGATACAGGCAAGACCGTGCAAATGATTGCGACGATGGCGATGAACCAGCCCGGCGAGGGCGACACGCACCGCTCGACGCTCATCGTCGTCCCCGCCGCACTGCTCCTCCAGGTAACGTTCGCTTTCAAATGCGCGTTCCGAACGTGATATTGACTACGTGACGCGCACAGTGGAAGGAGGAAATCGAGTCGAAGACGAACGGGATGTTCTCCGTGCACATCCAGCATGGACGCGAGAAAATCAAGTCCCTCCCAAAGCTCGCGGAGAAAGACGTGCGTTCCCCACCACTTCTCTGTTGCTATAACGCTGAGAAATGGCAGGTGGTCATCACGACGTACCACACCCTGAACTCGGACTTTGCCGTTCCGTCGGACGTCGAGAGCTCAGACGAGATGGACTGGATCGTCACAAACGGGTACGCGTCGCGATATGTGCGGGAGCTGCTGATGCTGACTGGATGTGCTAAGCGGTCTGATGGCGCGCATGAAATGGTTCCGCGTCGTCCTGGACGAGGCGCAGTTCATCCGGAACAGGTGAGTGTCCGTCACCCGTCCCGTGCGGACGTATCGAGAGGTCTGAGCCGACTTCGAATAGATCTACACGCTCGAGCAAGGCTGTCGCTATGCTCCGCGCGAAATACCGGTGGTGCCTCACTGGTACGCCTGTCACGAATACACTGTAAGCACTCGCGGATCTCGCTGGTGCGAGAGTTATTAGCTGACTTGGGATCTCAAGTGCGGACATTTATGGCCTCATTCGGTTTGGGCGCTTTCGTCCATGGAAGTACGTGTCGCCGCCTCCTGCAATTAGCATTGGAGATGTTGCTTAAGGACGCGATTTTCAGTGATTGGGAAGACTTTAACGCGTATATCGCGAAGGTGCAGCTCGAGGACGCGCCGCTTGCGGGTACGTCGCCTCGGTTCGTTCCTAGCTCCGTACACCGCATGACCTAGGTACATGCTAGGTCTTCGCGCCCAGGAGGTGCTGAAGCCGCTCCTGCTCAGACGGACGAAGGACGCCGAGCTGGTTAGTATAAAGTTCATTTATTGATTTGGGTCGTTGGTCTTGACATTGCATTATCCCTACCTGGATTGTAGGAGGGACGTCCGTTACTCCAGTTGCCTGAGAAACACATCGAGCTGGTCACGCTCGAATTCTCCGAGGAAGAGCGGGAGGTGCGTTCTTCTACGGCTGGTCGTGGTTCTGATATAAACGTTTACGTTTCTTCGGTCCTGCGCGCGGCGGACTCGATATAGCTTTACGACAGCTTCGAGAAGCGAGCGCAGATCCAGATCAATAGGTTCATTCGGGAGAACACGATCGTGAAGAAGTGCGTCCTCCCTCACTTTGCTGTTCTTCTACTGACTCGTCTGTCTCTCCTGTGTATAGTCATACTGCAGTGCTTGTGAGTCTGCTTATATGGTTAGGTTCCGTTGAATCCGACGAGTGACGGTCGGTGTACAGGTCCTGATTCTGCGCATGCGCCAGTTGTGCTGCCACCCGCACCTCATTCTGGTATGCCCTTCGGTCGTTGGGCAGTTCCCCGTTCGTGATGTTGACGCCTCGTTGGACTTTTAGAGTCTCACGGAAGGCTTTGAAGACCCGACGCTACTTGTTGGGAGCGATGCCGACAAGGAAATCGCCCGTGCGAACAAGCTCTTGGGTGCACAGTGGGTCATGGAGGTATGTCCTCTCGTCGCATCAGCGTCTGTAGTCCAAGACTTATGCATGACACGGCGTTGTTAGGTCAAGAAAAGGTGTGTCTAGTATAGAAGTTGGTTAAATGCCCCCTAACGGGGCTATGCAAGATTCATGGCGCGTGCTCGTGCAGCGCAGTTCGACTTCGGCGACGAGGACGACGAGACTGAGCCGACTTGTCCCGTCTGTGGTGACCGTGAGTAACCGCATTGTAGCAGCGTTCGTTCTGGCTGACGTACGCCCGTCAGTGTTCATGAACGACAGTGGTCGCCTGCTTGCATGTGGCCATGAAATCTGCAACGGTGCGTCTTCCACGCTATTGCAGTTTTTTTGCGAAAGTTATTTAGAATTATGTTGGTAGATTGTCTGGATGCGCTGGGTACCGCACCTATCATGCATGACGGCGAGTTGTATGTATCCGAAGCTCCTGCTGGATAACGTTTTTCTGATAACTTGACCCGCAGTGGTCTCGGGGACGAGCAGACGAACTTGCGCATCGAGAAGGAGTTCGAAGCAGCCGCGGCTAAGGGTCTCCGCCCATGTAAGTTCTTCTCACATACGTCTAATCTTTGCGTAACCGATGTCCTGCAGGTCCCACCTGTAAGAAGATGAACGACCTGCGGCCGACACACGTCTTCAGAGCGTCCGCGTTCGAGCCCGCGGCGGACGAAGTGCGCATGGCGATGCAGCGCGCACGGGAAGCCCGCCGCCGCGCGGCGCCCGGACCGCCGAAACGTGTCGTGCGCAGGTCCGAGGTAGAGGAGCTCATCGAGCTGAGCGATAGTTCGGACGAGGACTTGCCGGATATCTCGCAGCTGCTGGCACGGGAGGGGAACAAGAAAGGGAAGGGGAAGGGGAAGGGGAAGAGGGTCGTGAGTGACGACAGCGATGCTGAGGTGCGTTTGTCCTTGTGTCTGCCTGGAGTGAGGAAGGGTGCTGATATATGTGTAGGGCGCGCCTGCTGCAAAGGTGAAGAAGGAGACGCGCACGGATAAGGGGAAGGGGAAGGGGAGGTCGCGCGATTGGGACTCTGACGACGACGCGCCGCGCAAGGTGTCGGGTGACCTGCTCGCAACGTGGAACCGCGGAGACAACAACATGGAGCCGAGCACGAAGATGCTCGCGCTCATCGAGCTCCTGCAGGAGTGGGAAGCCACCGGAGACAAGACGATAGTGTTTTCGCAATGTTGGTACTGTCCGGTGCTTGCTTTTGGCTTTTTGTTTTTAACTTAGACTAGGGACGTCGATGCTCGATCTTGTCGAGACGCTGTTTGCGAGGTATGGGATACGGAGCCTGCGCTATGACGGGAGAATGGGCCGTGAGGCGCGGGAGATGGTGCTCGCCCAATTCAGGAAGTCTGGTGGGCCCAGGGTCATCCTCATCAGGTGCGTCCGCTGCTCTCCATGCGGCCCTACTACAAAATTCACGTCACACCTCACAGTATCAAGTGCGGCGGCGTCGGCCTGAACCTCGTTTCAGCAAACAGGATCATCAAGTGGGTGTTTTTATTTTGATGAGAGGCTGTAGGGCCCACTTTCTGATATGTTGGCAGCCTCGATCTCTCGTGGAACTATGCGTCCGAGTCCCAGGCGTACGACCGTGTGCATCGGCTCGGACAGGAGAAGGAGGTCTTCGTGAAACGGCTCGTCGTGAGTAACACCATTGAGGAGCGGTACGTTCTTCACCTCTCAGTTTTACTTGTCCCGGAGGCTGACGTGGTGCGTTTATCTTGTAGGATGCTGCAATTACAGGAAACAAAAGTCGGTAGGTGGCGTAGCATGATTGTTTTATGCTTGGCTAGTGCTGATGATATTTATGCAGGTCTTGCGGAAGCGGCGCTCGGTGAAGGGACAGGTGTAAAGCTACATAAGCTGAGCGTGAAAGAGCTCAAAGATGTGCGTGTTGCGTCTTTTTCCTGTTCCTACCTTCGCCATATTGGTCCTTGTTCGAGGCATATTTTGATATTCTCTTCCCATTGCTTCCCTTCTCATCCTTGCTCATTCTCTTACATTGCCATTCCCCTCTCCTCTGTTCTGGTGTTCTCTCCGAGTGATACTTGTTTTCTTTGCGGTGACCATGCTGATGATCCGAATCTCCTAGCTGTTCGGCATGAGCAAGAACCCCAACAATAATGCCGCCGGAAATCGCTTGCGGCAGACAAGGCTTGACGCTAATTTGGATTCAGATTCAGATTGAGCTCGAGGTTCTGTGTGCGGATCCATGGCGTGCTGGTGGTGGTGTGGTGGTATTAGAAAGCTTAGTGGATTTATGCTAATTGTATTGTTATCCATCCGTTATAACTGCTGAGGGGTTTGTGCTTATAATAGTTTGGTTAATTGTGCTTACCCCATGTGGGGATTGTATGTGTCTGAGGTTAATGCCATTGATGAGAGGGATCTGCATGGAGGTATATATGTGTAAGTGCTAGCTTGGAGGAAGGACCAGGGATGTAGACGACGCGGGACAAAGGCTTCGCCTTGACCTTCGATGCCTTCGAATCGCTGAACTGTTCTAGTTGTACTTGCAAGGATTTGTCCTGAGCAACAGTGAACCTATCATCCGTGAACGGGATCTGCGATGCAATCAAGACATCGTTCACGGATTTTTCCCTGGAGTACAGAGACCAGACGGAAGGGGCGACGGGTCTGCTGAGTCTCCCGTACCGCTTTCCCACAACGTCGGCTATCCAGACGGGACGTGGTTAGGTGTAGGTATTACCTGCGAGAGTGAAGAGTATCTTACCAAATTCGAGATAGTTGGGATAGAAAGAAAAGACATGTTCAGCGAACGTGTACTCAAAGTTAGATGGAATATGATCAGCGTGGGAGGGAGGTGGGGTTACGGTACAAGCGCTATCTGCTGCTTGGAAGAAGTGGCGCACAAGTTCGAATTGCAACGGTTTCGCCAGCCTCTTGATCGACGGGCATACATTTGGCTACCTGGTTCAATTTGCAATGCAATGGATACGAATATGCTCCAGGCCAGAGGCGACTAGTGATACAAATGGAATAACACTATGAATAACTTACAGGACTAGATCATATGGACAACCATCGACGGTACAGATTTTGGGCCAGAGCTGTCGCACCCGTGATTACGAAAATCAGAGACAGGTTATACGCAGCCTCTCGGGCGAGCCCGAAGTCCTGGAGAAGAAGATGGGAGACCAACAACAAGGCAAGGCATACATTACATACCCGATCGTCGATTTTTAGCCTCTCCTCTGCGATCTCCAAAACTCGTTCGTAATGGCGGACAGCGAGAGAATGCAGTCCTGTACGGATGATGACGTCATTTCATGGCACATACGAGTTCTGACCGTGCTGCTAATACCTAACTGCTGGAACGCCCGTCCGAAATTAAATTCCACCTCGTCCATTCCGACGGCGTCACATCCACGCAGCGTACGATAGCGAGTAAGGAATGCCATCCCCTATTGAACCCGTCGCTTAATTAGCGAACAGCTAGCAAGTGTAGTAATCCAACCTGTGCGATCAGATGATGACGGTTGTCCGACTGACGCTGCATTGCACGTCCGAGCGAAGCGATAGCCGCGCAAAGACAAATCATAGGATCATCAGGGCAGTAGTCATAGGCATGCAACAGATAGACTACCGGGTTTCAAGTCAGCCGCGCCAAATTATTCAAACTAGACATAACACGTACAGAGAGCACTTTGGTAGCTCTTTGCCGCAAGACAGATCTGCCCGTAAATCGCAACGCCGATAGGATTGTCTTTCGTCGGCATACGCCGGCTCTTCTCCGAGTCTGCAGGAGAAATCTCAGCAGGAATGTCATCTTCGTCGTCGACGTCATCTGCGTCTACTTTCGAGGAAGCACTGCCCAGACCATATCGATGCAGAGTATTGTTCCATTTGAGCACATCCTTGTTCTTCACTGCTGCATCTGCGAGCTTGAGTTCGCGCTGCAAATGTTTGGTCAAGGTCGATGCCAGAAAGGCATCTGTCGCATGCAAACCGCCGCCTAGCGAAGCGACTAGTATACGAAGAGCTTCATTATTGAACTGGTGTCCGTTGATGAGCTTCCGTGCTTGCTCGACCACGGTCATGTGTTTATCAGCACGGAGGGCGCAAGCTGAATTATAACTTGTTCAGGCAAAGCAGGCCGGGTCCGCATTGGAAAACTCACTTATCAGCGCAAGTCGTATCGTGTCCTGAGAAGCGCGACTTTGGTACGCGTTCGAATAAGTGATATGGCGCAGAACCTCGATTGCTTGGTCGTATTGATTTCGTTTCGTGAGCAAGAATGCATACTGAACATGGTTGACGCAATCAGAAAGCGGCGGAGACGCTGTAGGTGATAATACTCAACGTGCATGAACAACCGAAGCCAGTCGTCAAATGATATCGTGCGGAAGGTATCGACACCTTCCGCCCTAGATTTTCGCGTAATAGAGTCCCGCCCTGCTCAACAAATTGCAGTGAAAGGCTTGATCGCATGGCGTAGAGCTTACCGAGCTCGAGCTGCAGGCGAGACGCCATACTCTCTTCGCTCGCTTCTGCCGTCTGCTTTCTGGAGCTTCTAGGGAACATCCCCCTGAATCCTGAATGCTAGATCACACAAGGGAATAAGCACGATCTCCGCGGAAGGACATGCTAGACCAACCCTGGTGGTAAGAAATAAGTTCCTTGTTTCCCTAAACGACTCGACCAGCTTTTCCGCCTCGACCAACCACTCTCGCTCTGCCGCCTCCTCGCCTGCGAGCATGCCTGCCCAGAGCTCTTTAATCCTGTGGAATCCCTGCACGACTTCACGCTCATTCACCGCCTCAAGCTCTCGCAGCTGCGCTGGAGTGAGTTTGTTCGCGGCTTTAGCGGATGCACTCTTCCCTTTGGCCCGGGCTTTCTCTTCGAAAAGTGAAGTAGAAGCATCGTCTGTTTCACCACCCTCTGTGACTTCTTGACGCGGTCGCTTTTTCCGGGAATCAATGACTAGCAGAGGTCGTCAACTTCTTCGCTAAGGCCTCGGCAAGAAGTTACGCTCACCCTGTAGCACTAAGTCGAGAGCTTTTCGCGGCTCGTTGAGAATCTCATAGATTTCGGCGAGCTTCATCTTGGCTTCGTTGTGTGTCGGATCTGCGGTAATGACTGTGAAAGTTCCAGTATGAAGATGAGCATTTTCTTGAGAACATTAAAACCCACTATGCTCGTATACTTCGGCGGCTTCCTTGATATCGCCCATCATACGTCGGCACGCCGCAGCTTGGAGAAGTACGTAGAGACTGCTCGTCTATGGTTCCATCCAGTGCACATAAGCAGGACATTCGCATCGCACCACCGACTAAAGATCACGATGAATCAACCACTTACCCCCGCATCTCCGCCAAGGGTCTCATAAATGTGACCTGCCTCGACATATAGCCCACGCTCAAAATATGCATCAGCGATTTCGGCAAACAGCGGGGCGTACTCAGTGACGTCCTGCGATAGTACAATGTTGGCATGCATCTGAGAATTAAGATGAAGACGTGAACACTCTCCGTGGTAGAAAGAAGAGCTGACCTTTCCCTCATCCACTTCGCCCATCTTGATCCTTGCGATAGCCAACCTGTGCCGCGCATTGACGTCCAGTGGGTACATCCCTGGCTGAAGCTCGCCTTCTGCGCCCCTCATGCCCTCCGTTGTATCGTACTCGCGATCATCATCGCAAACATCCCAAAATTTCTGCTGCCCCCTTCCCTGCAGCCAGCGACACCCACCCCTGATAGTCTCCACGGCTTTCTCATACTCCCCAAGCGTGTTGTACAAGTCGGCGAGGACAAGCAGATACATCAGGCCAAATCCACCGCCAGGAACCTCTCGCTGCTGCTCGGCGTCATATCCGACACCCGCTGGAACTGTAACCTGATAATGTGCGAAGGCATCCCCAAAGAGAGATGCGCACAGAGCGAGGTCGGACAGCTCGATCAGGATGGGACGGAGCTCGTCCAGGACGACGAGATGGTGCGGTAAGCGTTTCAATATCGCAAGAAGCGTTTGGCGTGCCTGACTCAAACTTGAACCAGAATTTGGCTACTTAGCATGGTGACAGCCCTACCGTTTTGAGTTCTCCAATATCTTTTGCAAGTGTCGCCCGATCCCAAAGCGCGTTGACGTTGCTTGGATCGAGGCTGTACAGTTTTCCGAAGCAATACAGCGCCTGTTGGTTGTATCCAAGGGCCCTGAGCGAAGACAACAGACATGAGCTTTCAGCGAAACACGAACGGCGCACAGAAATACAAACATCGACTGCCTCGCCAGCTGATCCCACTCATCCGCATCGTGGGTCAGGTGTGCCGCCATAATGCGCAGTTGCAACGCCTTCTGCGGCTCATTCAAGTCTTCATAACACTGCGCGAGGACGGACCATGCAGATGAGGCGCGAGGCTCGATGCGGATGACTTCCTGCATTACGCGCATGGTCTCGGGGACGTTGTTGTCCACGTATGCCTGATTCCCCTGTCCGATGAGAAGGCGGACTTCTTGAGACAGCACTGGCCCCGGATGTCTCCCGTGCTTTTATAAGGATCAGTACGGGACGCTCTTCCAAAAAAACCGCAGTAGGCCAGCGAAGTGAGGCGTACTACTGTGGCAGAAAGGACAACCAATGTGTTCGCCAATCCCAGAAGACGATGGCCGCCGGTCACTGACTACTTGCACTCCACACAGTAGTCCAGCCCACTCGCCAGAGAGTCCTACGACGACAGAATGACACTCGCCTTTTTCTTGGTACGACCTACGCCAGATGCTGCACGTAAGTCGCTGAGAAATTCGGCCTCTTTTTCCTCGATATTCAAGTCCCAATCTTTGCCGAGCATGCCGGAACTGGACCCATCCCCAGCCTTGCGAATGTTTTGGACAAGACGGCTGCGAAACAGGTGAATAAATCGCTCAATTCTGAATTATGGGAAGCACACACTCAAAATCTCCTTCTATACGCACTTCGGCAAGAGAATCGCCCAGTGAGAGCGTTTCGGCCCTTCCACTCGTCGTTTCATCTTCCTCAGACTCAGACTCCTCTTCCTCGGACCCGTCATCTTCGGCGGCTTCGTACTCGTCGTCGCTACTTTCTGCAAACTCTGGATCTTCCGAACCATCGTCGTCTATGTTTCACACTCTAGCTGTCAAATCATATCTAGAAGAGCCAAATGCGAAAAGACAGACCCATCACGAAGCTTGAGCAGGACGGTTGCATGTTGATTCAACTTCACAGCGTGTATACGAGGTGTCTCAGGTCTGATTGAAATTTGAAAATACTAGCACAAAGGGCTTCAGGTATTATGGAATCGATAGGGAACGGTGAACACACCCTATACTGGTAATTGGAATCACGCCCGACCTGTTCGTTTGAGCTCTATGCTCCGGTTTCGGGATATACTCAATAACTTTCTAAACACTCGAAAGCGGAATGTACGGTGGCTGAATCTGGTTGCGGCTTTCTGGAAATGGGTCTTGAAGATTGCACTACGACTGCACAACTTCTGATCGATGTTGTGTTGATTGATAACAAGACGGTCGAACAGGGTTCTCTCCACAGTCAAGTAAGTGTTCTGTACATCGTGTAAACAGAGCAACGATGTGGATATTCAGCAGCACGCTTTGTGCATCCTTACTCGATGATCGCTGAGTCAGCGTCGGTTCCGTCCTTGCTCTTCGTCGCGACTCACAAATGGCGAGCTCGTCGCTCGAAAGGCCCTCGCATGGTATGTAGTACTCATTCATGCGATTAACATCGACGCGATGTCTAAAGTCCGAATTTAACGGGTCCCCAACTCTTATTGTTTCCAACGGTGACGTCGGACCCATACCTACCATCGTACTGACAGCCTTACTGACTTGACCTCTCACTAGCTAGCCATGAGTCCGCGACACGAACCTCGAATGACGACTAAGAGTATGTTGGTTCCTTCGCACGCAATTGCTTCGAGTCTCTTGCGTTGACAAATTAATTTAACGAAGCGCTTCTCGACAATTTGATGCTGGAAGAAGTCGTGGTACCGGCCCTACCTGGAGCTGTGTGAAACTTTGGGAACCAATTTCACTAGACGTGAATGTCTTCACCGCAAGACTCACCCTCCAAGCTCGTGCGCACTGCCCTCCTCGAACAGGCAAATATTATCAGAAAAACGCGTAGGCTGTTAGGTCAATCGAATGTATGTGGTTTGTATCTAGATCCGATATGCTGGACCTCATAACTATCACCACGATGTCCTCACCGGAATACGATTATCATGACACAGAAGCGTCAGTGCTTTATCATAGCATCAACACGCCGCCGAATGTTCGAGTCCGCACACGATGGTATGGGTTGCTCACTTCGACACTCGAGTACATTGATGCCTATCACTCCCGGCGTATCGCTCGAAAATGCAGTCTCAAACATTCTCGCAAAACGCAGCGCACTTCTACTAAATACATGCTGTCTTCTTTTTGGGGCAGCCATAGAGTTCGTTACTCGATTGCGGGGTACAAGACCATGGAACGGCTACATCTCCCGCAAGAATCTATCAGTTCGAACTTTGAACGGGCCCGCACCGCATGCATGAGAGTATTCCCAACGTTTACGTCGTGTGACCAAATAGTTTATATGTGGTTGGAAACTCTACAGCATCCATATCATCTTCACACGGAAAACGATAATAGGAACTTCTCTGCCCGTGGGCCGTGGTCAGTTCTTCGAGGAAACTCTGTATACCGTCACATAGTTGAATTTCAATACGTAATACTCAGCGGGGATGGTTTTCTCCCAAAAATGAGATGTATACGAAATACCTGAGATCCTACTCGAAGCATTATAATTCCGTGGAGGGTGCACCGGTCCACGGTATATCTACTACAATACCATCTAATATTTGCGATGAATTCGACCATGCAGGTGTCATGAGAATGTACGGAGTTCGAAAACTTGATCCATTCCGCGAAATCTTGAACTTCCGCCGGCAAGTTGAGTAGTAGACGCTGAGATCTAACGTACTTAATACGACAGCGCGAAGCTCATCTATCTGCCCACTGCCAGCTGGGAGGGGATCCAGTTCACAGTCAGAACCACCTACCGAAAGGCAGCAGCAATCCAAGGTGTGCATCCTCACCAAACTCGATTTTTCATTCATGACCTTCGTAGCTTTCCAGTATGAAAGTTTGTAGCGGTGGTGCGCGCGAGCTGTACGCGCTCGCGAGCCCTTGCTCTCGCGAATTTTGGTCTGCCGTACTCCCTGCTGGGTTTGTAGCCTTTGTGCTGCTTTCGCTGGTCCCAATTCCTACACTGCTGCGGAGGACGGCGAATGCCATCAAGCGACCGTTCACTGAATTCATGAGTCTCCCCGAGGCGGAGGCCCTTGACGCGGGGGAAGACGTGTCCGAGGAAGAGATCCTCAAAGAAGCCTCACCAGTTCCGCTATGGCGTAGCGTCCTGCTGGCCTTCGTCGCCGTGGTCGAGACGCTCGTCTGGCTCGGCGTTAGCGCCCGCGCGATGTACCTCGAGCCGGAGGACCCTTGGAAAGCTGTGTGCGCGTTCCTTGTTGCACTCTCGTGGTTCTATGCGGCTGGCCGGCCTGTCGTCGCTCCGACCGCGACTGTGCCAAGCGACTTGCTCATACTCTTCTTCATGCGCTTCGTGCTTAGCCTACTCATGTTCGGCGGCGTGCTGTTTGATCACGCGGTGTATAGGTTCCCGCTTCCCTCTCCACTGGTACTGGTTGCGTACACTGCGGATCTGGTCGCAGTCGCACTGCTACTGCTGGTCGTGGTTAACATGCCGCTCGCGATCCCGAGTCGACGGGTTAACAAGGCAGAAATCGGGAAGTCCATTTCGCCCGAGGACTATACCACGCTTTTGGGGTGGGCGTCGTTCATGTGGGTGATGCCTCTTATCGATCGTGTACGTCGTTTCACCTTTCGCATGGGCGCCGCGCGTACTGATTTCCGTGCAGGGAACTGTTACTACTCTTAGCGAAGACGATGTGTGGGCATTGAGCCCGACGATGCAGGCGCGCCCTCTGTACATCAAGTTCATGAGGTCAAAGAGTTTGTCGCTCTTGCGTCGCCTGTGGTCAACAAACTCGAAGGACATGATCCTCGACGCGGTGCTCTCGATAGTGAGCGTCGTCTTCAACTACGCGGGGCCGTTCTTCCTGAAGAGGATTCTGGATGCCCTCGACTCGCGTTCGGACCCGACGGCGGAGATGCACGCGATTGCATACGTCTTCGCCTTCCTCGCCTTCCTGTCCACGCTCTGCAAGGTGGGTGACAAACGTGCCAGCAAACGCGGTCGGTGCTGATGCCAGCTGTGTAGGCAGAGTCGGATGTGCAGCACCTGTGGTACAGTCGCCGTGCGAGCGTGCGTGCTCGTTCGGAACTTATGACTGCAATTTACGATAAGGCGCTGAAGCGGAAAGACTTCTCTGGTATCATTGACAAGGAAAAGGTGAAGGAGGCGAAGGAAGCCAAGGATGCTAAGGGCAAAGCTCCCGAGTCCGGTAAGTGATATTCGGAAACTACCTGCATAATCCGCTAACGGGTGCGACAGCTAAACCAGCCGAGAAGAAAGATCCCAAAATTGATGATCCCAAAGCGGGCGCGGATATTGGCAAGATCGTGAACTTGATGGCGGGTGATGCTGGCAGGGTAAGCGAGATCTGGAATTCCGGCCTTTATGATCTCATTATGACTTAGATCGCAAATGTGATATCCGGCATGTACATGATATATGGTGGTAAGATCTCCTCTTGATCTTGCTCATAGCGACTGCTGAACCATCACGAAGCTCCGTTTGAAATCGCTATCGCAAGCACATTCCTGTATCAGTGAGTATGCATCTGTCTGGATGTGCACCTTGAATCTAACGTGTTGGAATACAGACTCATGGGCTTTTCGGCCTTTGCTGGCTTTATTATACTGGTAGTCGGCTGGCCGCTTAACAATTATGTTGCCAAACGTGCTGTGCGCATCCAAAAGGGAGTCTCCACCGCGCGCGATAAGCGGATGAGTGTCCTGAACGAGTTGATTGGGGCGGTATGTTCAGGACGTCATCACACTTTCTGTTGAGTGAGCAAACCATCTTTCATTCTTGCAGGTCAAATTCATCAAGTTTTTTGCGTGGGAAGAGCGTTGGACCGAACGCGTAATGGATGCGCGTGAGGTCGAGATGCAGTGGATGGTGAAATGTGTGTCTGAGCAAGACGCTTTCGTCCTCTGATGCTGACGGTCATATTCAGCCCGCGTGAACAACGTCATGTTCTCTCTTATTTGGACGACTGCCCCGATTTTACTCTCCGTCACTTCGTTCACTGTGTACGTTCTGCAGGGTAATGAATTGACAGTCGGCACAGCGTTCACTGTACGTTTGTTCCTCTCTTACACGAGTCTTCATCTGATACTTGCCGCAGGCTATCGCACTGTTCTCCATGATCAGGTCAGTTGGTGTTCCCCTGCATAAGCTCAGACGCATGCTGACGAAACCATCCAGGGCACCGCTCAATGTCATCCCGGCTTGGATAGTCCAAGTTCTACAGGTGCGTCAGACTTTGTAATAACCATCTCTATTATTCGCTTATCGCGATGTTCAATCCAGGCGAAGGTCGCGTTGGATCGTATCGCGACATATCTGGAAGAGGAAGAAGTCGACGAACAGGTATCTTCGCTGAAGCGTGGGCACGTGAAGCCCGCAGACGTTGAAGAAGAGGGGTTCGGCATCGTCAACGGCACATTCAAGTGGAACGAGGTTGAGGAGAAAGACGAGGGCAAGGACAAGAACGGAAAGCAGAAGCAGAGAGCATCTTCCGACTCGGGGTCGGACGAGACGAACACAGTCGTCGAAGGACAGTCCTCTGCAGGAGACACTGAAGGTGACATGGCTGTTGACATGACTCATCGCTTTGAGTTGCGTGACATCAGCGTCATGTTCCCTGAAGGCGAGCTGTCCGTCGTTACTGGACCGACTGGGAGCGGGAAAACTGCACTCTTGGTACGTCTAACACACCTCGCGCTTGACACAGGCGTTAATGATAAGCGACAATGGACTAGATGGCATTGCTGGGTGAATTGACTCGTTTGGAAGGCCGCATCGTGATGTCGAAGAACCCGTCGAAGGTGGATGAACACGGTCTGTCGCATACGATCTCGTATTCGGCGCAATCTCCATGGTTGCGTCATCAATCGATCAAGGACAACATTATCTTCGGGTACCCTTATGACGAGGAGCGTTACAATGCAGTAGTCGAATGCTGCGCTCTGCAGACGGACCTGAGCATTCTTGAGGATGGAGACGCAACAGAGATTGGCGCTCGGTGAGTCATGACGAGCTCTGGTTGCATGCCATTGCACTGACGAGTCGCATGCAGGGGTGTCAGTCTTTCCGGCGGGCAGAAGGCTAGGTGAGCGCGTTCTCACTTCTGCACTGCGATGACGGCTGAGTGTTATTTAGAGTTGCGCTCGCACGTGCAGTGTATGCGGTACGTTGCTTGAGGTGTATTACTTCCCAAGTGGTTAAAGATACTCGGTTTCCAGCGTAGCAAGTACGTCCTACTCGACGATCCTTTGAGTGCAGTGGTGAGTGCTACCGGACTGTGACCTCAACCACGATTTACCTGTGGTCGTAACAGGATAGTCACACTGCGCGCTTCTTGTTCGAGCGGCTCTTGTGCGGACCTCTGTTGGAACACCGTACTGTGGTACGTTCGTCTTAACTTTCCACAAGCGAATGACTCAGTCTCTTGTCAGATCCTCGTCACTCATCATGTTGAGCTCGTCCTTCCCGGAGCGCACTACCTCGTACGTATGCTAGATGGGCGGATAGATACGCAGGGCATGATCAAGGATCTACGTGCCCAAGGCGTTTTGGATTATATTACTCATGATGAATCGGTCGAAGCTCACAAGGAAGAACAGCAAGCGCAGGAGGAAGAGACGAAGGGAAACCCCAATGCAGAAATCGATGCCGAAGGTTCGCCTGAGACAGCAGTGGAGGCAGCAAAACCAAAGTCCGCCAGAAAGCTGGTGGAGGAGGAGAAGAGAGAAACTGGCAGCGTCAAGTGGTCTATCTACAATACCTACCTGAAGGCATCGTACGTTGTGGATTTCACGTCATACTTCTGCCTTGACTGAATAATGCACAGATCTTATTGGACGTGGATTATTCTGTTCACTTTAGTCGTTGCGACACAGGTGTGTATTATCACGTTATATCGTAGGCGATTGTGTTTACCATTCGTGTAGTTCCTCGGAGTCTCAGAAAAGCTCTGGATCAAGGTAACCTCACGACCCTTATTTTGGCTCAGCCGAGCTAACATCCATTTCTCTAGGTGTGGGGTGAGGCCTACGGTGCACCAAACTCCACCTCTATGTATATGTACAAGCCTTGGGCGACTTCCCACCATGACGTGCTCATGGACGAGTCGTATCACAATCTCCAACTCGTGCAAAACGCAGTCGCTCCCTCCGTTCCGGGCAAGTTCCTCGGCATCAACTGGCCTCCTGCTCAGCAGCATCCGTTCTTCTACGTTGGCATCTACCTGGCCATTACATTATCCACTGGCCTAGTCAATATCACCGCAGTCATTACCCAGTATACTGGAGCGTTGAGGGCTTCACGAGTTCTGTTCGGGCAAATGTTGAGGACGGTCGTGAGAGCTCCCATGCGTTGGCATGATGTCACTCCGCAAGGTCAGTCGTTTCTTGGATGACGGTGGAAACGTCGCTTATGGGCATCTCAACGCTAGGCCGCATGTTGAACCGTTTCAGTAAGGTGGGTCGATTTGCATTGCATTCGTTGTCTCAAATTAAAATTTTCGCTGGCAGGATATAGAAACGGTGGATTCTTCCCTCGCGAGTTCGCTGCAGTACGTCAATACTTCGCTGGCGAGTTTCGCTGCATCTATCATCACAGTAGTGTATGTCGATCGTCCTCAGTATCACGATACACCCCTTTGCTCATACGCTAGATCACAGCGTCGTCTTTCCGCTCTTCGTCATCCCTGCTTCAATCCTCAGCTTTTTCTATCGCCGTGCAGCTATTGGATACCTCCATACTGGTCGTGATCTCCGTCGTATGGAGTCTGTCACGCGCAGCCCAATCTTTGCAAATTTCAACGAATTACTGGAGGGTATTGTCACAGTGCGCGCCTTCTCAGCCGAGCAGCATTTCCTGGAGAATCTTTACACCAAAGTCGACCTTACCACCAAAGTTAGTTCTGTTCCGCCTTTGAGCTTTCTTTCACTTCGCTGATCCAACAATGTCCATCATCCTTTCGTTAGATGTGGTACAGCTTCTGGATGACCAACAGGTGGTTGCTCTTGTATTTCGATTCACTCGGCGCATGCGCTATTCTGGCGACGACGTTATTCGCGCTTGCAGGCTATGTCGAAGCAGGTATTGCTGGTGTCTCCATCACGTCAGCCATGTCCTTCACTACCAGTGTCTACTGGGCATGCCGTTTCTGGACGTCCTTGGAGCTCGATCTCAAGTACGTTTCCGTCTCCTGATTATATGTTTCGAAACTGAAGCCAATTCGTGTCATAGCTCCGTAGAACGAGTCGTTGAATACTTGGATCTTCCTCAGGAGCCACCCGCCGTCATTGACTCGAACCGTCCTCCTGCTTACTGGCCGTCGTCCTCGAGCCCGAACAAGGACTCAATGATTGCTGTGGAAGATCTCGTTATCAAGTATTCACCAGAGCTTCCTGCGGTCTTACACGGTGTCTCGTTCACTCTCAAAGCGAAGGAGCGGATTGGACTGTTGGGGCGAACAGGTAGTGGGAAGTCGACACTTGCGATGAGCATCCTGCGTTTCGTGAGTTGGATTGCTCCGTATATGGGTGAAAGTTATGTAACGATCTTTCCCTCGATCAGGTTGATCCGAGTAGTGGGCGTATTCTAATTGATGGCGTTGATATCTCCAGCATTGGACTTCATGACCTCCGCTCAAGAATCGTGAGTCATTGCAGTACGAAGGCTATCGTACGATCACACTGACGGCCGAACTCTCAGACATTTATCCCGCAGGTACGTCTGGCGGTGGCAAAATTAACACGGTAGATACTCAACGATTCAAACCAGGACGCTGCTCTCTTCTCGGGAACGCTGCGAGACAACCTTGATCCATTCGGTGAATGAATAGGCTTCGGTGATGTGAGACAATCAGTACTGACCGTTCGTATTCCCAGGTGAACACGAGGATAGCGAATGCCTTGACGTACTGTACCGTGTCCAGATGCTAACAGACAGCCAATTGGAGTCTCAGAAGTCGTCGCGCGAGCCCTCGCGTCCGGCATCAATTTTGGAACGAGAAGGCACCATTGCATCTGTCTCCACAAGTGCAACCGAGACGGAAGGCAAAACGGTCATCACGCTGGACACACAAGTCTCTGCGGGTGGGACGAACTTCTCTCAAGGCCAAAGACAGCTCATAGCGATGGCACGGGCTTTGCTCCGCCGGAGCTCGATCATTGTTCTCGACGAGGCCACGAGCAGCATCGATTTCGCTACCGACGCAAAGATCCAGGCGACTATTAGAGAGGAGTTCAATGACTCGCTCTTGCTGACCGGTACGTTCGTGAAAATTCGTGGCTAATGCTAGTGCTAACTAAATCGTAACAGTCGCGCATCGCTTACGGACGGTCATCGACTACGACCGTCTCCTCATTCTCGACAAGGGTGAACTCGTAGAGTTCGACACGCCGCTGAATCTCATCCAGGAAGAAAATGGCATTTTCCGCAACATGTGCCTCAAGAGTGGGACATTTGCAGAACTCGAGGCCGCAGCGAAGGCAAAAGCAGAACGGGACTTGCTGTGAACGTCATGCGAGCCAGTATCAGAGATCCGCACTGTCTATATTATCGTGTACATTTTGCTTAGGATATCATGCTATTGGTAGACGCTTTGCTTCGACTCATCAAACAAACCCGTACTTCAGTTGAGGACACGAGGGGATTAATCTCATGGGCGCATGCTACAGGAAGGTGCGAGATCAGTGGACGCAGGTTCGATAATATATATATTGTCCTCCGTGCTAAGTTTGTTGGGCGACATAGTGTCGGCGAATGCATAACGGTGGGGTCACAGAGCCCTCGCTGCCCAGTTTGGCAACTCTCTAAGTATCTCCGAACCACTACCCTGAAGTTCATGATTGTTCAAGGCCTTCGGAATCATGTCTTCTGGCGCGGATTTAGCCCCAGGAAATAACGTGATTCCTCGACTACCCAGCAGGAACGTGGAGGTGTACACTTCTGAAAACTCTGTTGTCGCAGGTACGGCTCCCAAACCCAAGTTAAACTTCAGTTTTCGCAAACTTGGCGAGACAATCACAGGGTTCTGGCAATATGGCAGGGTAACTTGGGTCACCTTCTTCGCTTGGCTGACCAATGTCTTGTGCGTACCGGTGGACTGGGCAATTTTCGAATATGATCTTGAGACGCGCCATGCTGGCGAGGAGAAGCGTTCCGAGGATATAATCGTGCAGCCCGGAAATTATGTTTTGCTCGCTGTCGGTGTGTTTGACGATCGTTCATATTCTTGCTACGACTTATATCAGGGATTGAGGCGGCGAGCTGCTTCCACTGAATTCGCTTTCGTCGACTCAGATCCCGAGACGTTGTGGACAAGCTGAAAGACGAGTGCCTGCTCGGAAGCAGCTTTACACTGTCTAGGTGCACGTTTGCTACATCGCGCGTGCTGCGCCGTGCTCTGATGGTGGAGAGGATGGCTTTTTACTGCGGCCTTGCCATGGGGGCGAAGTTGGGTTAGACGTCAATCTAGTATGTTGTATGGCCATTCTTTGTGACTTAATGCTGAGAAGCACAGGTGGCGACAAAGTTGCAACCAAATATTGAGAGACGGAAAGCAATCGGCGAATGGGACATTGATGCTTTTGGGGCATCGCGAACTGATCGTTTGGACACAAGAGAGATTGAAGAAGCCATTGGTACGTTTACTTCCTGCAGAAGCGCACCCTATCTCATGCCTTTCCAGTTGTTGCACTGGATGTGTCACACTCTATGGGAGAGAAATTTGATGGTGACAGTGAGGACGAGGATAGTGATGTGGATTTTGACGACATTGCCCTGAACGAGGCCATGGAAGAATTTTCGAAACGTCATTATCGAACGAGCGATGCACTTATGCAAGGTCAGTTTTATACCAGTCTGTTTAATCTTGGCTACGTACCACTGATTGTCATTATCAGCGAAGATCTTTCTCAAGAATATGGACTGCCTTGCTAGTGTGGCACGCTATATATGCCATGGAGAGACAACATTGCATTCTGGATCTGGTCGTCAACGACGCATGAGGGCGGAAGAGGTTCTTAAAGAATTAGTAGTGATATATTCTCGGATGCATTGGGCACAATTCCGAGTTATGGAGCCGATAAGACACTTCACGTGGGTTTTCTTGCGTGCCTCTTCATTAGCCGTCATCCAAACCTTCTGCATACAGCCTAAACCTTTCGCGATGCGAGGATTTCATTGCCGTGGCTACTGATAACATCACGAAACCGCAGCTCGTGACCTACCTGGTGCAGCAGGCCGCGGGGATCAAAGAAGACGTGAACCTCCTTGCGTCAAATGGAGTCCCTAAGGTAAGTCACTCTGGTTATTCCTTAGCTATGAGCACTCATGGGCTCGAGTCTCTAGAGATTTATTGACCCTCTCAGTGGAGAAGTTATGGTCAATCCAGTCCGCGCAAGTGACGGTAGGTGGCATCGCTCTGAAATCATCTTCCCGCTGGCCTATATCTACCTCTTCAGGAGTCATTTACGAGCGATCTCGGATTAGTGCTTGGCTTGAACATCACTCAACGTCACCTATGGATCCAACAGTGCTCATTAATTCGACTCTTGTTGCCGTCATTAGCCTGCACAATCCAATTCGAACTTTCCTGGGTGGACGGCCACGTGCATCCTTGCAGCAACATCAGCAACCCTTGCTTATTCGCGTGAAAACCATGTGGGGTAGTGTGCTAAAGTACGTTCTCAATACCGAGGCGAACGCTGTTCTATCCGTCCTCTTTGACAACTGGTTGTTCACCGGTCGCGCGCCTTCAGTTTCATGTTTATGCCATGGTCAGCGATTTTCATCGTATAATGCATACTGCTGATGCACTGTCTGTGTACCCAGGGTTGACGGATCGTGGGACGGAAGCATGCGTGGGCGACGGCTCGAAACACCGTTCTTTTTCCATAACTTGCCATCTCAGGTGCAAGTTTTCAGATCGACGGAGGGCCGTAGATTTTCTCTCGATGTTGTAGAGCTCGATCACCGAGGTCAGTACTTCTATGCAGTGTATAGCCGCAACATTCTGACATGAGAACCACAGTGTGGAGATATATGCCTGACAATGCTGATCGTGTACGGAAGGATTCGAGATCGATGAGCAGGTAAGCACGTGCACAATAGGCCTTGTCAACGATACACTGCAATGTCATCTGCGTAGGCTGGATATAGTGAAGCAAGCCTTCGAAGCGTGAGGCTATGTGCTTCGTTCAGTGATTGCAGCGTATGAATATCCTTCTCCAGATTCATCAACAAATCTGAGGCGTTTGACCACCCGATTGCTATTGGTAAATTGCATAGCATTCCCTGCCAGTGATATCTATTCAGCCTCCCTTAGGTTTAGTCACCTTCGGGAAAGAAGTTCGCGAGGTTCAGGTGATCCACTTAGCCTGTTCCTGCTAGACAGACTGATCTGCCGTCCTGTAATGCAGAATTTGACATTGCTGAAGGAACGATTCCGCGATAGCCTGAGAACGATTAGGGTTTGTCATTTCCATAATCTAATGCTACTTCTCTTGACAGTGTCTCTGCAGGCAGATGGAGACACTCCTTTGTTTGACAGTCTTTCCGTTGCGCTCTCGATGCTGCAAACTTTCCAAGCCGAAGTATGATGCTCGACTCAATTATACGTCCGTTCTGTATTGACACACTGTAATAACCAGCATCCTGCGGCAGCCTTGCGTATCATATGTTTAACTGATGGCGAGTGCCACTGCTTTAATGTATAATGTATGCTTACCAACCCTTCACGGGCTCATCTGCAGGTTGTGACGTTGGATCCAGTAATTTACCCCACCAAATCACCAAAAAGCTTCAGCAATCCAAAGTCACAGTTGATTCGCTTGTGGTGCAAACGGGCGATCTCACTAATGTTCTCCATCCAATCTCCATTGCCACAGGAGGATATTCGTTCAAAATTGATACGGTAAGTTGTGATTATCATGTAATGGTTATGCCATGATTGAACTTTGACACGACATAGCTTGAGAACGCGCTCAATATCGTTGAACTAGAAACTGTGCTCCGTACGAAAGATCGGCTGGAACATGTACGTCACGGTTGATCTACTCGAAGCCTGGCCGATTGACCACATCCAACCTTTTTTAGCTTCAACAACCCATTGTCCGAACTCTATGGCATCTTTTGGAGTACAATGATCTTTATAAGTACCCTGTAAGAACATATCTCATCCGAGTGTGGAGCTACTATTATATGTGTTTTTCGATAGTTGGATATTGTCACGGCGGACGAATGCCCAGATCGCAAGCCGCACGCGGTAAGAGATCCGTCTAGTATCTCGAAATTCCTGGTGTTTTACAGACATGCAGCGGTTACATGAACCGTTGCTTGCTGCATCGAGGGCCGCCGCTCGGGCCCTTCCACCGAGCACAGACAGACAACGACGACTAATGCAAGAGCTTCGAGAAGTCATGAATTCGTCACATCGTTAGCCAATTGTCAATTTGTGTGGAACATGTTTGATCCTTCGAGACGTTTCTTATAGCCGCCATTGACGTTTACTCAGGGAGCGACCTAGCATTCTGGAAAGTTAGTTCGTTTTGTTACATTGATCACTTATTTCGCTAAGCTTACTATATTATTGCCTAGATTGTGATAGAGGCTCCGAAAGGCGTACGTGATAATTCTCAAGATATCCTACCGAATGCTCAGGACTTTCGTAGTCTCCATATGAAGGCGGGACCTTCCTAGCGTATGTCAACTTTGGCAGCAACTATCCTCAGTCAGCGCCCGAAGTGTGAGTATGCTGTTCCGTGCGTCCGTTTTGCAGCTAATACTTGTTCGCCAGGCGGTTCATTACGCCAATCTTGCACCCGAACATCAACCGGCACGGCAAAGTTTGTCATGCTGCTCTTGACAGAAGCTGGGTTGTCGATATGACTATGAAGTCAGGTTTCGTACTTGTGGTGTCAGCGCCGGATGCTGACTTGTATGTTAGAGTGATCTTGCAGGTTCTATACGGCATTCTGCTCACTCCAGATACCGATAACCCTGTTCGTGCTGCTTTTTACATCGTGCTTGTTGGCTGTTTTGATCACGCTGTCCTTTCTGGCTCGATCTTCATGCCACGATGGAGTACAATGATGATACCGGTGGGTCATTGTCATATTCGTTGCTTGCTCTTGGCGTGCTCACTTTTTTTGATCGGCCTCCAGGTATTCACGCCCAGAGAGTGCATGAGATGGTAATCTCTCAATCGGCGCTCTTGATCCCATCTCATAGCTCTCCACCCTACAGGTTCAGAGACACGCATTGAAGACTAGAGCAGAGTGGAAGAGGGAGCTCGAGGCAGAGGATTGAGCGTTGTCCGAGTCGGCATTCGTTCGCAAGCACTGCGCTACTTAGAATCTCGCCATCTTGATTATGAAGCCTTATGACTGTTCAGGCTTGTGTTGTCTATAGTGTTCTTATATGCGAGTTGTAGTCCGTGACGCTTCGTAGTTGCATACAAGCCAGGACTAATCCAACTCGCATCAACTCCAGTTTTTGCGTTCTACGCGACATGTCACGGAGACACGTGCTCATGTCACTCAGTAGTCGAGCATCCAGATCCGCTTCTTCCTCTCTCCCCTCATGGTCGTCCTCAGCTCCGCTCCGGCGCGCTCCAGTCCACACCGACGACACCGTGCGGAAGGATCCTACGCGCAAGAAGGATATGTTTTTGCCAGTCCACTTTCACTTTTCGTCGACCGAGAGGTGTCGCTCATCTGTAGGACGACCTCCTTGGGGCATGTACAGCGCATCGCATAAACGGAGGCGGAAGATATGGATGGCCTCACCTTTCATCTTCCCTACTGCAGCCTTCTCCCTTCATCCTTGCCTGATATCCAACAACTTGAAAGGAGATACGGCCCAGAATACTGTCGTGGTCATGCTGACGAGTGAAGGCGCGAGGACGCGCCTAAAATGGCGTCACGATCAGAACGCGGGAGGATGACCTTTTGACGAAGCTCGAGGTATCCAGCAGCTCCGGCCGCGCAGCATGCGCCGGAGATGTCGACGAACGGGATAAAGTAAGTACTAACGTGGACATATGCATTTCAATTGGCGGACAAGCGCGCGAGCGCATCTTGGGCCATGGTCGGCTTTTCGGAAAGAGGCGTGCCAGGATGGGCGCATATGTTATTGCCAGTGACGACACGGAAGCACTTTCAAAGGGCATGTCTATCGGTTTGGCGATTGGAGCGAGCTCTGTGCGCCGCGCAGTGCCACGCAGCGCATGAGACGAGTCGACGAGCAAGACAGAATATTGACATGCTCATTTTAAGTGGCAGACAGACGCTCGTGCACGTCCTCGGTCGCCTTTCAGAATGGGGCGTGCCAGGATGCGGTGTTATTCAAGTTGCCAGCGACGACACGGATGGGCGAGTCCATCTGCCAATTGGTCTCGAGATGTGCAATTGGCCGACGGGGCGTGAGCGCCACCTGGAAGGAACAGCAGCTACCGCAGGGCGTAGTGCTATCGCCTCCATCGCAGGTTTTCTCTTCCGATATGGGCAACGCACCGACCATTCGTGACCGCGCTGAAGGCATAAAGAGAGCAGGTGCCCTGCGCGAGTTCAGCAGACTACAGACCCCGCACAGCGATGCAATTTTCCTGGACGTACCTCCTCCGGCTCGTTTCCGCCTCGCTGCTCATGGGCCGCACCGTAGCAGCGCCCACCGCCGAGCCAGAGCTCAGCCGTGCGTAGCATCATCTCACCGAGTCTAGCGTGACTCTGAATATTCGTTGCAGGCGCGATCGACGCACGCCACGGCGACGAATACCTGTGGTACATCGACGACGCCGAGAGCCGGCACCTGAGCGACCTGCTCGGTACCGACTTCGGCCGGCTCCGCATCAAGGGCGTGCTCCTCAGCAAGCCCAAGATGCAGTGCGAGAACTGCGGGAAGCACACCGGCCTTGATGATATCGTGCACAACGCACTGCAGGATGGTGTGCATAGGTACGTGCTCCTCGGCCAGCGCGGGGATGATAAAGCATATGCTGATCGACGTCCGTATGGAACAGCAAGGAATTCATGATCAAGGTGCTCGAGGACCGCACCTCCCACCCGAGCTCTGGGCATGTCATCCGCTGCTCTGGCGCTGGATGTGGCAGGGCGTACGACGAGCCGCCGCCCCGTTGGACCCGGGATTGGATTCGCGGCGAGGACACTGGCGGCCAGGAGGTGCATTCGGAGGGTGCTGACGAGGAACCTGAGGCTTGAGTATACTTGTTTGCGAAATTACCCGTCCACGAGCTCGAGAATGTGTATTTGTATACGGGTGAAGAAGGCATCACTTTAAAAAATATTCAACGTTCAGTGTTGTAGTCACACCTTACCCGTACCGGCTTCAACAGCTGGCCAAGGACGCCATAACCGCTTCCCAACCCGAGTCTTGCTGCATCCCACCGGCGCGCGGAGCAGCGGATAAAATACGAGGGAGTTGTATTACGCCCAACCGCCTGCGTTGAGATATAGCACCAACCTCTCCTCCCGCCGCTCCTCACTCCCCTGAGCCACCTCGTATATATATGCAGCAAATATTGATTCTATACAGACCTCAATACGCCCGCACACCTCTTTGGCGTCTGGCCGATCTCCACATCAACTCTCCGCCGATTTTCCTGTTTCCACCTTCCATGGAGCACCACAGCCGTCACAGACCACCCTAACCCACGAGACGCTCCCTGTCCACTTCAACTCCGTCTTCATCTGACACTCTATCCCGTACTAGTAGCCTCATGTGAATTGTAGAAGATGACGCACCATGCTCTGGCTATTCGTTCTGCCACCGCGCCCCGCCATTACATTGTATTGCACTACTAGCACCGGACTCTGCGCTGATGGTCCTCGCCCTTCCGCTGTCTGCGCGGCGCCCCGTGGTGATTTCCATGTCTTAACTCCTGTTCCTCGACTCGTGACATCATTACGAACATGGTGCCCTCTTGCAATCTGCCTCGCGTCGAGAATCGAAAAAAAAAGGAATTGGGAGACGCGCGCGCGCGCGCGCCGGTCCGCGCACGATTATACCTGCCGGATGCCCACCTGCTCCGCCTCCTTCGGCTTGTCATCCACGTCCCGGATAGAGCCCGCCCTGCCGCCGGCCACGAGCGGGTAACGCGCAGAGTCGGGACTGCGCTCCGTGGCCGTGGTGTACGACAAGACTGCGGATAGCGCGCCGAAGAGGAACGCGATCCACCGCGGGAAGACCGTCGCGAGGCGGACTGCGGCGCACACCACATCGGAACAGGGTATAAGCGGTGAAGAGGGGCAGCCACTCACGGTAGGAGATCTCGTGGTAGGTGCCGGTGACGCCGCTCTGCGCCTGCACGGCCTGGATGACGCTCTGGGGCAGGGCGATGCCGTCGAGCGTGGCGGAAACGTTGGCCTGGCGGTTCGCGACGAAGTCGGTGAAGGGCACGAGGGCGGCGAAGAGCCAGACGGAGAGGAGGAGGTAGGATGTGCACGAAAATGCGGGACGCGCGGCGCGCAGAGACGGAGACAACGGTGGTAATGAGGGCGGGACTAAGTGCGGGGGTACGACCGCCGAGGACGAACGCTGAGCGCGACTTTATAGTTGGAGAACTGACGCCTTTTCAGGATGTCTCCTTTCCCTTTTCGGACGACTCCCCCGCATGATCGCTGTGCGCCACCGTCCTCGGCGCGGAGCAAACACCGGACTTTCGTTCGCGGGCGCCACAATTTTCGAATCGGACACGCGCCACCTCCGTCCGAGGCAACTGGACCTCCGACAGTCCTGGTAATACTCTCACCGGAGCGCAAGTGATCCTCACGCCGGTCTCCAGCGCCGGATATGTCCAAACTCCTGGGATCTGAAGCTCTGAAGAACGAACGTGTCGGCGTCGAATCGTTCCATTCCACGACATCGGCTGCAGTAACTCCGCTCGAGTCGCAACCAACGCGGACGGTCGGCCGTGAAACTATATATGCGCCTTGCGCGCCCGCGCTACGCGTCAGAGTCGGACTCCTAGGGATGCCACAGTCGTACTGCGTGCGCCGGGAGTGCCAAACGAGAGAAGTCGGCTGGGAATCCGGTACGACACATATCTTGGACCTCGTTTCTATACCCAGCGGCACACCGATCTAGGCACGCCGGTCGTCGTGGTCAAGTTCCGACTGTTCGAACTGGGCGAGTACTTACTGATGCAGATGTGCAGCGATGCTGGTATTGATCGCGACTGCCGCGGCGACAGCGGCAAAATCGTCGCGAGAGGCGCGAGCTGATGGTCGAGCTGATTGGCTGACGACCCCACGCGTAGAGAAAAAATTAGGAACCGTATATATATATATATATCGGACTGGTCACCGAGCTTCATGCATTCAATACTCATCACTCACATTTGATTACACCATTCTCGACGCAAGCCCAACTGAAGCTCAGCGTTGTGAACGTCACCACCGACTCGCCAATCATCGTCGGATCCCGGACCTGTCTGACGCAGGACCAGTGTGAGTGAGCCGTCCAGTCGCGCAGAGGATACACGCTCCGGCAGGAATACGAACGTCGCCCACCTTGCAGACGAAATCGACCTTCAGAATAGTCCCATCCTGGTGCGATCAGCACTTGCGTTACGAAGCTGCGTCGGTGGCAGGTAGTCCGCGAACCAGGGAACAGCGGTACGTCGGGCCCATGTATCACCCAAATCGACTTGATGCGGTCTGAGGAGGTCGTCATCTGGGTGGCACGGAAAATTAGGCTGAGGTGCCTGCACCTCAGAGCTGGTTCGAAACACATCCTAACGTGAACGAATCAACGGCGAAAAGACTCGGACCGGGAGAGAGGACTTACTCGCCATTTTGCTTGCCTGCAAAAACCGCGTTCTGCCACCTGCGCCGGGAAAGCAACAAACCTCGAGCTGAACAGGTAGCGCTCACTCGCCGCGCGCGGTCGGGGCAACGGGACGGCGGGGGAGAGCGCGAGACGACCAGCAAGGATCGGCTTTCTCAATAGCGACAGGCATGAGACGAGAACCGCGACGCGGTACCGTATGTTGAATCTACTTACGACGAAAGAGAATACGGCCCGTCCGAAATGGGTATGCATGGACAGAGGTACGTCTGGGCGACGCAGTGCGGGGGAAACGAGGGAATGCGAAGCGCATCGGTTGCTGCAGCCCGGGCTCATCACGAGACACGACTCTACTTGTACGGCGCGGGAGACACCTGGAAACCACAGTGTAGGGATCATACAGAATATCACATAATAGAGGACACGGTAACGCCAGCTGTTACTTCGGCATGTACGCGCTCAAGATCGCCAACGCCTCGCTGAGCTCCACATCTTCCGCCAACCTATCGAACGTCGCAATGATTTCTCCTGCTGACCCCGCTTCCTCCAGAATGTCCACGTGCGGGTCAGCGGGGAACGACACCGCCAATCGCACCACTGGAGTACCGGGGATGTTCATAAGTTTCCGAGTCTTCTCGGTAAGACCCTGTCGTGACTTGGGACAGTGTGGTTGTCCATCCTGCGGAAGGCGCATGTCGATCGTGTGGGCATTAGCAAATAACAATCGAGTATATATGAATCCTACCCTTGCACGATAGAACCTGCCGGGATCGACATTGCGAAGATTTGTCTCCGCGGTGGTAAGTGCTTCGACTGCGAGACGCTTCACTTGAACCAACACCCAAACGAGTTGAACACCGCATCTCACGAGGAACATGATATCAGGACCCATCGTCGCATCCGGAAAGCAGAAGATACTCTTCGCGCATCTCAACCAGTCCTCGACTTCCTCAGGGCTGGAGGCTTCGTAGCCGAGCAAGGGGACCGCACGCTGACCGAGACCAGAGTCTTCGAAGAGGAACGTGCCGTCAGTGGTTCGTCCTGTGATAGAAACAAGATGCACTGGCTCCGACAGCCAAGCCTGTCCGTCGCTCTTACACAGAGTGAAGGCGTCACACAACGACGCAGCGCCATCCTTGAAAACACGAGCCAGTGTGATCGTCACGACGTTCTCCACAGCGAACCCGAGAGTAGATGCTTCTTCAACACCTTGTATGGGCCTTGCGACGAAGTCTCGCATCGAACGGCTAGGACGAGACAGGAAGTAGCGCAGTGCAGCCGCCACAACAAGAGGCTCGTCGATGCGCTGGGGTAATTGCTTGACTGACTCGGTTTGGCCTGAGAAATCGACAAGACCCTTTTCTGGCGTCACGCGAGCAAAGCCAAGGGAGACAGCGTCGACGAACTCAGCAAAGAACATGTGCGACCGGTTCCGCACGACCACGTTCATAACGGCTCGGAAGATTAGCCCCTCGAGTCTGGCGTTCCGCGGATCCCGCAGCGAGGAGAAATCGATCCTGGAAAAGATGGCCACCGTGGTTACGTCGATGTCAGGTTCCTTTCGCACGAAGGCTTTCCCATCCGTCGCCTCAAAACCATCCGTGAGGACTTTGATGTAAGCGTCTAAAATCTTGTTCGCGGATGCGACGCCCATCCTTTGCAGGAGTAATGTGTACCCGGCGGTCAAACGGTGTCTAAAAAATGTTACATGGGGTTGTTCAGAAAGAACTGTATAAAATCTAGTCCCACCTTCCCCGGAGCCAGCGCCAAGCACGCTTCAAAATTTGGTCTTCAGTATCGGTCAATTCGCGGGTGGGCCAAACCCGGTCGATGATGTAACTTCGCATACGGTCCTCGTCGTCGAAAAATCCGGTATCTGAGAAAAGCTTCGGCCACATTACTTCCTTTCCCATCGCGGATGTGGTCGAGTTCATGACGAGCTCTAGCGGAAGACCTGTCCCAGAGATAATCATAGGCATAGAGAATTCGGACCAAGCATTGTACATCTCGCATAGCACACTTCGCTGCCCACCACCGGATGTCGCTGAGTAGAAAGCATCTGTTCCCCTCTGTGATGCAACCTGGGCTTCGTCGAGCGCAAAGAAGAGAGAACCGACATTGACGTGGACGTCTTCGCAAATGGCTTTCTGCAAGGCGAAGATTCTATTTCGCACAGCGCTGTCATCTTGAACCGTGTATATCGTTCGGAATAACTCATTGAAGATGTCCATTTTTTGGAATAGGCGAGAAGGTCGAAGTTGAAGGTACACCCATCGGCGTCGTAAGTCCGCCTCGTTGACATGGGCTGGAGCGCAACGGAGGAAGAAATCGAGGATGCTCAGACGTGCGAGCAAAACCGAGCGGAATGTTCGCGCAGCGATCTTGACATTATTTGCCAATGCGTCGTTCTTGGTCGGTGTGAGGGGTACCTTAGGAGTGAATCCAGGATCGATTTGGAGAAATTTCCATGCAGTATCGACATCTTTGGATCCCATGGGATGATTTTCGTCATAGCATGACACCACATATAGACCCCAGTTGCGGCACAAGCCTTCGACAAGCAGCGTCGTCTTTCCTGTACCAGAAGTATTGAACAAGAGGCTGGGACGATGTCAGCAAAGTATAGAACAGAGGTCGTAAAATAGGGACATACTGAAGACTTTGATCGGCATCCGTTTCGCCAGAGAAGAGTTTTTCGACTCTTCCTCGCACGGCAGGGTCCTTCTCAGACAGACCTCCTATACCATCTATGAACAGGGTGCTGTCCTTCGCTGCCGAAGATGGAGGATTGAATGTAGGATGGTTGCCCATGACGTATCGTTGCAGTTCGGGACGTATTTTCTTTTCAAAATCGAGGATAGCTCTCTCTATGTCCGCAAAAGACGTCGGAGCTTGAGCCCGCAGTCGTGGAGGCATTATCGGTCCCGATGATGGTGCTTTGACAGGAAATCCATTGTGGGGTCAGTGCCACATGGCTGAAAATACACCGAGAACTTACTATGAATGAAATCAGCGTTGGTCCCCTCAGATGACGAAGACGTTGCATCCTCACGGAGTAGCGCTGGCGATGGTACATATGTCAATGTATTTAACAGTAGCATCTGCAACGAAACACACTTACCCATGCAGCGTACAGCAGCGAAACGTCCTGTTCGAAGGGCTTGCTCTAACGCGGGTAGCAGCGTGTCTCGATGTTGTAGTAGAAGCTCACTGAGCTTGATCTGGTCACGATCCAGTAGTGCAGGTTTCACAGATGTCTTGATGTCGCGAAGAATAATCTGCAGTAGAGTAGCAGCAACAGTAAAAGAGAAGACCTGTGGAGAGATACCCTCCTTGCGGACGACCACCATTACCCCTGCATCCCAAGCCGCATGTTGCTCGTCAGAATCATCCACATACTTCACTTCCGCCAGCCCAGCCTGAGGAGCATCTTCCAACGCACGCCCGCCCGCCAATGGTGCAGCCAGGTGAGTGCTTCGACCGACAGCAATGTCTTCTATAGAGGCCCGGGGATACATCAGAGCTCGAACTTGATACCGGATCCTTCACCATGGACGTACCAACAGCAGCAGGTTCTCCTACGGCCTCTCCATCCACTGAGGATAACCCCTGATCATCCGGTGGTTGCGTCTCAAATTCGGCGCCACTGGGGGGGGCGCGAACCTTCTTCGCGGATGATCCTGAAGGCGATGAGGGAGATACGACGCGTTTGGGAGGTGCCATGTGAAGCTGTGATGGTAAACAACCGAGAAAGAGAGGAGGTAAAGGGGCTTTGGTTGCAATAGCTCGAGTACATGAGCCACAGGCGGCAGCGCTGCATTGAGGTAGCAGTCACGCGACACGCGACTCTGGGATCCACGATCACTGGAGGCTTGTCGACACTCTTGTTGAACTTGACCCATTGCACCGCAGGCTTCTCTCAGCTGGAATTCGACGATGATATTCACGGCGATTCTCAGATCGAGGGCGTGGTACCGTTGTGGCCGCTGGAGTCGCGCCGACATGGTATGTAATCTCTTGTTATGCCGTTAGCTCAAACTATTGGACTCACACACGACAGAGTGTGAATCGGTGCGTGATACTCTCATCTGATGATAACTGCATTTCCGATGAGGAGTCTCCACGGTCTATTGATTCGCCCAAAGTTGAGCTTGTACGCTTGCTGCATCGTGCGTTGCCCTGCTGCGAAAGCCGACTGGCCGTGCACTCGGAAAAACCGATGCCCAATGCCCGTGTGCGCAGTATCTCGCAAACGCTGTACCATGCTTCGAATATCTGCACCACGTATCGATACATTTCCCTTTGATCCTGGTGAGAATACCCGTCTGTCGCGTGCAGAGTCACATGCAAGGGCACTTGGTGCTCGGATATTGGTCAAGTGCTTTCCAGCTGCGTGCATTCCAGCCTGCGAACTTCGTACGAACGTGAACGCGCCGAAGTCAAAGAAGCTAAAGCGATTCCTGCGCTGAAATCTTCGCCATATGCACTGCCTCAAATACGTTGCAGCTCCACGCTGGTAAGAGACCCACCTCTACCCGTCCTGCCCGATATGCTCTGGCTTACTTTTGTCGCTGCTTTAGCTGACCTTCAGGTGTACTCCTCACCGCTCGCGGTACTACCTCGCAGAGACACCACGGAGCCAGATCCGTCGTTGTACTATTACACCGAGCTCGCAGGAAAGACCTACGTCAACAAGGTGCGGTCCCACGATAACCAACGTCGCTGAACTCTCTCACCGAGGTCGACTGGAAGGGTCTGGTCGCTTATGGATTCATCCCGTCGAATGCTACGGACATCGTGGGCGACACCATCAGCGGTATCGGAAGTGCGATTGGGCTCAAGCCATACACGTGGACTGCGAGCAACGGCACAATCTCGGGGACGCTAATCGTCCAGTCCGATCGTGGGTACAATGTGTGAGTCCTTCATCCCATCGTTGACGGTTTTATGATGATGTCGACTGATGACTGCACCCATACCTGAACAGCCAGGGTCCGGTGAACTACCAGGGTCGGGTGCACGAATACGCATTCGTGCTTCAGCCGTACTACGGCACGGACAACCTTGTGTACGATGCCGCGGCGGAGACTTTGCAGCTAACCTACATCGGTACAACATTACACTACGACCACGGGGGCGTGAACACGACCGGGCTCGAAGCGCTCGCGGTGCGTGCAGCAACGGCGAGGTACCCCCAGCTGGCCGACGCGGACCCGCAGATGCCCGTCGCGACGGTGCAGGACTCGCGGCTGTGCCTCGATGCGGAGGGGCTCGTTGCGGATGCGGATGGCTCGTACGTAATTTGTACTGCGAGACATTGGAGGCGTACTCACTTGGCGCGGACAGTGTGTGGACGAGCAATGAATACGGGCCGTACATCTATCACTTCTCCGCTGCAGGATATTTGATTCAGACCATCCAACCACCAGAGGCGTTCCTCCCGTACACCTCGGACGGGATGCTTAACTTCACGTCGGAGACAGAGCCTGCGACGCGTCGGGAACCAAGGTGCGCCGTACCCGCTATCCACTTGACGAGCACCATCCGAACTCTGAACATGCAGGCTTCGAGGGCCTATCCCTCGACATCTCTACTCGCAGGCTCTACGCGCTCCTCCAGTCGCCGACGGTGCAGGATGGCGGGCTTCTCTCGAACCCATCGCCATACACGCGCCTACTCGCGTTCGACGTGTCGGATCCGAACGAACACCCTCCCGTTGTCGGCGAGTGGGTTGTTCCCCTCCCACTCTCAAACTCGGGCAGCAACCTGTACGCGGCGAGCGAGGTGCACTTTGTCGCGCCAGGCGTGTTCCTCGTGCTGTCGCGCGACGGAAAGGGCGAGGGCGGGTCGTCAGACAAGTCCAAATACAAGTGAGCGTGACATGCACAGCATGTTGTTAGGCATTTTTGACCGGTTTGCCGTTCAGGCAAGCGGATCTATTTGACATAAGCAACGCGACAGACGTAAATACACCCTTTTTCAATGCCCCTGGTGGCGCGGTCTCGCCCGGGGGCACGCTGAATTCGACTATCACACCTGCGACGTACGTCTCGTTCGTCGACTACCTGAACGCGACGCAGCTGGCACGGTTTGGACTACACAATGGTTAGCTCTCCAACATATACGCATCTCTATCAGATCTTGTTCGCAGGCAGATGGTTTCTAAAATGCTCGCGTTGCAGGTAAACCGGACGACGACACGCTAATTGATGGGGAATGGGAGTCACTCGCGCTCGCGCCCGTCGGGGACCCAGCGTATCCGGATGACTACTTCCTCTTCACCGCCGTGAGTCCATCTCTCAATCCTTGGAGTATGATTTGCATTTACACTACGCTGTGCTAGGCAGACAACGACTTCCAGACGGAGGATGGGGTGTCGGTCGGGGTTTCGTACGACGCTGGGCTGAACGAGAATACCCAGTTTATGGTGTTTAGATTGACACTGCCTGGTGCGGCACCACAGTTGGATTGCTAGCGGATGGTGTGTCGAGGTAGGGTCGATCGTCATGGATGGAGATTTTACAATGGACTGGATTGATACTTATATTCTGTGTTGTCCAGCCTCGCCTTAATTTGGGACAGGGCATCTAGCAAACAGTCACCAGATCTCTACCAATCAAAAGGGACAACATGATCCTATCTGCTTTCTTGAAGATGGTCTTTTCGTGTTAGCTACGATTGACATGCGTCTTACCGAACAACGACAAACTTCAAAAACCAACCCCCCGCAACCTTTACAATTCAATGTGTCACTTCTTCGTCATCACCACCGACGAGTGCTTACCAGTAACTTTACCTAAGAAGATAGCGAAATGCGAAGAATTAAGAACGTACATCCCGTTCTGTTTCCGGCAGCGTTGCTTCGTCCTCCCTCAGCTGTGCCTCATGGTTCAGTGCACGCAGCAGTCTCACCGTCCACTGCATGCGTGTACTCTAGTGCCTGATCAAAAAGGTCCGCATCGTCGAATTTCACCTTATGAGCTCACGGCCTGCGTGTCTGCCGTACGAGGACGCCGAACGACGGAGCAACTACAGGAGGAAAGATTATACATTGAGACGAACAACTGATTCATACCTCAGATGCGGCATATCCGGCACTTGCTGCAACCACTCGGGGGACACCGAACAGTGCGTACATGTTTATGTATAGGCTAAAGTTGCCATAGTCTCGGACCATGCACGCAAGCCGCACCCCTTGCAGCCATTCCACGGACGCTGTGCATGCTATGCAATTAGCTTACGACGCTATGAGTTGGCCCAGGTACCGCACCGGAAGCACGATACGGTCCGCATCGTCCAGAAATGCCTCCAAGCAGTATACAGGAAGGAGATAAATTTGAAACCCTGTAGCGCTGTTTGTCAAACGTTGGCAGTGGGTCGAGAATCTGTCTTACCAGACCTTCAGATATGTCGGAAGGGTAGCCCGAGTACCAGAGGAGTGAAGATCGGAATTTAGACATATTCTTCTGGCAGGACGCACGTCATAGTTGAAGGCGGTGAGGCGGAAAGTCTCGTAAGGGAACTCGGGGCTCAGAGCACAAAGGTGACGAGACGACTGGAAGTAAGTGAAGCTACTTCAAACCTGGGTATTCACGTGAGAATTGAAATCTTCACGCTAGTATGAAAGGGATGGAAACTCACGGATGAAGGGCGTTGACTGTTGACGATCACAGCTTTGCCTGGAAGGTTCAAGTTCTGCAACCACGGTATCACCTACAACGGTGCCTCTTCTAAGTTTTTGGTCCCCCGGAGGAACTGCTCCATCGAAAGGGACGTTGGCTGATAGACTCTTTCTTAATAGGTACGAGAACGCCGCTATCTTGGACCGATCTCTGCTCCTGGGCGTAAACCGAGATGTTCCCGAGGCAATTGCAGTGTCCTGCAATTATAACCATAGACACCGTCGGAGCCGCGAGCGTGTAAACTTACAGTGCTATAAAAAGACGTACTTACTGATAACAGTATGGCAGTGTTGACGGCTGAGCGCTGAGCATGGAACGTTTGACTCGGAACTCGCATGAAATGGAAGACACGGAGCCTACTAATCAGCTGGACGGAGCTGGCGCCGGGCAGCGATATCAGTGGAAGTGTCATCTGTTTCTCTCCTGTTGCGTATCCAGCGAGTAGTTTGCCTAGCTGTCGCTTCGGATTTGCGGTCCACGCAGGACTGAATGGGCACTGGCAGCGAATTCCGACCCTCAATGGATAATGTACTCGGCTTTGTTGGAAAATCCAATAGCGGCCTTTGACGCGATATTTCCCGTTTGTAGTCCTAGAAATCAGATCCATATGTGCGCTATTGAGTTCGGTCGCTGAGACAGAATAACATTCGGTCGAAGTAACTAATGATTGGAGTCTAAACGGCGAAGGGTTTCAGCAACATGTAATCGTACAACAATAATGTGGAAGATACAATGGATTTTCTACGCGCTACCTCGTGCAATTCTAGGAAACTTTCTACGCGGAATGGGACAGGGATATCAGATATAGTAAAAACTCACAAGAACCGAGTAAAGAGGATGGAATATCTGAATCATTTAGGTGTGTCCCCCACGCGCAAGGGCAGCGAAGACAAGAACACATTTGAGCAAGGGTCTCCACCTTGGGTGTGTGGCTCCCCATCTGGGTCCGCCCTACTACCCCGAGGGTTGCACTGACAAACTCCAACAGTCCTGCCAACTACACGGGTACCGTCGGCGCCAGTGATAAAGCAGAAAAGCAGCACGTACTCGCAAGTACGGCACGACCCTCGCAAATACCAAGTTGTTCGAGGGTCCAACAGCGAGGAAGAGGCTCGTGAGGATTGATGAACGGCTTAAAATCGCGTCCCTCGCAATCAACGGAATTCGTCCTACATATTTAGTGAACGAATGAGGAAGGCCGATGACATTACAAGGTTGAGCACATACGGAAGTTTCGATCCATTGGGTCCCGCGTAGTCGTCGATTTTCTTCGTTACACTTTGGACATTGTCCTGAAGTCATTATGAAAATGCTTGAGAATGCTATGTCTCGAACGAGTGGTGGAACTGACGGTGATGTTCGCGTCAATCGAGAAATACCACCGCCTCTGGAGGTCCTCTTGAAGGTAGAATACGCCGAGCTCGAAGGCCATGAGACAGATGTATAAGTTGGAATTGCGTTAACAGTTGGGGGCGAGCAAACTGGGTCCTGTGATTACCCGCATGATGTGTGAACTCACCGTTCTAGTAGTAGCTGCATCAGCGCTTGAAATGGGCTCACGCTGACACAGCAAATTGCGAAGGGCGCTTGCGTTCCGGCGTTGTGTGACTTAGTTGTCATCTACGGTATGGGGGATGATATGGACATGAAATGACCCCGCTATCACTAGGAGAAGTACAATCGATATGAAGGGAGCGTCGTATCCAGAGCATATCATATGAAAGTCTCGTGGGTACATTTCGTGAGCAGCTCAAAGATGATTGGGTCCCTAAAGGTGCATATGTGGAGAGCATGAGACAAAAGCCTCTACAGCGTGGAATCCGTGGGGAGTTCCGCAGTGTTGGGAACTTACTGCACTAGGCATATTTGGCCAGTAGCTCGGTCACTGCTCTTTCTAGGACAGCCTGCGCAGGAAGCTCTCGGCATCGTTGCAACGACGACGCATCCACGGTACGTCTTGGAGTACCTTTGTGAGGAATGTTGCGCGAAGTACTCAGCTCTTAAGAGGCAGTGCATACGAAGAGCGCTTGTTCGGGGCTTTCGATATCGTTCCGGCAGAATCTGCAAAGGCGGTAGGGCTCCGGTATGGGATCCGGGTAACATTCACGCCATCTTCCTCGTCCGGATGCTAGATGATGGTCCGATAGCAGTAGTCTGGCCAGTGCATAGCGGTGATGTGGTACCATCACCAGTAGATAGTGCGCAGCCGGAAGGCAAGTGTTTTGTGCACCAGTTTCCCTTCTTTATCTTTCTCGAGGCATCCGTGAAGAGTTAATTAATATCTTTGTCTTGTGCAAACAAACACGTCGCGACTACGTGAGGTCAATACTACACAGAAAATTGCTTGACCAACACGTCCAACATATCATCAGGGATTTGAGAGTTCTCCGTTGCAGCCATCACGTGCCAGATGGAGACCGGATGCTCCTTATCGTGCCATATGGAGCCAGATGGAGACAGATAGAGCCCACGGAGAAAATCCCGATTCCTGATGATGACTACACTAAGACCATACGAGATGCAACAAAACGAGTCCACCAAGACGGAACAAGCCCGACAAGTTAGAAGTGAACTAATGACCAACAGACTGGCGTCCGAACTTCCTATCAAGTTCAGCGGACAACATGAGGTTCAAATCGCCAGGGTTTTCGATGGAAATAGTGCTGTCAACGAAGACGTATGCCGGTGTCTTTAGAGAAACATCCACTAGGCGGACACTGTTGAGACGAGTGAAAGAGGTAAGAAATATGGCCAGTTGGGGGAGCGTTCTGAACGAGCAGCCTGCCAGCTGCATGTTGCCCACGTTAGGCAAGTACGGCTGCCATTTGGGCTTAGGGAGTATCTCTTCGGAATGCCGAGACCAGTCAACACCATGTATCTGGAGGTGCTGCAGGTTAGGAAGGATGGCCACAAAAGAATTCAGGAACTGCTGCACCCAACGGAGGTGAGAATCTTCCTTCAGAACAAGAGAAGAGATCGGAGGAAAGACTTGCTCCGGCCTGATGATGCGGAGTATTGGTTGGTTACCAGGCTGAGCGAGACGATCGAATTCCAGACGGCGAAGATCCCGCTCGATCTCCACAACCAAAGTCTTGAGGCTCGCCGGTTTGAGACGAGATCTTTCACCAGAATATACGAATTGCACTCTGTCAGAGTTGTCAGCTCCATCATGATGCAGAATGGCGGTGGTGTCACGTTGTCACGGCTGCAGCACGGTAGGTCTCTCCAAAGAATATTCATGGGATATGATGTGTGGGGTAGACACTCGACGGGGAGAAAGGGAGACGACTAGTGGCCGGCGAGACGAAGGGCCAGATCGAATAGCACAAGTCTGCAGTGACAACGGGAGACGTGCCGTTGTAGGAGTAAAGGATTACACGACCTCAGGTGGTCGGGAAGATCGCCGACGACACTCGCAGCAACGAGCAAGTGGAATGCTGGGTGGCCGGTGTAAGTTGGCGACGACACAGATGGTTTCGTAGGAAGACCTGGACGATAAGTAAACTGTGTGATTCGCCGAAGATAGGAACAATGACGAAGGAGAATGTTGCAGTGGCAAGTGGCCTGTGGTTCACCGACGATACCAGAGGTTGGATGTTTGCGAAGCTGTGGGTACAAATTTGACCGAGGAAGCACTCACCCAGGGCGCCCATTTTATGCATCTCCAGGTGTTGCATCGCTTCCATGACGATGAGAGGGAAGGTAAAAGTGAGAGAGAACACACAAAGCCACCGTTTGTTCGAACGCAGGACAGATGCCGGGGCGGGAACAGCTGAAGACCCGATCGATATTGCCGAGTTCTATTGTGCGCTGCGCAACAGGCTTAACTAATTCCGAGCAGTCTGAATCGAAGAACAATCGTTGGGAGGAAGCTTGAAGGCAAAAGCGAACGCGACATAATATTAGCGCCCATAAATCCACATCGGGAGGTAACAACTTCAGCCAGACGATTAGTGAACGCACTGAACGCTTTATTTAGCACTATTTCACCAGTGAAGACTCGGGGTGAGGTGCTGTTTGAGCCAGGAGGTCCTTGAAGAGTCCGTCTGAGTAGGAATAGAGGTACGGTAAAGGTGGCACGCTCACGACCGAATGTGCGTTCTTCTCCTTCTACCACGTCAGAACGCGCACGTGAATCACTCCTACTCACTAATGCACCATGTTGTTCACCCTGCTCTGTATGAATACGCGTCCATGGTGTCGACGCGCCTCTCGTGCCGTCGAAGTCGTAGTCAGGATTCTGCGCCCGAGATCTTGCAATCTGCTACAGAATCGGAGGAGAGTGCACGCCAATCTGAGTGGGCACAATGGCCAACTCACACCAACACCTGATGGTCTCACTGTAATGAACGTTCTCTCCTATGGGAGCAGCGTCATTGACGCCGACGAACGCAGGGGTATGAAATCCTGCGAAGAAACTACGAAAAACAGGCATGTAGATCAAGTAAAGTTCGAGACACAAAGCACCAGAGGTTCAAGCGATAGTGAGTGTCGAATCCGTGAATGAGGATGGAAGCCGCCAACTGGTACTATGTCGGGCGGGCGCTTCAAGACGTGCGTTCGCACAACCCTAACCTCAGCACGTGGTTTCCAGCGTCTTCACGTTCTAGGAACGAAGTACTCATTACTGGTCTACGATATGTTCTACAGTACAGTAGTAACAGTCCTACGATGCTAACATGTGCCGGTGCCGTTCAAGTCCTCTCGAAACCCGGACTCGCATTTTCTGCAGTAAAGTAAAACAATCTACCGCGTATGGTGGTATGTAAGTCGTCGGCGTTGCTATAGTGCGAGGAGAGAGGAGGTCCATATATGTGCACGTAGAGACACCGAGTCATCCAACGTACTTTCATTATGAGGGTGCGAGCTCCCGCAGATCGTCACGGAAGCATATCGAGATCGAGAACCGCCGCCGCCGCCATGGCGCGTCACATCAAGCACCACTACGCCCGACGCTCAGCGCGCGATGTTCACTCGTCAGGACAGGACCTGCAGGAGTATCTGCTACCGTCTCGAGAGCAATATGGTAGCAGGCGGACGATACAATCAGCACCTCGCGTACACAAAAAGAGAACATGCCGTGCAACTTTGCGCGCAGAACCATCTGACAACGACCCCGCGCTCGGGATGACAGCTCCACTAGTACTTGCAAGGGACGTACAACGCAAGCTAAGGTTTCGGTAACTTATATAAAAGCTCCACAGTCGAAACTCGTTCGTCCTGGAGGAAAAGTTTTCATTCATTGCAATAACAATCAGTCACTCGAAGTGACAGATTTGAATGGTGGTCATACCTGTGAACGCACGAAATTTTCAACCTGCGATATCTCTGACGCACCCACTCCAGCCTGCTGTAGACAAACCCACGCCAACGTTGAACTGATGTCCAACGTAGATGCACCCTTACACGTATACATACCGAAAACTAACGCCTGGGAAACACGTCCTCTGTATGAATTGAACGGTGTACCCCCGGAACCAAAGAGACTGCAAGTCGACCTGTGCCAGCAGTAGCGCGGCTTGCCGGCAGAGAGAGTGTACCTCAAGCAGTCGCCTAGAGCTTGACGACGCCATTGAGATTGTGCATGAGAACGACGAGCTAACGATCACACTGTGAAGTGAAGAGCATTATTTAGAAAATATTGCGCAGCACAGACGCATGCGCTGGCATGGCAATCACGCAACATTTGAATGGAGTTTGTGGGCGCAATTTACGCCGGGCACCCGGTCAAACAAATGCATTGCGGAAGCAGATTATGACTCAATCTATTTCATTCCACTGGAGAAGCATTCATTATTGCCTGAACGAGCAATCCTTCCATCACGACTCACAATAGAATAGCGATTGGGGGTCACACGTGTGCAACCTGTCAAGCCCGACCACATCGCCCACGATGCGCGTTCGGACCAATCCACACCGACGCCGAGCTGATATCCGCCATCGCAGGTATCACGATTGTCCCGTAGACAGAACTTGTTTTTGAACGCATATAGCCTGTTGTAAGTTGTGAGAGTGCACGACCCCGAAGCCACCATTGCCAGCCTGGCACCAGGAACGAGTTCCTCGATACAAATGCACTACCTTGAGCTTAGCGAAGACTTTAGCAGACGGAGACAGTAAAAGAACTTGCGCTGGAACGGGCGGCCTGCAGGGTCGAACTGACGGCAGAGCTGATGGCCACCGTTCTGTGGCTGTCTACAAAGAGCAAGTTAGCAGCATTGCGTGCACATCACAAATAATCCTCGTACTCACCCTTGCGCTCTCCGAGGCCATGAAAGCAGGTGCAGACAGCCCAGCTCAATCCGAAGCGCCGCCGCCTTGACCTGACTACATGAGTCTGATGATGAGGCCCGTCCACTCGTCCACGCGCAACAGGGAGCCAGGGTAGTCGTGGATGCTGAGTCCGGAGAGATTGAGGGGTAGAATATCATGGCGCTGGGGTGTCAGCGATAGTCGTTACACAACGGGTGGGCAGAGCCACACCACTGCATCTGGGGGTTAGCGACGTGGCTGGCTGTGTTCAACATATCAAGACCACAATTTGCACATTGTAAGCAGTAGAACTCGTAGTCGAGAAGAACGTTAGACGTACCTGCATAATGCGTCGCTCTGCCTCACCATCTCTATCGATCTTCGCCACTTCGAAACCAGCTCGCGCTTCGGCGCGTCATCTCTTCGTTGCGCATCCTCCGGATCCAGAATCGTTCCTAGTGACGTCAAGCTTTCAAGTGTGCAGGACAGCAAATATATCGCAGAGCGTGTTGAGAGTCGGTAGATAGGCCGAGTTCAGCGCCAGAGGGAAAACTAATTGGCCGAAAGGGGAAGGCCACCTTCCTTGTGTGGCAACTGTGCCGAGCGTCCTCAGTGTCTCAACTTCAAGTCTCGCAGCTGGCTAGGTCTTCGGATGGAGGATGAATTCAAAAGTATATCTTTACAGAATAGAATAGAGCAAATTACGCCTCGATTGGACCACGAGAACTCTTGACGAGCTCGTCTAAATTACAGGGTGGATAGAACCAAGACCGGTAAATACGCTGCGTTGCTGATGCGTAGCGATGGCGAGAGTACAGATTCACTAGCGGTGGTTGTGAAGATGTAACCATCAACGGCCAGTTGAGATGCTGCTGTAGAAGTTCGGCAGCGTGTCGACTTCTTCGTCGGAGCAGAGGTGTTACCGCGCACTGGTAGAGGGTGCTGGATCGACGTAGAACCATTCAAGCCAAATGTGTTGAATGTCGCGAGATAGCCAACATGGGCATGTATTCGTCGTCGAGGACGATGGCATCGATGGTGCCGAAGTGTCCGCGCACGCCGTGCCCCGAAATACATTGACTGAACCCTTTCATGAACCTTCCCTGCTGCGCCAGGGGGGTGGTCTCAGCATCCAGGAGCGCGGGGTGCTCGGACAGTAGGATGTCGAAGCGGGGAGACAAGTCCCTCCGATAGGGTGGCAGGTTGTTGACGGGCAGATAAAGGGGGAATATGATGCGGTCCGATGTAGCAAGAAGCGTAACCAAATAAAATCGCCGACAAGTCTTCAGTTGCCGAGCGAGCTGTTCGCGCGTAACCGGAACCTTCAACCACCAGGTTCTCCGCCTGCGTGCCATCGAACCACTGCAGTACCGTTAATGTCTGTTAAGATGCTTCCAAAATTGGATAGCAATAGGGAATGTACAGTCAGGACTACATGGATTTGCGATAATTTTGCGTGTTCGAAGACACGGTTGTTCGCACCCTCCACACGCGAATAAAGGCCCGGTTTGTCGATAGCGATGCCGGAAACATCGCCATTTCCGAACAGCACAGGCGATACAGTACGGACTGCCTGGGCATATCTCTTGTTGTCCACTTTGCCGTGGGTATCGGCATAGGAAGTGTTCGAACCCAATGAGCAGGAAGTAGGAATGAATAACCGGTCCACAAAAGGCATGATGGAATAAGCAAGCGACACCACCGAGTTAGACACACCAGAGTCAACCGTGGCCGAGACGGCATATATGAGGAGACGTAGGATGTCGATGAGCAACCTACGGCTACACCATGTGACCAACCGATGTGTGCTTATGCACAGCGCCACAGAAGAGAATGGCGACCTCTGCACATGATGACAAAGAACGAAGACCGCCTGTAAGAACTGCACAACACGGGTAGCTAGCGGCGTGACATTCGAGAGCGAGCCACTGCATTGCAAGTGGAGCGAATTCGTCATGCGCAGACAGCAAGCTGGGTCGCCACGACCTAGAAGATGGTGCTTGAGGTCATCGATTCTCCGTCCTGTATCAGCTGTGGATGGAGGCATGGAATGTTTTCGCGAACGTCTGTGCCGTCGCTGGCGTGCTCCATCCAAAATTTCGCAGCTGAGAAACGTAGCACACGCTCGTAAACGCAAAAAAGAAATCGATGAAGTTTGTTCACGCTTCATCGCCACCAACCCAGCGCCATGCCTACTTCTCGATTTGCTTTCCCGATCTCAACTGCATTCCCGAAGCTCTGTTGACCCATCCCGTACGCGCGCCGTGACGAGTAAAGGTAGCAGTGACCGAGCCAGTTTCAGGACCGGAAACTGAACCTGCAAGGCCGGCTGCCGTAGGAGACGTAGACGGTCCAGGGATAGTATTGCTTACCCCCTGCCGCGCTGGGATGCCATCATGGAGAGGCTGCAGAGCCTTGGGACGAGCGCCATCCGAACTAACTCTCTTCCCAGAATGTGTCTTCTTCTTTGCCTTTGTGCTCTTCCGGCCGCCGGGGGCATCGGAGCACGCGATTCATGTACTGCAGCAGTGGGGAGATGGGCTGGTGCAAGAGTCGGCGTGCTCTGCGCATTACCAGGGTGAGATGCAGACGGAAGCGCATCGCCGCCCTGCGATGAGGACAGCGATATCGATGGCGCCGAGGTGCATAGGATGACACCGCAAGGCACTGAGCCGCACTTGTGCGAATTCCTTGACACCAATAGTCGAATGTTGAGATTGTGGAGGACAGAGAATGTCGTTCGTGGTTGAAAATATGATTGCCTTTGGCATCTGGTGAAGAAAGTGTTATCAGTCAAGAGAGCTGAGGCACACGGAAATTTCTGGAGTTTCCTACCGGAGATGTGGAGCGGGGCTGCTACCGAGAATTCTATGAGGCAACGTCGAACAAGGCGGTGGAGAAACGAACCCACTTCGTAAGATAACGCGTGCAGGTGGGGACGCGTACGCATAGAAAATGTCGGGGTCGAGGAATAGCGATTGGCGTTCGTTGGATGGCAGAACCAGGGGATTCAGAGAGAGGACTCATTAAGTGCCCTCTTTTATAGAAGGGCGGCAGAACAGCGCTTACCAAATGTACAAACAATGGATGACTCTATAGATGACAAAAACAAGGCCGCCACTTATTTTGTACCCAAGGAAACGCGCGATTTTAGTAAGTGCAAGGGCGAAGATAACGTGTTTCGAGCTTATTTATTGTTCGGGGCTGTCCTACAACGCTTGAATATTGAAGGCGAATCGAATAAATCTATAGATCTTCAATGTCGCAGATAGTCAGAAAGCACATAACGATAACTTTGCTAAACAACATCCTCCATGCGCATACTGATCGCACTGGCCACACTCCCAGTAAGACTTGTCGGCACATTTCTGAATGGAAGCCTTCAGCAGAGGTATAAGCTTCTAGCGGAAGATCCGTCAGTGAATGAATAAATATCGCGGAAGATCTTACTGTGGTATGCGCGTCCCATCTGGTCGCGCGGAGTACTTCACGGCCACTAGTGGATAAAATCGAATTTGCTCGTGCATCGCTCACGGATTGCAAGCGTTCTTAGTACGAGCGAGTAACAAACAGAGCAAGGTCAATGTAAGCGAGCCCGTTGAGGTAAAAGGTTTATGCACGTAACTCCTCATCTTTACAACACCGGAGAGCTATTGCCTAGTGCTCGTCAGCGTGAGCGCGAAGGTAAGCAAAAGATGGATTTTACCGTCCGAGAAAGATTGAACACCAGACCGTCCAGATCATGTTAGGATTACGATCTTGTCGAGTCCGCCCACGGGCGAGAGTGCTACGCCGGACCCGAGACTGAGAAGAAGAAAAGAACCTCATATTGCTCATTGTAGGAAGAATACACGGATATCATGGTATTTGAACATTGAGGAGTACGACGGGCACTGGCGAAGAGATGTCAGACATGACCATTAGGGCTATTTGGACATGGGAAAGGCTTACTGTAGTCTGGTCACTGAACTTCGCGCTACATCGAAGTCCAACGACAACAACACTGATTCAGTCACAATCCTTCGCACTCAGAGTCATCTCCTATGGTCAGTTCCGTACCGACACTGACAAGGTATTTCCTACAGTCCCGACTAACTGCATCAGCGTGATATGTTCGAAAATACCCAACTGGCCTCCCCGGATTGGCAAGCTTGATAGACAGAGTGCAGGAGCGAAGACTGGGTATGAAGTTCTGTTGGTCGCGGTTCAAGTACACGCCAATAAGCGCTGGACTCCAGCGCGTCTCTTCAGAGTGAAGTAAAGTGAAGCATTGTCATATAAGGGAATTAGGGGAGAAGCGAGAAAAGTGATGTGGAAAAGTAACTTTATTCGCATTCGTTCCCGTCCACTCGCAATGTGTGCACACCGTAGCCGGGGCCTCGAGATGCAATACCATCCCCGTGATACTGTTCCGAAGAGGGCGTGGATATGGCGAAACCGTTATTGCGCGCGAAGAAGAGCGTGGGTAAAGGGAAGTGTGGGCCTGGATGAAGGCTGGTATGGTTATCATGAGTACTGGTGGCAATGAGCGAGGAGACAAATCTGCGGGATGATCTGAGAAATATCGGGCGAGATGGAAGCAGTAAGTACTGGCGCACTCGAAGAAGCATGATGGGGGAACGAGGATGAGGCGCGCCCGCGTCTCCTCGCTCTCCGTCCTTGCTCTCATCCACTCCGGCTCGGGATTCAGCCTCCCGACCGCGCACATGGCCTGAGCTCGACGACTGCTACAACTGTGCACCTGCAGACCTCGGGAATGGACAAGAGAGACTATGTCGACGTCGACGGCGAACACGACGCGCTGCGCCCGCCCAAACGCGCCCGCCGCACTCCCCCGCCAGATCCCTCTGCTCCATCTACCTCGTGCAATCTATCCTAGGTGCGGAACCTCTCGACGAATTTATCCGCGAGGTCGCAGACTTCGTCCACGCCATGATCAATTCCCGGCTGGAAGGAGCTGGCACTGTCGAAGTCGATCGAGACGAGTGAGTTTTTCCATTTGATTTTCGAAACGCGTCGTAGATTACCTCGTGAAGTCTCACTGCCAAACTCCTTCGAATATCGTTTCGAGCCCAACATGTCTGCGGTGAGTACTCTCGAGGTGTTTTTCTGTGCCGTAAGGAGGCTGAATCTGCGACGAACGACCGTGCCTCGGACCTCCCGTCGGCTCGATGTTCTAACCTAACGCATTCGACCAGCAGTGGTGGGGCCATATAGATGAGTAAAAAATATTTGTTTTCGGTTTTTTTAAACGGTGCTAACGACCTCTAGAAGATCCGACGCCAACGCAGGGAACGCGGAGCGACGACCCGCCGGCGCGTAGGTTGACGGCCACACACCTCCGTCCCATTCCACTCGAAGCCCGCCGTCCTCGTCCGCGGGGGCCAGCCACACGCGCGGAACGCGCAGCAACAACGGCCCGGGATAGTGCGTCGACGGGCATGCACGTTCGCCGTCCGAGTCTACTTGAACGCCGCCATCCCAGTCCCCTCGAACGTCGCCGTCTCTGCACCACGCACCGCCGCCCTCGTCCACGCGATCCAGCCATACATGCGGAACGCGCAGCAACGACGGCCCGGGATCGTGCGTCGACGGGCACCCACGTCCGCCGTTCCTGTCCCCTCGAACGCCGCCGTCCCTGTCCCCTCGAACGTGGCCGTCTCTGCGCGATGCACCGCCGCCCTCGTCCACGCGATCCAGCCACACACGCGGAACGCGCAGCAACAACGGGCCGTCACACTAGGTCGACAGGCACGCTCGTCCGCCGTCCAAGTCCACACAACACATCGCTGTCTTCGTCCGCGCGACCCAGCCTCACACGCGGAAACCGCTGCAACAGCGCGTGGGCACGCTAGGTCGACGGGCACGCAAATCCGCCATCCGACTCCCCTCGAACCCCGCCGTCCCATTCCCCTGGATCCCCACCATCTCTGCACAAGCCCGCGTGCTCGCATCGCTGAAACGTCTCGCCTCCTCCGTACCTGCGTTCGTCGCTGCGGGCGCACTGTCCGCGCAGCAAACACCTCGAATGGCGCTTCCCACTCGCGGAGACGACGGACGACACCCTCGTGTCGAAACATCCAGAAGATACTTGCGACACGCGGTCCGTATTTTTCACTGCCAGTCCCTCGATGCTTTCCCCCTTCAAGCCATGACCCAGCCCCGAGACCTAGCATGGCGCACTCATATCCCACCTCCGAGCCGTGATCGACGCATTTCAGCCCATGTCGACACAACCAGCTCTCCAATGAGCAGAATGGGCCCGCGAAACTCGTCCGGGAGAGGTGCGGTAGCCGCCGCACAGTGCATTTCGAATTGTGCGCGGACTCGCTGTTGACCGCATGCACAAGGCGCGTACTCTCCGCCGTACGCTCGTCCACCCCCCACGTCGTTGTTCGTTCCTGCCCTGGGCTGGCACGAACCTTTCTTCCCTCTCCCTTCTCTCCGGCTTGCCCGATGCAGGAGGTTTGCGTGCGCCCTCCCGAACGCTAAGTAGAGCGCTCGCGTTTCTGGCCCGCTGCAAAGTGCTCGACGTGCGCGCGCGCAAATCGCCGTATTCTTTTTTTACCCCGGACGCGCGGACACTCAGCCGATGGACGAGCCAGCAACGCGCAGCAGGGCACACACATCGAGGTGTGCACGCCGGTCGCTTGGCCCGCAGAAGGCACGGGCATCTTCGCAGCGCGGAGACGTCAGCAGACGAGAACTTGGACGACGACGCGATATCGTAAGTACGAGGGAATATTTAATTATTCCAGTGCGAGATCTACCCGCCGCGTTACGAGATTCTCTATCTGCTCGGAGTGCTCTGGCACGGACGTCAACACACGCGTTCGCGAGCGCAATACTCCACGCCGACCGTCCTTCGCAGGTGAGTTCGCGTTGGCAGATGCCCACGTCATCGCGCGCGTCGTAGAGCACAACTAGCTCCGCGCGTACTGCTACGTTCGCCCTCTCGCGCAGGCTCCACCATCGCACCACCATCGTCTCCACTCTCCCAGTGCAACTGCGTCCCGCCCCCTCCGTGCTTATCGCAAGCGCGCCCGCACGCCCTCGCAGATAACGTAGCACACCGTCCGTATGCCAGGACCTCTCCTCGAACACCCTCTCGAGCTCTATGCTTCGCAAGGCTCCCACCACGCGCTCCCATTACCCGCAACTACTCCCCGCGCCTTCACGCATCAGCGCGCCGCTGTCTCTGCATGTGTGCCCACCCCGTACATATGTCGTAGCTACTACCAATATATTTCTGCCACTTCTCATCCTCCGAATGCACGCCATACTCTACACCCACCACAGGCGCGTCGAGTGAGCACGACACGTCCGAACACAATCCGAGCGCCCTCAGTCATCAACGGGACGTGCCAGACACGCTCGACCTCCACCGCACAGCCCCCCTCAAAGACCCGCCTGCGTCGACAAAAAATATATTTCATTCAAAACGGTCCTGCGTGGGACGTCAGCGAAGGGCGGGGGACGCACCGATCGCTATGTTACATGTGCGGGCTCGCTGTCTACTGGCTGCGGAAATCGGCCAGAGCGGGGGTTGACGCGGAGCGGATATTTGGTGGGAGGACGGGGCGAGCGTGTGTGCAGATGGGCGAGCATAGAGGATTGTCGGCGTCACTATAGGAAAGACGTACGACGATGGGCTGCATTGGCGTCCAGCGTGCAGGCAATGTTTCTAATGGAATGAGAATGATGTAAATCGGTGAAGAAATGTGAGGGAAGCACGAATTGACTTACTGGTCCTATGCGAACATCGTACCTATCATCGGAGACTCAGGGAGCAATGACCGCGAAGGGAGTGTAGACAGAGGATAGTGGGCGACAGACAGGGAGCGGGAGGGGTGCGCGTCTGACGTCTGCTATGCTAGCGCGGGCGGAGGAGGGGCGGTGATGGTAGGAAGACGCGCGAGCATGGAGGAGGGTTGTCAGCGTCGCCATGGGAAAGCCGTGGAGAACATAGGTCGCGTCGGTCTCCGACGTGCGAGCAATGTTTCTGATGGGAAAACATTGTAAATGAGTGTAGAAACCTGAGGAAAGCATGATTTGACTTACTGGTCGTACGCGAATGTGGTGCTTGTCGTTATATCCTCGTGCCCATATCGACGCGCGCAGGAATTGCCTAGACGGGCAGGTCAGCTGCCAAATTGGGGAATAAATGGTAGCGGGTGAACTTACCGGGAGAGCGGGCGCGGGGGATAGCATCGGGGTAGAGTAAGGGTTAAAAAGTTTAGAATAATGTAAGATCTAAGAGCAATAACGAACGAGCGAACGAGGGCGGGAGTCCGAGCATTTGCGCGGGCCAGCGGGGCGTGGGAAAGCCGTCGCCCAACAAGCGCCAGTTGGACTTAGAGCTTTCGCGCTGCTCCTGCTTGGCTCACCGCCGCGACACCCTTTCACAACGGCGAGGAGGCCTCTCCTCGCCGTTGCTCTCCTTTTCTTTTCGATTCTCTTGCTTGTTTGGGCCGTCTTTTCTGGTTTTTTCCGAGACATGGCGACACCTCCCTCCACCTGGCGCTCCCCCAGGCAGTCGAACGGCACCGTTCGGCGGCACGTTTGCTTTCGGAGGTTGAAGGGCATTTCAGGTGAGTCCAGAAAAAAGCCTTCTGTCCCTATCTCGCGGTGCTAACATTTTGCAGCCACGTCGTTGTCGCGTCAGCCACTGCCGTGCAACAGCGGCGTGCAGCCCCCTCCACGCGGTCGCGGAGGCCCCGCGAAGCCTCGCCACACCCCACCCCACCTCCCTGCACCATTCGTCGACCCTCTTCTTCGCGCGCAGGCCCACCACGATGAACGACGGCGCCCCGGTCGTCACACCAGCCCACACCCTCCGCCTCGCGCTCCCCCAGGCCGTCGAACGCAAACGTTCAGCGGCACGTTTATTTTCGGAGGTCGAAGGGCATGCCAGGTAAGTAAAATAAGCCTTTTGGTCCCCATCCCACTGTGCTAACATTTCGCAGTCTCATTATTGTCGCGCCGGCCAACGCGGTGCAACAGCGGCGCGCTGCCCCCTTCTCGCGGTTGTCTCGGCCCCTCGAAGGCTCACCACACCCCACCCCACCTCCCCGCAGCCTCCCTCGGCCCTCATCGACATGCTTAGGCAGACCACGGCGAACGACTGCGCCGACCTCCCTGCTGGCGTTCTCTAGCGCCCGACGCTGGCCCGCGTCACCTCCGAGCACCGTCAGCCAACCGTCCTCGACTTTCATTTGCCATCTGCGGTGAACGACTGCGCCCCGGACCTGCCCTCGAACATCGAGCACCGGTCGTGTCCACCTCTCTCGCGCCCTGAAACGCAACGCGTTTCAGCACACCTATATCCAGCAGTGCTCGCGCACTAGAGGTAAGTGAAAAAATGTTTTTTCGGTTTTTTCAGTTTTTTCTAACGGTGCTAACGACCTCCACCCCAGTCGACACGCTACATCGATGGGCACGCACATCCGCCGCCCGGCTCCTCTCGAACGCCGCGGTCCCACTCCCCTCGAACGCCCCCGTCCCTTTCCCCTCGAATGCCACGATCTCAGCACAAAGCACCTCGGTCCTCGTCCGCGCGGGTCAGCCACAGACACGGAACGCGCAGCAACAACGGCTCGGGATCGTGCGTCGACGGGCACGCACGTCCGCCGTCCCTGTTCCCTCGAATCCCGCCGTCCCACTCCTCTCGAACCCCCCGGAATCCCACTCCTCTCGAACGGCGCCGTGCGATTCCCCTCGAACAGCGCCGTCCCTTTCCCTTCGAACGCCGCCTTTTACGCACAACTCACCGCAGTTCTCGTCCACGCATCCCACTCTCTCGAACCCCCCGGTCCGACTCCCCTCGAACCCCGCCATCCCATTCCCCTCGAATGCCGCCATCCCAGTCCCCTCGAATGCCGCGATCTCCGCACAACGCACCGCGGTCCTAGTCCGAGCGACCCAGCGAGAACCGCAGAATGCGGAGCAACAGCGCACGCTAGGTCGACGCGCACGCACGTCCGCCGCCCCGCTCCTCTCGACCCCCCCGGTCCCACTCCTCTCCAACTCCCCTCCAACGCCGAGATCTCTGCACAATGCACCTCGGTCCTCGTCCGCGCGACCCAGCCACACACCCGCAACGTGGAGCAACAGCGTGCGGGCACCCTAGGTCAACGGGCACGCACGTCCGCTGTCCAGTCCCTTCGAACCCCGCGGACTCTGCGCAACGCACCGCCGTCCTCGTCCGCGCGACCCAGCCACGCCCAGTCGCCGGCGCCGATAGTGCGTGAGGGCACACAACCACGATGCCCATTCCAACAACGACAGTGATACCTATCTCGACACATATAATCAGACTCCTCACGAGCCCGACACCGGCTTTACAACGATGCACACGTTCCTTCGTCTGCTCCCGCTCATCATCGTGACGCACGCCTTCCAGATCCCCTTCTTCTCCCGTCACCAGGCCTCGCTCTCTCCTGCGCAGGTTACACAACCTGCGGAGCCACGTTACGCTCGTACACATCCACCTTGACGTTAAGCCGGAACTGCTCGCGCGTCTTCACGATCCAGAACGATGCTGAAGACTCGCCCGCGCCCGCTCCAATAACCACGATCTTGTTCGATGTACACCGCGCCCATCGGTGGCGTTCTTTGGGGTCACTCGCCCGCCAATGGAGGTGCTCAAAACGAGCATGGGGGCGGAGCGGGACGTCACGCCCAAGTTCAACTCACTGACGTACCACGAGCGTGTGCGACGGCGCGACGGGGAGGAGGTGCCGGAGGAGTAGGTGGTCAAGATATTCTCGCAGGAGTGCATGGGGGACGCGTGGCTGGAGAGCCTGTTTGGGAGTGTGGGGTGAGTGCGCAGCCACAGCGTGCGGGCATGCTAGGTCGATGGGCACGCAAGTCCGCTGTCCCAGTCCCCTTGAATGCCATTGTGGCTGCACAATGCACCACCGTCCTCGTTCGCATGATGCAAGTGTATACACAGAACATGACCACACGGCGAGCACACACCATTTTCACTCTCTCGCTCGCGCTTCGTATCATGTAGTACTATCCGTAGCACGCAGTAGCCAAAATATATATATATTGCTTCATCCCACCGTTAGGCCACCCGACTTTTCGCCGCCACACCTTTTCACTTTGACCTCGCATAATACCCAAGCACCGTCATCTCAGCGTTAGTTACCTCAGCGTTATCTGAATGTTAGACTGACTGAGCGTTATATGAATGTTATCTGAATGGTAGGCTGATTCAGCGTTATCTGAATGTTATGTGAATGTTATGCTCACTGAACGTTATCTGCATATTATGCTGAATATTAGACTGGACGTGCGTAACCTGTCTGAACGTTAGGCTGACTCATACCAACCTTTGTAAACAGTCTGCAGAGCGTCGTAGGTGACATACAAACGTTCGTGCATGGCATACAAATACTTCTAAGCGGCATACAAAAAATACTTCTAAGCGACATACGAACGCTTATTACGGGCAGCATACAGAGTGCCGTGAATGGCATACGGAGCATAGTAGACCACATACGAAGTGTCGTAAGCGACATACGAATGTTTCCAAGGGTTGGTTAGGTTAGGTTATGAGGCCTCCTAGGCCGGCCGTAGGGTCGCAGAGGGCAGGGGACCCCAACCCTAGGATGGGGGTTCGCTGAGCCGAGGGCTAGGGGTGCATGTCCGCTTTAGGAAGGAGGCCATTGCCGAACCCTATGGACAGTGCCGTAGGGCATGTGCGTCATCATTAGCGCTGGTGAGGGGCCTCTGACCTGCGTGGCCGTCGTGGACGGCCATGCACGGAGAGGCTCCACTGGCTGCATAGGCCAGGTGGCACAGAAGGTAAACCACGCTGGGCACGAGTGGCCGTCCTGGACGGCCGTTCGAGGTGCATGAACTGCCAGTACTGAGTGGAACCTGAGCCAAGGCTAGGGGTATGTGTCTGCTTTGGGAAGGAGGCTGTTGCCGAACACTACGAAAGGTGCTGTTGGCACGTGTACCATCACTAGCGCTGGTGAGTCGCCACTGTCCTGCACGGCCGTCGTGGACAGCCATGCATGGTGGTGGTGGTGTATTACCGACATGGGTCCCAGTTAGGAATGCTAGGCTGCCACTGTAGTAAGCATATGATAAACTAGACCTGTAGTAATGTACTACGCAATCATGATATGTATTATTACAGCGACACATCCATAACCAATGCCACTTCAAAAGCCTCATACTCCTCAACCATAGCTCGCGGCCAAAAGAGGCTCAGATGGCTGTATAGGCCAGGTGGCACAGTCAGCAAAGCACAGCGGCTGTGAGTGGCCGTCCTGGACGGCCATCTGCTATAGTGGCCACCAGGGGGACAGACCACAAGTGGCAGTCCAGGAAGGCCATATACAGCTTGCACAAGAAATGGCCTTCCCGGACGGCCACCTGTGGCACTGACCATGAGTGGCCATCCTGGACGGCCACCTACTGTTGTGGCCACCAGAGGGATAAACCAAGTGGCAGTCCAGGAAGGCCATGCATGGCTTGCACAAAAAATGGCCTTCCTGGACGGCCACCTGTGGTACTGACCATGAGTGGCCATCCTGGATGGCCATCTGCTGTACTGGCCATGAGAGTGACAAAGTACAAGTGGCAGTCCAGGAAGGCTATGAACAGCTTGCACAAGAAATGGCCTTCCCGGACGGCCACCTGCTGCAGTGGCCACCAGAGAGACAGACCACAAGTGGCAGTCCCGGAAGGCCATGCATGGCTTGCACAAAAAATGGCCTTAGGGTTATGAGGCCCCCTAGGACGATCGTAGGGTCGCTGAGGGCGGGGGACCCCAACCCTAGGGTGGGGGTTCCCCGAGCGGACGCTAGGGGTACGCGTCCCCTTTGGGAAGGAGGCCGTTGCCGAACCCTACGGACCGTGCCGTAGGGCACGTGCGCCATCACTAGCGCTGGTGAGGGGCCTCTGACCTGCGCGGCCGTCGCGGACGACCATGCGTGGAAAGGCACAGGTGGCTGCACAGGCGAGGTGGCGCGGGGGGGGCGAACCACGCTGGCCATGAGTGGCCGTCGTAGACGACCGTTCAAGTTGCATGGGGTGCCAGGTCTGAGTTGAACCTGAGGCCAGGAACAGGTGTCCGCTTTGGGAAGGGGACTGTTGCTGCACCCTACCGTAGGGCACGTGCGCCATCACTAGCGCTGGCTGAGGGGCCTTTGACCTGCGCGGCCGTCGCGGACGACCGTGCGCGGAGAGGCACATATGACTGCACAGGCGAGGTGGCGCGGGAGGGGCGAAGCACGCTGGCCATGAGTGGCCGTCGTAGACGACCGTTCAAGTTGCATGGGGTGCCAGGTCTGAGTTGAACCTGAGGCCAGGAACAGGTGTCCGCTTTGGGAAGGGGACTGTTGCTGCACCCTACCGTAGGGCACGTGCGCCATCACTAGCGCTGGCTGAGGGGCCTTTGACCTGCGCGGCCGTCGCGGACGACCGTGCGCGGAGAGGCACATATGACTGCACAGGCGAGGTGGCGCGGGGGGGGCGAAGCACGCTGGCCATGAGTGGCCGTCGTAGACGGCCATTTTCGTTGCAGTGTGCGGAACCTGTCTCACCAAATATGCTTGTGCGCAAAACAAAAAAAGAAAAAACAGGTGAGAGCCAAGAGATGATCAGTGTGTGCGCATATAAGGATGGAGGGACAGAATGCGAGTTTGGATCATATTCCTTCATCCTCAAACATCCACTTGTGAGCCGCCGGGACGCAGTCCCGAGAAGCGGCGAACAAGTGGATGTTCTGCACCGAGGTGAAGGAATATGAGAAGTGTCTTCAGGGATATCGATCGAGATCGGATCTTCTGATCGAGGTGGATAAGCGGATCAGCGACCGGATATGGTGATGGGACGGAGGCATAATAATAATTAGGTCACCCCTCCCACACGAGGCGGGGTAAAGGGAGCCCTCCACGCGTGGCCGTCGGCGACGGCCATGCCTGTACACGCACGTTGCAGCACGCACGCCCCATGGCAGAGCGAGGAGGAGCAGGGGCGGCCGTCCGGGACGACCATCCGTGTACGTACATGCTGCAGCACGTCGACCTCATGGTATGGGAGCTGTACCACACGCGGCCGTCATCGACGGCCAGATGACCTGCCTCGTGGGATCAGATATCGCGAGACGCGTTAGACGAGAAACTGTTTCGACGGTACATAAGATCAGTCGAGTGGGTAGTTTTGGCATTGTTCCAACCCCCTTCGTCGAACAAGTCAGTTTCACTATGCCTACTGTTACACTACCCGGAGCTCTGCTCGATCTGCACGCTGCCGAAAAGGACCTGTGGTCTTGGCCGACTTGGGCGACGCTGGTGTGCACCGATCACCCGCCATGGTCACCGGAAGCCGAGGAAAACCCGCCCGAGGGATGGGACGCGAACATGGTGTTGGCGGTGAGGGCGTTCGTGGAAAAGTATTTTAACACGAAAGCGAAGAACAAGTTCGACTTCATGAAGAGGCAGACGGACGAGTACAGCAAGGGGCGCAACGCCTGGATCCAATGGGTGGCGGATACGTATCGTACGTGCAAGGTGAACGCGAGGGTGGATGAGGTATTGATAGAGGCGAACCGCGACCCGTTGACGGTAATGCGGGCGATGAAGACGAGCACGGTGAGTGTATGGATCGAACTGGCGCGGAAAAGTACTCACATATGCAAAGCTGCCGTCCGCCACCGACGCCGTGTTGTGGGCGTTTTATGAGGTGACGATATACAGAGTGCTCGGGCCGGAAGGGTTGTATGAGAACCGGATGCCGAAGAAGGGACCGAACGAGTTCATCAGCGTGCTGCTGATCCATTGCTGGGAGAGGTGGAGGAAGGTGGTGAAGCGGGACCAGACGGCGATGAAGAAGAAGCGGGCCGAAGTAGACAGGCTGTGGAAAGGTATGTGGCGGACCTGCGGACATAGTTGAGACTGACGCTGCGCAGAGATGTCGGAGAAGACGCCGACGAAGAAGGACCTCCGCTTGTTCCTCGGCCACATCAAGACGCTCATGGCGAAGTTGGAGCGGTACGGCGGCGACGAGGCGCTGGTGGCGGAGTTGGCGGCGCGGAAGGCGACGCTGCAGGCGATGCAGGAGGCGCTGAAGAAAGAACGCGGGGACAAGACCCGCGCCCGCAGTGAGTGCTCCGCCGTGCAGGCACGACAGCAGAACTGACTTGGCATAACAGCACTCCCGCGAGCGATGCTCAAGGCGCTCGACTCATTGTCGACCGCGGCGGAGATCCTCGTTATGCAGAACGAGCTGAAGGAGGTGCTCGCGGCATGCGGGCCCAATGACGACGAAGAGGGCGTCGCGCCCGAGGTGCCAGACGGGCCCGATGTCGAAGTCGAGTGGGAGGACGGCGTCGAAGAATTTAAGACAATGACGAGGGAGGAGCTGCTAGAGGCCCTCGGGATTCCGAAGGAGGGGATCCCCGGATTCAGCAAGAAGCAGTCGAAGGAGGGGCTCGTAGACCCGTGGAGCGAGGAGTTCGACAAGCTGGCGCCGGAGGACCTCGAGGACCTGGAGCCGCGCTGGCACCAACTCGTCGGCATGCTCAAAATGATGTTGAAGATGATCAACGGTGAGCCGGTGTTACTGATGGATTCTGTAGGCGTCGGGAAGACCATGCAAGCGGTCGGTGTCATTGCATTGCGGCAGTGGTACCGCGAATATTACACGCAGCACGGACGGTTCCCCGGGCTTGCAGGTGAGCACTGCACTGTGGCCGTCGGGGACGGCCACGCGCTGACTTGAGCACAGGAAAGCGCCAGATGCGCTCGAACGAGCAGCTCGACGGGAACTTCGACGCGCGACCGTCCCTCATAGCCGTGCCCGCCAATCTCATCCCCCAATGGGAGGCCGAGATCAAGCGGTACCTGCTGAAGCGCGACTTCGACGTCGTGCTGTACCTAAACAAGCTCAAGTCGCGGGAGAACTGGTGGCAGGAAGTGTACGCGAAGTCGCTGCACGATCCCAGCCACAGAATTGTGCTGGCGTCGGTCACGGTGAGTACAATTTTCTGGTCAGTTGGGCTTTCATTTGACGTGGACACAGGCGCTGCAGGACGACGCCAGGGCGACTCTGACGATCAATACGCCGCGGTGGGATGTGCCGGTGCAGCACTTCCGCTTCGCCACCCACGGCGCCTTGACCTTGTTCGCGACGAAATGGGGAGTTTTCATCCTCGACGAAGGGCACGAAATCCGGACGCTCAACTGGACCTACATCGCGGCACGGTTCCTGATGGAGATTAGTGCGATGGGGATCGTGCTGACGGCGACTCCGGTTATGACGCGCCCGACGGTGAGTACTCGAATAGGCAGTACCCGCTCACAGCTGCTGATGACTTTACAGGACCTGTGGAACATGGGCCGTCTCTTGAAGCTCCTGGCCTTCGCAATCGAGAACGACGACAACGCGTTGCTGATGGAGCGAGAGATTCGGGCGGCGGCACGACGGGATCGCAAAGTGCTGAAGGCGTCGGGGGAAGATACCCACATCCTCAACATCGTCCACGGCAAGGGGAAGGCGGCCGCGACGATCAACGAGAGCGAAGAACGGGAGAAGATTGTCCAGTGGATCGAGGTGATCCGCCACGGCTTCCAGGGCGCCGTCATCCGCCGGACGCAGGCGTCGGTCGACAACGAGGGACAACCCATTTCCGGGCTGCCCCCGTATATCCATCTCCCTCTCGTCGTCGATCTGCACCAGTACGAGCTGGACAATCTCGACGACATCGCGAAGCAGATGATCGAGGATGGGGTGGTGGCGAAGCAGGCAAAGTACACGTCGGGGAAGGTGAGCACTATCTTTCTCTTCGCATCGAGTACTGTGCGCGGCCGTCGACGACGGCCGCCCTGTGCACGCCTCCTCCAGCCCGCGGGAAGGCGCCGCTGCTCCAGGCTTGGCAGCTGTGGATTTCCATGCGCGCTGTGGCCGTCGGCGACGGCCGCGCAGGGAGGGAGCGCTCCTTGCGCGAGGTTCCACTTTTGGACTCGGTGCACAGAGTGGCCGTCGGCGACGGCCGCGCAGGATGCCACGCCCTTTTGTGCGGATTGACCAAATTTTTGGTGTTCCATACACGCGCGGCCGTCGATGACGGCCGTGCAAGGCCATCGTGTCACGATGCTAATAAAATTTTCTTTCAGTCGTTCTACCTCAACATCCGCCGTGCGCTCACCCATCCGGGGTGCAACCACGAGTTCGAGTACGAACTCCCCAACACCTTGGAGGACTGGCGCAACAAGCCCTCCAAAAAGCTGGAGACGTTGGTCGAGGTCCTGCAGCACCATCTCGAGACCGACGGCGCTGCACCGCTGGCAGTCACTGGCCCTGGGCTTGGGAACCACCCTGACCACGTGGAGTTTCATCCGGTCGCCGGGAGCCCCGACAAGATCGTCGTATACATCAACTTCCCCAGCCACTTGCCGTTGATTGGGGCGGTGAGTACCTAATCCCCCATTTTCATGTCTTACTCACAGTTCGGCAGGTGTTGGACCTCTACGGCATCAAGTATGTCACGTACGACGGAGACACCACTCTCGCGCAGAGGCAAGTCAGCCTGAAGGAGTTCAAGGCGGCGGATCGAGACGGACCGCGCGTCATGATCATGTCCGGCGTCGGGCTGGCGGGCATGAACATCGCGTGCGCCAACCATCTGATCGTCGTGGTACGTCGTTGCATCGTTCAGATTGCTTATTTAACTAACGGACGCGCACCAGGATACTCTGTGGTCGGCGCAGGAGGACGAGCAGCTTATCGGTAGGGTTCATCGGCCCCCGCAGGCAAAGCCGGTCCTCATCTACAGGATTATTGCGGCGAAGACGCCAGACGTCTTCCTGAACAACATCGCGTTCAACAAGGCGGTGATGCACCAAGGCTTCACCGGGGCGAGTACGGCGATCAGTAAGTGACTTGATTTCAATACGAATTGTGGCTAACCCTCCCGCAGAAAAGGTCTTTGCTGTGGGCAGCGACGACGACGCCGGGTCCGGAGACGATGACTCCGACGAGGACACCGAGGATCCGTCGGAACCCGACGAGGATGGCTCGTCGAAGGCACCCAAGCCGAAGCCCAAGGCACCCAAGCCGAAGCCCAAGGCGCAGCCGAAGCCCAGGGCGCCGCCGAAGACCAAGGTGCCTAAACCCAAGCCTTCGCAAAAGCAGGCGGACGTCAGCGACGCCGACGTCGAGGTGCTGGAGGGTCCGCCCCAAGGGAAGCGCAAGCCACGGAAGAAGGCACAAGCGGCGAAGAGCTCAGCGGTCGTTCCCAGCTCTTCCGAGGAAGAGGACGACGAACCAACTCCTGGCGCTTCCGGAGCCGCCCCTGTCCCCTCGAAGACTCCCAAGGTGACGTACCAGAACAGGCGCAAGGCTGCTCAGCCAACCGCGACTGAGGAGGTGGTCCATGCGGGCACGAAGCGTAAGGACCGCAAGAGCATGGAAGAGGAGGTACCCAAGCCGGCGGCGAAGAGATCGGCTCAGCCGGAGGAAGCGTCCACCACGGAGGCTCCTATGAACGTCGACAATACTCTCATCGCACCGTCTCCTCCGCCTCCCACTTCCCCTTCGTTGAATTCCCTCGAGCTCGGCCACAACGTCAACCTGCCTGAGACCCCGGACCTCTCGCAGCGGGACTCCATTCAGCCGCCTTCCGAACTCAGTAAGTCTCATCGCTCACTTCATTCATTATCTCATTCCTTATAGGTTCGCTGGCGGATGAAGACTCCATCAAAGAATTCGACGAGCCGCCGGCGCCGGCGCCTGAGCCTCCCCGACGCGTCACTCGAGGGAGCACGCGGAGAACCGCAGCCGAAGTCGTGAAGCAGGCTCGCAAAAACGAGCAGCCCACAACCTTCGACCAATTGCCTAAGGATAAAAGGGGCAAGCCGCGTAAAGGCGGGAAGTGAGAAGGGTTGTGCGCGTCTTCGGGTTTCGTCGTCTGCCTTGTCGTCTCCTCTCGTCGCGCCGCATGTATTTTTTGACAACAGCGTTATGAATTTTACGAATAAGATGACTATTATATGCAGTGCCCGGCTGAAATTGAAATACAATTGCACGAACCATAACCAGAATTATTGCTCAAGTTTCTACGACATTCAATCAGCACCCTACCCATCCTTAAAGCATTGCAACGACCTGATACTATATGCTGCTTCGGAAGTAAGAGATTCCCAACTCTTTCCGTAGAAAAATAGTTACATCGCATTTGAGCTACTGCCCACACCAGCTTTGGCCGTCGTGGACGGCCGCGCGTGTCCTGCCAACCAACTGGTCACTGGTCAATGCGTTGGGCCCAGAGGTATGGCCGTCGGGGACGGTCGCGCGTGTCCTGCCAACCAACTGGTCACTGGTCAATGCGTTGGGCCCAGAGGTATGGCCGTCGGGGACGGTCGCGCGTGTCCTGCCAACCAACTGGTCACTAGTCAATGCGTTGGGCCCAGAGGTATGGCCGTCGGGGACGGTCACGCGGGTGCTCAGCTAGCTGTTCCAGCGCGGCGAGGGGGCGCCGCGAAAGGCTACACCACCAGTGGCCGTCGTGGACGGCCACCTGCATCCGCCAGGTGAACGTTCTGTGCCACATGACTCAGCCTCTCAAGCGCCCGGAGCACAGACCCCCCGCGGCCGTCGGCGACGGCCAGTCTCCTCCGGTAGTGCGCAGTAGCCGGAAAAGCCAACATCCGCCGTGCTAAAAGTTTTGATGATCGGCGTCACCATCGCCATGAAACTAGTTTTGCATTCACTAGCCGGAAGCCGCCTGCATATAAACAGGTCGAGGAATGCCCCCATCCCACATCGCCAAAATGCCTCCTTATCCCGACGAGCTGCTCCCGACCTCGCAGAGAACTTTAGATCAATTTGTCAACCGTGCCAAAGCAATCTTGGCAGATGAAGACGATGAATACAGAGTCTGGAACTTTGTAACATTCATGTTGGCTGGTCGAGAACATGTCAACCACTTGGAATGGCGCGTGTTCGTCAATGCTCGCCAGGGCTTTGCTGCCCCCCCATCGGATGAATACACCATTCGTCGAGACTATGATTCCCTGTTGGGTATTTCCCGATCATTACCCTACATATCACAGCTGGCGGTGTTTCCAATCCCCTCATTCAGAGAAACACTCACCACCAGTGTTCACATGGCTGTGAAGATACAGACCACGGAGGTGAGTGGTTTTGGTCGCAGTCCGCACTATGCTAATCCAGATCATAGGGTCAACGTTCCGTCCAGCTACACAAGATCCCTAACATATTATTTGGGAAGCTGGCCAATCGCAGTCAGACCAGATTGTTTTTCCCGCGGCTCTACGTATCTGGTGGTCTAGGACGCGTACCCCAGCCGGCCCTTAAAAACTTATACAATAAGGTCATTCGTCCCACGATCAATGAAATCCTGCCAGCCAATGTCTCTCATTGGCCTGTCAGCTACGAGCAAGCTTTTTCGCAGGCTCAGGATAGGCAAGGACAGCTGCATCACCACTCTGTGGATGTGCCTGGACACTACATTCAGGAGTTTGGAAGGGAGGTTATCCGAAGATGCGATCAGGATCGGGATCTCAAGGGCGCCTTTTTCGTCCATGAATGTCGTGGAACAAAGGATGCCACCGTGCACAATGGAACATTCGAATTTGACCGGGAGGAGTCTTTGAATGATCTTCTCAGAGATTATGACACCGAGAATATGGAGTTAGGCGAGTGGTATGTCGATGTGGCCCTGGAAGTCCATTGTCCTGGCCATGTGTTACAGTGGCTGGAGGATGGTCATCGGAATGTCCTGGAGGAGCTCTTTCCAAACTCATCCGTGGCCAGGATTGATCAAATGGCACGCAGCCGGGCCCTTCAGGTGGATCAAGTCGCGCAGCTCACCGATCTCGCTGGGTTTCGCATGGAATGTCCCACTATGGGCCGGGCAGACAGCATCATTTATGCTCAGATCTACACTACGGACAAATCCCCAACATATCAATTGCATCGAGGCGCTTTCAGTGCCAAGAGTGCTCGGGACCTGTACCCCGCCAAAATTGACCGACTTCGGGCGGATTATACCAAACTTGGCGAGGTGTTTGGCAAATGCAGTGGGTATGGAGAGCATGAAGCCCAGGATGGAAATGTGCGTGCCGAGGTTCGCGTGCGAGCCACCCGCGTTTTGGAAGTCCTGCACACCTTCGAAGATGACTTTATTCAGTCCAATGTCATTGCCTACGATGACAGCACTTGGTGGTAAGCAGGTCCTCTTGCAGTATCAGCAGCATACTGAATTTGCATAGGCAATTTAAATTCTACCGGCTGGCAGCATTGAACTATGTTCTAGGCAGACTCAAAGATTCTCTGCCGGCCCAGAGAATATGGATCCCATCTCTTATGCTTGGTGCAGCAGTCATTTGGATGGCCAATGCCCTAGTATCAAGGCCGGGGGAGTGGAAGATTGACAAGGAACTCAGCGATCAGTGCTCCCAATGGTACGACCCCGAACAGGATTCGGATGATGACGACGATGACGAGCTAGGAGAGAATCTTGAACCGGTGAGGGGAGCACGTGGGGTCTACTTTCTCTCCGACATTCGAGACGATCGGAGCGCTTGGAGACTGCCCGGCACCAGACTCATGGAGCAAGCACAACTCCTCGTACTGTATGGGGCATCGGACATGGCCGAGTTGAGCCGCATCATGGGCGCCGGAGTTGCCGTTCGCAGGATGGAACCCGCAAACAAGAGGCGCATGAACAACCGCACCCAGCACACTTTATCAGTGCAGTACATTCAGCCAGACCCGGATCCCGCACAGCTCCCGGAGTTTAGGCTCAGGACCCGAGGATTTGTCCTACGTCCAGAGATGCGGATGCGAGGCCTCGATGTCTTAGATGGACCTCCGTCAGATGAAGAGTCTGATATTGACAGGGTGGCACAGCGTATATGGCGACAGTTTCCAAATGATTTGATTCAAGTGTCTCCCAATTACAAGAAACGCTCGGACGGCCCTTACACCACTCTCACACGAACCGAACAGGACAATGCCACTGCGGAGGTCTTCCTGTCCTTTGAGATCCCTTTCCGCGAGTTCTATGTCCGCTACGTGTCGCAGGAACATTGGGACACAATTCTGTTTGACCGGTTCTTCCCCCCGAAAGGCTACGTGCCCACTAACAGGGTGCAAAACCAGTCTGGGTGCAAATACTATGCCGAGTATGTCTCTTTCATGAATCGTCTCAATAACGAAGCTGCGCGGGCGGCTCGGCAGGAATTTCGTGTGCTGTTCAATCAGCTTGCGTGGGTACCTAATATGCTATGCGACCGTATTTGGACCACGAAGCCCATGCGAGGACGCGAATATCGGCGCTTTCCTCCGGGTTCCGGGTCTGCTCCTCAGATTGCTCTCAACCCGCACGTGTACCGCGCGAACGTTATTTCCATCAGGGCAGCCAATCCCGACACTGATATAGAAGTCGATTCGAACAGCCCCGCTCGCCGTGACAGCTCATCGGAGGTTAGCGGCGCCGTGAGTGCCCCTGATGCAGCTATTGGACAACACGGGCCACACATCAACCAGCCTTTGGGCGCAATTTTCCACCAATCCCCGCCCCCTGCCCAATTGCCCCCTCCCATGCCATCGCCGCCAGCTGGACCTGACATGGAGGAGGAAGAGTCCCCTTATCAGCTGGATTCGCCGCCAGCTAACAGGTTGGAGGAGGAAGAGTCCTCTCCCGTAAGGCAAAATCAGAGACCACGCACTCCTGATTCACCTTCCCCTTATCGTCGTGCTCGCTCTCGTAATGGAATCGTTCCCGGTTCTCGCAATTGATAATGGAGGGCTATTGCGCGAACAGTTGCCCAAAGCTAGGTAACATTAACTACATCCCATTATGTACTTAGTCATCCGCTACTCCCCACTCCGATCAAATAGACACCCAACTTATGCAATTAAATAGACAACCCTTTGTGTTTATAAGTGAATACTTCTCCATGACACTGGCCGGTCAGAGCCCTGAGCGGCCGTCGCAGACGGCCACCTGTGGAGTGCCATCTGCAATCAGCAGGTGACGAAGAACAGACATACCAGCTGGATCACGGATGGTATTCCTGCGTCAGAGCTGCATCTGCGCGGGGGAACAGCAACGGCCGTCGTCGACGGCCACTACTGTTCCTGCGTTTCGAGCATGCTACCGCGAGTGAGTTTATAATAGGCCAGCGTGCTGCGCACTAAACGGCCGTCGCGGACGGCCACCGGTGGAGTGCCACCTGCAATCAGCAGTTGATGAAGAACAGACAGCTCTGACGCAGGATATGGCAGTCCAGGATTGCAACCCGTGGTCCAGTGGCTTATGCTTGCGCTAAGGAACAGCAACGGCCGTCGTCGACGGCCACTACTGTTCCTGCATTTCGAGCATACCACCGGGAGCGAGTTTAGAATAGGCCAGCGTGCTGCGCACTAAACGGCCGTCGCGGACGGCCACCGGTGGAGTGCCACCTGCAATCAGCAGTTGATGAAGAACAGACAGCTCTGACGCAGGATATGGCAGTCCAGGATTGCAACCCGTGGTCCAGTGGCTTATGCTTGCGCTAAGGAACAGCAACGGCCGTCGTCGACGGCCACTACTGTTCCTGCATTTCGAGCATACCACCGGGAGCGAGTTTAGAATAGGCCAGCGTGCTGCGCACTAAACGGCCGTCGCGGACGGCCACCGGTGGAGTGCCACCTGCAATCAGCAGTTGATGAAGAACAGACAGCTCTGACGCAGGATATGGCAGTCCAGGATTGCAACCCGTGGTCCAGTGGCTTATGCTTGCGCTGAGGAACAGCAACGGCCGTCGTCGACGGCCACTACTGTTCCTGCATTTCGAGCATACCACCGGGAGCGAGTTTAGAATAGGCCAGCGTGCTGCGCACTAAACGGCCGTCGCGGACGGCCACCGGTGGAGTGCCACCTGCAATCAGTGGTCGCATGAGCGCAGCCATATGCAGAAATGGATATAGCCGTCCCGGACGGCCGCCAGCAGTCTGACCACCTTTGTTCTGTCCATCATGCAACCATCTGTGTTGGGCCATTAGTGATAAACTAAAGTGGCCGCCCGAGACGGCTGGCATAGTGGTTGCACTGTGACTGTCCAGAAACTAATCTGACTAGAATAAGATGGAATTTTAACCTCAAAAAACAGATTTATTACAGATTCTTCAGTGGTGCTATATACTTGAGCTATTAACCAGGCTCTAAATCTGAGTAAAGTTCTTGGAGCAAATTTATACTTTCAGTTACATTCATCAATGATTATTTTTAGCTCAATTAAAAAAAATAATCGAATGGTTTTTTTAGCCTATAGTGCTCACATTTACGATTGGCCATAGTAGTTACTCAAGTGATTGTTATTCAAGCACACAACAGCTCAAAGCAGGCTCACGGACTTAAGATCAGTCTAGTTCATTAAGGAAGTCATGATTTCTATGATGCTATCTTCTAAGAGGTCAATAAAGACCTTAGTTAGAACCATATTATGCGCTAGATTCATTATCACAGACCTATTGAGTCTAGATAAGTTGATTACACCTGGAGGTATTACAAGATTGAAAATTAAGTTATAGGCATTCAGCTTCAAACATTGAAGTGTGTCTTATTAAGAACACTAGGTTTCCTAGAAAGATTTGAGAGGAAGTTAGATAGTAAGAGCATTGAGCATGAATGCTAATCCTCATGATCTTGTTGAGTCTCCAGCAATTGTTCACAACTTATACAGCGATAGACTGATTAGTAATCCTAAGAAGGTGATGAAATTTCTCTATTCACATTTCAGTCTGCTCAAACACTCTGTCCTTTTCATCAAGAGTTGGGATATCACTTTTAAGATTAACGAGTTCTTGAAGGAGTATCATATTGCTGTGCCTAAGTCTGCTGAAACATTCATTGTTCTAGGTATGTCAATATTAAATGGAGGTTGCGTAAGCAACTCTAATTAATACTTAAGACTTTTACCATGTTTTGAATATAGATAAAATACATTTTAGGTGCTTGTAAGATCTAAAACATGTCAATAAAGACTTACATTCTAAAATTATCTTGAGTGACATTCTGATTTGTACAGTCGTTTAATTGCATTAAAGAGTTATAAAGTATGGCAATAGATCCACAGAAACTCTGCCAAAGTGACTTTGAATATTCAAAACGCATGTTGTGGTTTCCTAGTTTGCAAGAATGCTTAAAATATTGAACTCAATCAATATTACATTACAGCCGTTGTCCGTTCTAAACTATCTGAATATTTAGATGTTATTATCAGGATTATGCAACAAAGAAACTATTGTTATCTGAATTCATTGTCTCATAGTTTGTCAATAATTATTATTGTTACAGTTGAAATTGACATAATAGTCAGCTTGTCACAGTCATTGGCACATGTAATTTCAGTGTTGTTATCCTCACAGTTACCAGGGTTTCAGTCGCGCATTTGAATTTCATTATCATTATTGATACATGACTATTATAATAAGTATAGTGGTTATTATTATGAGTATGATAGGGTTCAACTGTTACATAATTGGTTATAACAAGTATAGTGGTTATTATTGTGAGCAACGTAGTGTTCAACTGTACCATCATCATTATACGTTATAATAGTGCTAGCATATAGTACACTATGAATAGCTTGTGTGACTACTGTTAAAAAGCATTATGTAAATACGTGATATCAAAATTACAAGTAAGAACAGCAGTAATCACTATTACTGTTTTTATTAGTTGCATAAGAGCAATAGTCAGTTATGAGGCCTCCTAGGACGACCGTAGGGTCGCTGAGGGCGGGCAACCCCAACCCTAGGGTGGGGGTTTCCCGAGCGGATGCTAGGGGTACGCATCCCCTTTGGGAAGGAGGCCGTTGCCGAACCCTACGAAAGGTGCTGCAGGCACGTGCACCATCACTAGCGCTGGTGAGTCGCCGCTGTCCTGCACGGCCGTCGTGGACGGCCATGCGTGGAAAGGCACAGGTGGCTGCACAGGTGAGGTGGCACGGGGGGGGACAAAGCACGCTGGCCATGAGTGGCCGTCGTAGACGACTGTTCGAGTTGCATGGGGTGCCAGGTCTAAGTTGAACTTGAGCCAAGGCTAGGTACGTGTCTGCTTTGGGAAGGAGGCTGTTGCCGAACACTACGAAAGGTGCTGCAGGCACGTGCACCATCACTAGCGCCGGTGAGTCGCCGCTGTCCTGCACGGCCGTCGTGGACGGCCATGCATGGTGGTGGTGGTGTATTACCGACATGGGTCTCAGTTAGGAATGCTAGGCTGCCACTGTAGTAAGCATATGATAAACTAGACCTGTAGTAATGTACTACGCAATCATGATATGTATTATTACAGCGACACATCCATAACCAATGCCACTTCAAAAGCCTCATACTCCTCAACCATAGCTCGCGGCCAAAAGAGGCTCAGATGGCTGCATAGGCCAGGTGGCACAGTCAGCAAAGCACAGCAGCCGTGAGTGGCCGTCCTGGACGGCCATCTGCTGTAGTGGCCACCAGGGGGACAGACCACAAGTGGCAGTCCAGGAAGGCCATGTACAGCTTGCACAAGAAATGGCCTTCCCGGACGGCCACCTGTGGCACTGACCATGAGTGGCCATCCTGGACGGCCACCTACTGTTGTGGCCACCAGAGGGATAAACCAAGTGGCAGTCCAGGAAGGCCATGCATGGCTTGCACAAAAAATGGCCTTCCTGGACGGCCACCTGTGGTACTGACCATGAGTGGCCGTCGCGGACGGCCATCTGCTGTACTGGCCATGAGAGTGACAAACCACAAGTGGCAGTCCAGGAAGGCTATGAACAGCTTGCACAAGAAATGGCCTTCCCGGACGGCCACCTGTGGTACTGACCATGAGTGGCCATCGCGGACGGCCATCTGCTGTACTGGCCATGAGAGTGACAAACCACAAGTGGCAGTCCAGGAAGGCTATGAACAGCTTGCACAAGAAATGGCCTTCCCGGACGGCCACCTGTGGTACTGACCATGAGTGGCCGTCGCGGACGGCCATCTGCTGTACTGGCCATGAGAGTGACAAACCACAAGTGGCAGTCCAGGAAGGCTATGAACAGCTTGCACAAGAAATGGCCTTCCTCGACGGCCACCTGTGGTACTGACCATGAGTGGCCGTCGCGGACGGCCATCTGCTGTACTGGCCATGAGAGTGACAAACCACAAGTGGCAGTCCAGGAAGGCTATGAACAGCTTGCACAAGAAATGGCCTTCCCGGACGGCCACCTGCTGCAGTGGCCACCAGAGAGACAGACCACAAGTGGCAGTCCAGGAAGGCCATGCGTGGCTTGCACAAAAAATGGCCTTCCTCGACGGCCACCTGGGGTACTGACCATGAGTGGCCGTCGCGGACGGCCATCTGCTGTAGTGGCCATGAGAGTGACAAACCATAAGTGGCAGTCCAGGCAGGCCATGTACAGCTTGCACAAGAAATGGCCTTCCCGGACGGCCACCTGCTGCAGTGGCCACCAGAGAGACAGACCACAAGTGGCAGTCCAGGAAGGCCATGCATGGCTTGCACAAAAAATGGCCTTCCTCGACGGCCACCTGTGGTACTGACCATGAGTGGCCGTCGCGGACGGCCATCTGCTGTAGTGGCCATGAGAGTGACAAACCACAAGTGGCAGTCCAGGCAGGCCATGTACAGCTTGTACAAGAAATGGCCTTCCCGGACGGCCACCTGCTGTAGTGGCCACCAGAGGGACAAACCACAAGTGGCAGTCCAGGAAGGCCACGAACAGCTTGCACAAGAAATGGCCGACCCGGACAACCTCCTGTAGGCTGTGGTACTGACTATAAGTGATCATCTTGGATGGCCACTTGCTGTAATGGCCTTTAGAGGGATGGACAATAAGTGGTAGTAAAGGAAGGCCATATATAACACACATAATAAATGGTCATCTCGGACTGCCACAAAGGGTACCGACAAACTTATGTGGCCGTCCTGGACGGCCATCTGCCGTGAGAAGCCCTGTGTGCCTGTGTCGTAGCCCACATACGAACGTTTATAGACCACATACCGACGTTTGTAGTCCACATACGAAGCGTCGTAGGCGACATACAAACATTCGTAGACAGCATACAAATATTTCTAAGCGACATACGAATATTTCTAAGCGGCATACGAATATTTCTAAGCGGCATACAAAAAAGGCTTCTAAGCGACATACCGACGGTTACCACAGGCAGCATACAGAGTACGATAAACGACGTACGGAGCATAGTAGACCACATACAGAGTGTCGTAAGCGACATACGGACGTTTCTAAGCGGCATACAAATACTTCTAAGCGGCAAAGGAACGTTTCTAAGCGACATACAAATATTCACGAGAGACGCACTAGACGACGTTATTTCGAGTATCCGTTAGAGGTTTAAATTAGAGTCACACCACGTTAGAGGTATTAGTGTTTCGGTTGTAGTTTCGATTATAGTCAGCTTAGATGAGGATTAGAATCAGGTTTAGTATTTCGGTTAGCGGTTCGGTGAGGAACGTTATCTTTTCGTGTAGATCTATTATGTCACGCATCTATCACGCGTTTATAAAAAATAGACCGTCGTATTTAGTAGGCCGCATACAGAGTACTGTAGACCGCATACAGAGTACCATAGACCACTATAGACCGCATACAGAACGCTACGGACCGCGTACAGAATGCTATAGACCGCATACAGAGTGCTACTGACCGCTATAGATCGCATACAGAGTGTCGTAGCCCACATACGAACGTTTATAGACCACATACCGACGTTTGTAGTCCACATACGAAGCGTCGTAGGCGACATACAAACATTCGTAGACAGCATACAAATATTTCTAAGCGACATACGAATATTTCTAAGCGGCATACGAATATTTCTAAGCGGCATACAAAAAAGGCTTCTAAGCGACATACCGACGGTTACCACAGGCAGCATACAGAGTACGATAAACGACGTACGGAGCATAGTAGACCACATACAGAGTGTCGTAAGCGACATACGGACGTTTCTAAGCGGCATACAAATACTTCTAAGCGGCAAAGGAACGTTTCTAAGCGACATACAAATATTCACGAGAGACGCACTAGACGACGTTATTTCGAGTATCCGTTAGAGGTTTAAATTAGAGTCACACCACGTTAGAGGTATTAGTGTTTCGGTTGTAGTTTCGATTATAGTCAGCTTAGATGAGGATTAGAATCAGGTTTAGTATTTCGGTTAGCGGTTCGGTGAGGAACGTTATCTTTTCGTGTAGATCTATTATGTCACGCATCTATCACGCGTTTATAAAAAATAGACCGTCGTATTTAGTAGGCCGCATACAGAGTACTGTAGACCGCATACAGAGTACCATAGACCACTATAGACCGCATACAGAACGCTACGGACCGCGTACAGAATGCTATAGACCGCATACAGAGTGCTACTGACCGCTATAGATCGCATACAGAGTGTCGTAGCCCACATACGAACGTTTATAGACCACATACCGACGTTTGTAGTCCACATACGAAGCGTCGTAGGCGACATACAAACATTCGTAGACAGCATACAAATATTTCTAAGCGACATACGAATATTTCTAAGCGGCATACGAATATTTCTAAGCGGCATACAAAAAAGGCTTCTAAGCGACATACCGACGGTTACCACAGGCAGCATACAGAGTACGATAAACGACGTACGGAGCATAGTAGACCACATACAGAGTGTCGTAAGCGACATACGGACGTTTCTAAGCGGCATACAAATACTTCTAAGCGGCAAAGGAACGTTTCTAAGCGACATACAAATATTCACGAGAGACGCACTAGACGACGTTATTTCGAGTATCCGTTAGAGGTTTAAATTAGAGTCACACCACGTTAGAGGTATTAGTGTTTCGGTTGTAGTTTCGATTATAGTCAGCTTAGATGAGGATTAGAATCAGGTTTAGTATTTCGGTTAGCGGTTCGGTGAGGAACGTTATCTTTTCGTGTAGATCTATTATGTCACGCATCTATCACGCGTTTATAAAAAATAGACCGTCGTATTTAGTAGGCCGCATACAGAGTACTGTAGACCGCATACAGAGTACCATAGACCACTATAGACCGCATACAGAACGCTACGGACCGCGTACAGAATGCTATAGACCGCATACAGAGTGCTACTGACCGCTATAGATCGCATACAGAGTGTCGTAGCCCACATACGAACGTTTATAGACCACATACCGACGTTTGTAGTCCACATACGAAGCGTCGTAGGCGACATACAAACATTCGTAGACAGCATACAAATATTTCTAAGCGACATACGAATATTTCTAAGCGGCATACGAATATTTCTAAGCGGCATACAAAAAAGGCTTCTAAGCGACATACCGACGGTTACCACAGGCAGCATACAGAGTACGATAAACGACGTACGGAGCATAGTAGACCACATACAGAGTGTCGTAAGCGACATACGGACGTTTCTAAGCGGCATACAAATACTTCTAAGCGGCAAAGGAACGTTTCTAAGCGACATACAAATATTCACGAGAGACGCACTAGACGACGTTATTTCGAGTATCCGTTAGAGGTTTAAATTAGAGTCACACCACGTTAGAGGTATTAGTGTTTCGGTTGTAGTTTCGATTATAGTCAGCTTAGATGAGGATTAGAATCAGGTTTAGTATTTCGGTTAGCGGTTCGGTGAGGAACGTTATCTTTTCGTGTAGATCTATTATGTCACGCATCTATCACGCGTTTATAAAAAATAGACCGTCGTATTTAGTAGGCCGCATACAGAGTACTGTAGACCGCATACAGAGTACCATAGACCACTATAGACCGCATACAGAACGCTACGGACCGCGTACAGAATGCTATAGACCGCATACAGAGTGCTACTGACCGCTATAGATCGCATACAGAGTGTCGTAGCCCACATACGAACGTTTATAGACCACATACCGACGTTTGTAGTCCACATACGAAGCGTCGTAGGCGACATACAAACATTCGTAGACAGCATACAAATATTTCTAAGCGACATACGAATATTTCTAAGCGGCATACGAATATTTCTAAGCGGCATACAAAAAAGGCTTCTAAGCGACATACCGACGGTTACCACAGGCAGCATACAGAGTACGATAAACGACGTACGGAGCATAGTAGACCACATACAGAGTGTCGTAAGCGACATACGGACGTTTCTAAGCGGCATACAAATACTTCTAAGCGGCAAAGGAACGTTTCTAAGCGACATACAAATATTCACGAGAGACGCACTAGACGACGTTATTTCGAGTATCCGTTAGAGGTTTAAATTAGAGTCACACCACGTTAGAGGTATTAGTGTTTCGGTTGTAGTTTCGATTATAGTCAGCTTAGATGAGGATTAGAATCAGGTTTAGTATTTCGGTTAGCGGTTCGGTGAGGAACGTTATCTTTTCGTGTAGATCTATTATGTCACGCATCTATCACGCGTTTATAAAAAATAGACCGTCGTATTTAGTAGGCCGCATACAGAGTACTGTAGACCGCATACAGAGTACCATAGACCACTATAGACCGCATACAGAACGCTACGGACCGCGTACAGAATGCTATAGACCGCATACAGAGTGCTACTGACCGCTATAGATCGCATACAGAGTGTCGTAGCCCACATACGAACGTTTATAGACCACATACCGACGTTTGTAGTCCACATACGAAGCGTCGTAGGCGACATACAAACATTCGTAGACAGCATACAAATATTTCTAAGCGACATACGAATATTTCTAAGCGGCATACGAATATTTCTAAGCGGCATACAAAAAAGGCTTCTAAGCGACATACCGACGGTTACCACAGGCAGCATACAGAGTACGATAAACGACGTACGGAGCATAGTAGACCACATACAGAGTGTCGTAAGCGACATACGGACGTTTCTAAGCGGCATACAAATACTTCTAAGCGGCAAAGGAACGTTTCTAAGCGACATACAAATATTCACGAGAGACGCACTAGACGACGTTATTTCGAGTATCCGTTAGAGGTTTAAATTAGAGTCACACCACGTTAGAGGTATTAGTGTTTCGGTTGTAGTTTCGATTATAGTCAGCTTAGATGAGGATTAGAATCAGGTTTAGTATTTCGGTTAGCGGTTCGGTGAGGAACGTTATCTTTTCGTGTAGATCTATTATGTCACGCATCTATCACGCGTTTATAAAAAATAGACCGTCGTATTTAGTAGGCCGCATACAGAGTACTGTAGACCGCATACAGAGTACCATAGACCACTATAGACCGCATACAGAACGCTACGGACCGCGTACAGAATGCTATAGACCGCATACAGAGTGCTACTGACCGCTATAGATCGCATACAGAGTGTCGTAGCCCACATACGAACGTTTATAGACCACATACCGACGTTTGTAGTCCACATACGAAGCGTCGTAGGCGACATACAAACATTCGTAGACAGCATACAAATATTTCTAAGCGACATACGAATATTTCTAAGCGGCATACGAATATTTCTAAGCGGCATACAAAAAAGGCTTCTAAGCGACATACCGACGGTTACCACAGGCAGCATACAGAGTACGATAAACGACGTACGGAGCATAGTAGACCACATACAGAGTGTCGTAAGCGACATACGGACGTTTCTAAGCGGCATACAAATACTTCTAAGCGGCAAAGGAACGTTTCTAAGCGACATACAAATATTCACGAGAGACGCACTAGACGACGTTATTTCGAGTATCCGTTAGAGGTTTAAATTAGAGTCACACCACGTTAGAGGTATTAGTGTTTCGGTTGTAGTTTCGATTATAGTCAGCTTAGATGAGGATTAGAATCAGGTTTAGTATTTCGGTTAGCGGTTCGGTGAGGAACGTTATCTTTTCGTGTAGATCTATTATGTCACGCATCTATCACGCGTTTATAAAAAATAGACCGTCGTATTTAGTAGGCCGCATACAGAGTACTGTAGACCGCATACAGAGTACCATAGACCACTATAGACCGCATACAGAACGCTACGGACCGCGTACAGAATGCTATAGACCGCATACAGAGTGCTACTGACCGCTATAGATCGCATACAGAGTGTCGTAGCCCACATACGAACGTTTATAGACCACATACCGACGTTTGTAGTCCACATACGAAGCGTCGTAGGCGACATACAAACATTCGTAGACAGCATACAAATATTTCTAAGCGACATACGAATATTTCTAAGCGGCATACGAATATTTCTAAGCGGCATACAAAAAAGGCTTCTAAGCGACATACCGACGGTTACCACAGGCAGCATACAGAGTACGATAAACGACGTACGGAGCATAGTAGACCACATACAGAGTGTCGTAAGCGACATACGGACGTTTCTAAGCGGCATACAAATACTTCTAAGCGGCAAAGGAACGTTTCTAAGCGACATACAAATATTCACGAGAGACGCACTAGACGACGTTATTTCGAGTATCCGTTAGAGGTTTAAATTAGAGTCACACCACGTTAGAGGTATTAGTGTTTCGGTTGTAGTTTCGATTATAGTCAGCTTAGATGAGGATTAGAATCAGGTTTAGTATTTCGGTTAGCGGTTCGGTGAGGAACGTTATCTTTTCGTGTAGATCTATTATGTCACGCATCTATCACGCGTTTATAAAAAATAGACCGTCGTATTTAGTAGGCCGCATACAGAGTACTGTAGACCGCATACAGAGTACCATAGACCACTATAGACCGCATACAGAACGCTACGGACCGCGTACAGAATGCTATAGACCGCATACAGAGTGCTACTGACCGCTATAGATCGCATACAGAGTGTCGTAGCCCACATACGAACGTTTATAGACCACATACCGACGTTTGTAGTCCACATACGAAGCGTCGTAGGCGACATACAAACATTCGTAGACAGCATACAAATATTTCTAAGCGACATACGAATATTTCTAAGCGGCATACGAATATTTCTAAGCGGCATACAAAAAAGGCTTCTAAGCGACATACCGACGGTTACCACAGGCAGCATACAGAGTACGATAAACGACGTACGGAGCATAGTAGACCACATACAGAGTGTCGTAAGCGACATACGGACGTTTCTAAGCGGCATACAAATACTTCTAAGCGGCAAAGGAACGTTTCTAAGCGACATACAAATATTCACGAGAGACGCACTAGACGACGTTATTTCGAGTATCCGTTAGAGGTTTAAATTAGAGTCACACCACGTTAGAGGTATTAGTGTTTCGGTTGTAGTTTCGATTATAGTCAGCTTAGATGAGGATTAGAATCAGGTTTAGTATTTCGGTTAGCGGTTCGGTGAGGAACGTTATCTTTTCGTGTAGATCTATTATGTCACGCATCTATCACGCGTTTATAAAAAATAGACCGTCGTATTTAGTAGGCCGCATACAGAGTACTGTAGACCGCATACAGAGTACCATAGACCACTATAGACCGCATACAGAACGCTACGGACCGCGTACAGAATGCTATAGACCGCATACAGAGTGCTACTGACCGCTATAGATCGCATACAGAGTGTCGTAGCCCACATACGAACGTTTATAGACCACATACCGACGTTTGTAGTCCACATACGAAGCGTCGTAGGCGACATACAAACATTCGTAGACAGCATACAAATATTTCTAAGCGACATACGAATATTTCTAAGCGGCATACGAATATTTCTAAGCGGCATACAAAAAAGGCTTCTAAGCGACATACCGACGGTTACCACAGGCAGCATACAGAGTACGATAAACGACGTACGGAGCATAGTAGACCACATACAGAGTGTCGTAAGCGACATACGGACGTTTCTAAGCGGCATACAAATACTTCTAAGCGGCAAAGGAACGTTTCTAAGCGACATACAAATATTCACGAGAGACGCACTAGACGACGTTATTTCGAGTATCCGTTAGAGGTTTAAATTAGAGTCACACCACGTTAGAGGTATTAGTGTTTCGGTTGTAGTTTCGATTATAGTCAGCTTAGATGAGGATTAGAATCAGGTTTAGTATTTCGGTTAGCGGTTCGGTGAGGAACGTTATCTTTTCGTGTAGATCTATTATGTCACGCATCTATCACGCGTTTATAAAAAATAGACCGTCGTATTTAGTAGGCCGCATACAGAGTACTGTAGACCGCATACAGAGTACCATAGACCACTATAGACCGCATACAGAACGCTACGGACCGCGTACAGAATGCTATAGACCGCATACAGAGTGCTACTGACCGCTATAGATCGCATACAGAGTGTCGTAGCCCACATACGAACGTTTATAGACCACATACCGACGTTTGTAGTCCACATACGAAGCGTCGTAGGCGACATACAAACATTCGTAGACAGCATACAAATATTTCTAAGCGACATACGAATATTTCTAAGCGGCATACGAATATTTCTAAGCGGCATACAAAAAAGGCTTCTAAGCGACATACCGACGGTTACCACAGGCAGCATACAGAGTACGATAAACGACGTACGGAGCATAGTAGACCACATACAGAGTGTCGTAAGCGACATACGGACGTTTCTAAGCGGCATACAAATACTTCTAAGCGGCAAAGGAACGTTTCTAAGCGACATACAAATATTCACGAGAGACGCACTAGACGACGTTATTTCGAGTATCCGTTAGAGGTTTAAATTAGAGTCACACCACGTTAGAGGTATTAGTGTTTCGGTTGTAGTTTCGATTATAGTCAGCTTAGATGAGGATTAGAATCAGGTTTAGTATTTCGGTTAGCGGTTCGGTGAGGAACGTTATCTTTTCGTGTAGATCTATTATGTCACGCATCTATCACGCGTTTATAAAAAATAGACCGTCGTATTTAGTAGGCCGCATACAGAGTACTGTAGACCGCATACAGAGTACCATAGACCACTATAGACCGCATACAGAACGCTACGGACCGCGTACAGAATGCTATAGACCGCATACAGAGTGCTACTGACCGCTATAGATCGCATACAGAGTGTCGTAGCCCACATACGAACGTTTATAGACCACATACCGACGTTTGTAGTCCACATACGAAGCGTCGTAGGCGACATACAAACATTCGTAGACAGCATACAAATATTTCTAAGCGACATACGAATATTTCTAAGCGGCATACGAATATTTCTAAGCGGCATACAAAAAAGGCTTCTAAGCGACATACCGACGGTTACCACAGGCAGCATACAGAGTACGATAAACGACGTACGGAGCATAGTAGACCACATACAGAGTGTCGTAAGCGACATACGGACGTTTCTAAGCGGCATACAAATACTTCTAAGCGGCAAAGGAACGTTTCTAAGCGACATACAAATATTCACGAGAGACGCACTAGACGACGTTATTTCGAGTATCCGTTAGAGGTTTAAATTAGAGTCACACCACGTTAGAGGTATTAGTGTTTCGGTTGTAGTTTCGATTATAGTCAGCTTAGATGAGGATTAGAATCAGGTTTAGTATTTCGGTTAGCGGTTCGGTGAGGAACGTTATCTTTTCGTGTAGATCTATTATGTCACGCATCTATCACGCGTTTATAAAAAATAGACCGTCGTATTTAGTAGGCCGCATACAGAGTACTGTAGACCGCATACAGAGTACCATAGACCACTATAGACCGCATACAGAACGCTACGGACCGCGTACAGAATGCTATAGACCGCATACAGAGTGCTACTGACCGCTATAGATCGCATACAGAGTGTCGTAGCCCACATACGAACGTTTATAGACCACATACCGACGTTTGTAGTCCACATACGAAGCGTCGTAGGCGACATACAAACATTCGTAGACAGCATACAAATATTTCTAAGCGACATACGAATATTTCTAAGCGGCATACGAATATTTCTAAGCGGCATACAAAAAAGGCTTCTAAGCGACATACCGACGGTTACCACAGGCAGCATACAGAGTACGATAAACGACGTACGGAGCATAGTAGACCACATACAGAGTGTCGTAAGCGACATACGGACGTTTCTAAGCGGCATACAAATACTTCTAAGCGGCAAAGGAACGTTTCTAAGCGACATACAAATATTCACGAGAGACGCACTAGACGACGTTATTTCGAGTATCCGTTAGAGGTTTAAATTAGAGTCACACCACGTTAGAGGTATTAGTGTTTCGGTTGTAGTTTCGATTATAGTCAGCTTAGATGAGGATTAGAATCAGGTTTAGTATTTCGGTTAGCGGTTCGGTGAGGAACGTTATCTTTTCGTGTAGATCTATTATGTCACGCATCTATCACGCGTTTATAAAAAATAGACCGTCGTATTTAGTAGGCCGCATACAGAGTACTGTAGACCGCATACAGAGTACCATAGACCACTATAGACCGCATACAGAACGCTACGGACCGCGTACAGAATGCTATAGACCGCATACAGAGTGCTACTGACCGCTATAGATCGCATACAGAGTGTCGTAGCCCACATACGAACGTTTATAGACCACATACCGACGTTTGTAGTCCACATACGAAGCGTCGTAGGCGACATACAAACATTCGTAGACAGCATACAAATATTTCTAAGCGACATACGAATATTTCTAAGCGGCATACGAATATTTCTAAGCGGCATACAAAAAAGGCTTCTAAGCGACATACCGACGGTTACCACAGGCAGCATACAGAGTACGATAAACGACGTACGGAGCATAGTAGACCACATACAGAGTGTCGTAAGCGACATACGGACGTTTCTAAGCGGCATACAAATACTTCTAAGCGGCAAAGGAACGTTTCTAAGCGACATACAAATATTCACGAGAGACGCACTAGACGACGTTATTTCGAGTATCCGTTAGAGGTTTAAATTAGAGTCACACCACGTTAGAGGTATTAGTGTTTCGGTTGTAGTTTCGATTATAGTCAGCTTAGATGAGGATTAGAATCAGGTTTAGTATTTCGGTTAGCGGTTCGGTGAGGAACGTTATCTTTTCGTGTAGATCTATTATGTCACGCATCTATCACGCGTTTATAAAAAATAGACCGTCGTATTTAGTAGGCCGCATACAGAGTACTGTAGACCGCATACAGAGTACCATAGACCACTATAGACCGCATACAGAACGCTACGGACCGCGTACAGAATGCTATAGACCGCATACAGAGTGCTACTGACCGCTATAGATCGCATACAGAGTGTCGTAGCCCACATACGAACGTTTATAGACCACATACCGACGTTTGTAGTCCACATACGAAGCGTCGTAGGCGACATACAAACATTCGTAGACAGCATACAAATATTTCTAAGCGACATACGAATATTTCTAAGCGGCATACGAATATTTCTAAGCGGCATACAAAAAAGGCTTCTAAGCGACATACCGACGGTTACCACAGGCAGCATACAGAGTACGATAAACGACGTACGGAGCATAGTAGACCACATACAGAGTGTCGTAAGCGACATACGGACGTTTCTAAGCGGCATACAAATACTTCTAAGCGGCAAAGGAACGTTTCTAAGCGACATACAAATATTCACGAGAGACGCACTAGACGACGTTATTTCGAGTATCCGTTAGAGGTTTAAATTAGAGTCACACCACGTTAGAGGTATTAGTGTTTCGGTTGTAGTTTCGATTATAGTCAGCTTAGATGAGGATTAGAATCAGGTTTAGTATTTCGGTTAGCGGTTCGGTGAGGAACGTTATCTTTTCGTGTAGATCTATTATGTCACGCATCTATCACGCGTTTATAAAAAATAGACCGTCGTATTTAGTAGGCCGCATACAGAGTACTGTAGACCGCATACAGAGTACCATAGACCACTATAGACCGCATACAGAACGCTACGGACCGCGTACAGAATGCTATAGACCGCATACAGAGTGCTACTGACCGCTATAGATCGCATACAGAGTGTCGTAGCCCACATACGAACGTTTATAGACCACATACCGACGTTTGTAGTCCACATACGAAGCGTCGTAGGCGACATACAAACATTCGTAGACAGCATACAAATATTTCTAAGCGACATACGAATATTTCTAAGCGGCATACGAATATTTCTAAGCGGCATACAAAAAAGGCTTCTAAGCGACATACCGACGGTTACCACAGGCAGCATACAGAGTACGATAAACGACGTACGGAGCATAGTAGACCACATACAGAGTGTCGTAAGCGACATACGGACGTTTCTAAGCGGCATACAAATACTTCTAAGCGGCAAAGGAACGTTTCTAAGCGACATACAAATATTCACGAGAGACGCACTAGACGACGTTATTTCGAGTATCCGTTAGAGGTTTAAATTAGAGTCACACCACGTTAGAGGTATTAGTGTTTCGGTTGTAGTTTCGATTATAGTCAGCTTAGATGAGGATTAGAATCAGGTTTAGTATTTCGGTTAGCGGTTCGGTGAGGAACGTTATCTTTTCGTGTAGATCTATTATGTCACGCATCTATCACGCGTTTATAAAAAATAGACCGTCGTATTTAGTAGGCCGCATACAGAGTACTGTAGACCGCATACAGAGTACCATAGACCACTATAGACCGCATACAGAACGCTACGGACCGCGTACAGAATGCTATAGACCGCATACAGAGTGCTACTGACCGCTATAGATCGCATACAGAGTGTCGTAGCCCACATACGAACGTTTATAGACCACATACCGACGTTTGTAGTCCACATACGAAGCGTCGTAGGCGACATACAAACATTCGTAGACAGCATACAAATATTTCTAAGCGACATACGAATATTTCTAAGCGGCATACGAATATTTCTAAGCGGCATACAAAAAAGGCTTCTAAGCGACATACCGACGGTTACCACAGGCAGCATACAGAGTACGATAAACGACGTACGGAGCATAGTAGACCACATACAGAGTGTCGTAAGCGACATACGGACGTTTCTAAGCGGCATACAAATACTTCTAAGCGGCAAAGGAACGTTTCTAAGCGACATACAAATATTCACGAGAGACGCACTAGACGACGTTATTTCGAGTATCCGTTAGAGGTTTAAATTAGAGTCACACCACGTTAGAGGTATTAGTGTTTCGGTTGTAGTTTCGATTATAGTCAGCTTAGATGAGGATTAGAATCAGGTTTAGTATTTCGGTTAGCGGTTCGGTGAGGAACGTTATCTTTTCGTGTAGATCTATTATGTCACGCATCTATCACGCGTTTATAAAAAATAGACCGTCGTATTTAGTAGGCCGCATACAGAGTACTGTAGACCGCATACAGAGTACCATAGACCACTATAGACCGCATACAGAACGCTACGGACCGCGTACAGAATGCTATAGACCGCATACAGAGTGCTACTGACCGCTATAGATCGCATACAGAGTGTCGTAGCCCACATACGAACGTTTATAGACCACATACCGACGTTTGTAGTCCACATACGAAGCGTCGTAGGCGACATACAAACATTCGTAGACAGCATACAAATATTTCTAAGCGACATACGAATATTTCTAAGCGGCATACGAATATTTCTAAGCGGCATACAAAAAAGGCTTCTAAGCGACATACCGACGGTTACCACAGGCAGCATACAGAGTACGATAAACGACGTACGGAGCATAGTAGACCACATACAGAGTGTCGTAAGCGACATACGGACGTTTCTAAGCGGCATACAAATACTTCTAAGCGGCAAAGGAACGTTTCTAAGCGACATACAAATATTCACGAGAGACGCACTAGACGACGTTATTTCGAGTATCCGTTAGAGGTTTAAATTAGAGTCACACCACGTTAGAGGTATTAGTGTTTCGGTTGTAGTTTCGATTATAGTCAGCTTAGATGAGGATTAGAATCAGGTTTAGTATTTCGGTTAGCGGTTCGGTGAGGAACGTTATCTTTTCGTGTAGATCTATTATGTCACGCATCTATCACGCGTTTATAAAAAATAGACCGTCGTATTTAGTAGGCCGCATACAGAGTACTGTAGACCGCATACAGAGTACCATAGACCACTATAGACCGCATACAGAACGCTACGGACCGCGTACAGAATGCTATAGACCGCATACAGAGTGCTACTGACCGCTATAGATCGCATACAGAGTGTCGTAGCCCACATACGAACGTTTATAGACCACATACCGACGTTTGTAGTCCACATACGAAGCGTCGTAGGCGACATACAAACATTCGTAGACAGCATACAAATATTTCTAAGCGACATACGAATATTTCTAAGCGGCATACGAATATTTCTAAGCGGCATACAAAAAAGGCTTCTAAGCGACATACCGACGGTTACCACAGGCAGCATACAGAGTACGATAAACGACGTACGGAGCATAGTAGACCACATACAGAGTGTCGTAAGCGACATACGGACGTTTCTAAGCGGCATACAAATACTTCTAAGCGGCAAAGGAACGTTTCTAAGCGACATACAAATATTCACGAGAGACGCACTAGACGACGTTATTTCGAGTATCCGTTAGAGGTTTAAATTAGAGTCACACCACGTTAGAGGTATTAGTGTTTCGGTTGTAGTTTCGATTATAGTCAGCTTAGATGAGGATTAGAATCAGGTTTAGTATTTCGGTTAGCGGTTCGGTGAGGAACGTTATCTTTTCGTGTAGATCTATTATGTCACGCATCTATCACGCGTTTATAAAAAATAGACCGTCGTATTTAGTAGGCCGCATACAGAGTACTGTAGACCGCATACAGAGTACCATAGACCACTATAGACCGCATACAGAACGCTACGGACCGCGTACAGAATGCTATAGACCGCATACAGAGTGCTACTGACCGCTATAGATCGCATACAGAGTGTCGTAGCCCACATACGAACGTTTATAGACCACATACCGACGTTTGTAGTCCACATACGAAGCGTCGTAGGCGACATACAAACATTCGTAGACAGCATACAAATATTTCTAAGCGACATACGAATATTTCTAAGCGGCATACGAATATTTCTAAGCGGCATACAAAAAAGGCTTCTAAGCGACATACCGACGGTTACCACAGGCAGCATACAGAGTACGATAAACGACGTACGGAGCATAGTAGACCACATACAGAGTGTCGTAAGCGACATACGGACGTTTCTAAGCGGCATACAAATACTTCTAAGCGGCAAAGGAACGTTTCTAAGCGACATACAAATATTCACGAGAGACGCACTAGACGACGTTATTTCGAGTATCCGTTAGAGGTTTAAATTAGAGTCACACCACGTTAGAGGTATTAGTGTTTCGGTTGTAGTTTCGATTATAGTCAGCTTAGATGAGGATTAGAATCAGGTTTAGTATTTCGGTTAGCGGTTCGGTGAGGAACGTTATCTTTTCGTGTAGATCTATTATGTCACGCATCTATCACGCGTTTATAAAAAATAGACCGTCGTATTTAGTAGGCCGCATACAGAGTACTGTAGACCGCATACAGAGTACCATAGACCACTATAGACCGCATACAGAACGCTACGGACCGCGTACAGAATGCTATAGACCGCATACAGAGTGCTACTGACCGCTATAGATCGCATACAGAGTGTCGTAGCCCACATACGAACGTTTATAGACCACATACCGACGTTTGTAGTCCACATACGAAGCGTCGTAGGCGACATACAAACATTCGTAGACAGCATACAAATATTTCTAAGCGACATACGAATATTTCTAAGCGGCATACGAATATTTCTAAGCGGCATACAAAAAAGGCTTCTAAGCGACATACCGACGGTTACCACAGGCAGCATACAGAGTACGATAAACGACGTACGGAGCATAGTAGACCACATACAGAGTGTCGTAAGCGACATACGGACGTTTCTAAGCGGCATACAAATACTTCTAAGCGGCAAAGGAACGTTTCTAAGCGACATACAAATATTCACGAGAGACGCACTAGACGACGTTATTTCGAGTATCCGTTAGAGGTTTAAATTAGAGTCACACCACGTTAGAGGTATTAGTGTTTCGGTTGTAGTTTCGATTATAGTCAGCTTAGATGAGGATTAGAATCAGGTTTAGTATTTCGGTTAGCGGTTCGGTGAGGAACGTTATCTTTTCGTGTAGATCTATTATGTCACGCATCTATCACGCGTTTATAAAAAATAGACCGTCGTATTTAGTAGGCCGCATACAGAGTACTGTAGACCGCATACAGAGTACCATAGACCACTATAGACCGCATACAGAACGCTACGGACCGCGTACAGAATGCTATAGACCGCATACAGAGTGCTACTGACCGCTATAGATCGCATACAGAGTGTCGTAGCCCACATACGAACGTTTATAGACCACATACCGACGTTTGTAGTCCACATACGAAGCGTCGTAGGCGACATACAAACATTCGTAGACAGCATACAAATATTTCTAAGCGACATACGAATATTTCTAAGCGGCATACGAATATTTCTAAGCGGCATACAAAAAAGGCTTCTAAGCGACATACCGACGGTTACCACAGGCAGCATACAGAGTACGATAAACGACGTACGGAGCATAGTAGACCACATACAGAGTGTCGTAAGCGACATACGGACGTTTCTAAGCGGCATACAAATACTTCTAAGCGGCAAAGGAACGTTTCTAAGCGACATACAAATATTCACGAGAGACGCACTAGACGACGTTATTTCGAGTATCCGTTAGAGGTTTAAATTAGAGTCACACCACGTTAGAGGTATTAGTGTTTCGGTTGTAGTTTCGATTATAGTCAGCTTAGATGAGGATTAGAATCAGGTTTAGTATTTCGGTTAGCGGTTCGGTGAGGAACGTTATCTTTTCGTGTAGATCTATTATGTCACGCATCTATCACGCGTTTATAAAAAATAGACCGTCGTATTTAGTAGGCCGCATACAGAGTACTGTAGACCGCATACAGAGTACCATAGACCACTATAGACCGCATACAGAACGCTACGGACCGCGTACAGAATGCTATAGACCGCATACAGAGTGCTACTGACCGCTATAGATCGCATACAGAGTGTCGTAGCCCACATACGAACGTTTATAGACCACATACCGACGTTTGTAGTCCACATACGAAGCGTCGTAGGCGACATACAAACATTCGTAGACAGCATACAAATATTTCTAAGCGACATACGAATATTTCTAAGCGGCATACGAATATTTCTAAGCGGCATACAAAAAAGGCTTCTAAGCGACATACCGACGGTTACCACAGGCAGCATACAGAGTACGATAAACGACGTACGGAGCATAGTAGACCACATACAGAGTGTCGTAAGCGACATACGGACGTTTCTAAGCGGCATACAAATACTTCTAAGCGGCAAAGGAACGTTTCTAAGCGACATACAAATATTCACGAGAGACGCACTAGACGACGTTATTTCGAGTATCCGTTAGAGGTTTAAATTAGAGTCACACCACGTTAGAGGTATTAGTGTTTCGGTTGTAGTTTCGATTATAGTCAGCTTAGATGAGGATTAGAATCAGGTTTAGTATTTCGGTTAGCGGTTCGGTGAGGAACGTTATCTTTTCGTGTAGATCTATTATGTCACGCATCTATCACGCGTTTATAAAAAATAGACCGTCGTATTTAGTAGGCCGCATACAGAGTACTGTAGACCGCATACAGAGTACCATAGACCACTATAGACCGCATACAGAACGCTACGGACCGCGTACAGAATGCTATAGACCGCATACAGAGTGCTACTGACCGCTATAGATCGCATACAGAGTGTCGTAGCCCACATACGAACGTTTATAGACCACATACCGACGTTTGTAGTCCACATACGAAGCGTCGTAGGCGACATACAAACATTCGTAGACAGCATACAAATATTTCTAAGCGACATACGAATATTTCTAAGCGGCATACGAATATTTCTAAGCGGCATACAAAAAAGGCTTCTAAGCGACATACCGACGGTTACCACAGGCAGCATACAGAGTACGATAAACGACGTACGGAGCATAGTAGACCACATACAGAGTGTCGTAAGCGACATACGGACGTTTCTAAGCGGCATACAAATACTTCTAAGCGGCAAAGGAACGTTTCTAAGCGACATACAAATATTCACGAGAGACGCACTAGACGACGTTATTTCGAGTATCCGTTAGAGGTTTAAATTAGAGTCACACCACGTTAGAGGTATTAGTGTTTCGGTTGTAGTTTCGATTATAGTCAGCTTAGATGAGGATTAGAATCAGGTTTAGTATTTCGGTTAGCGGTTCGGTGAGGAACGTTATCTTTTCGTGTAGATCTATTATGTCACGCATCTATCACGCGTTTATAAAAAATAGACCGTCGTATTTAGTAGGCCGCATACAGAGTACTGTAGACCGCATACAGAGTACCATAGACCACTATAGACCGCATACAGAACGCTACGGACCGCGTACAGAATGCTATAGACCGCATACAGAGTGCTACTGACCGCTATAGATCGCATACAGAGTGTCGTAGCCCACATACGAACGTTTATAGACCACATACCGACGTTTGTAGTCCACATACGAAGCGTCGTAGGCGACATACAAACATTCGTAGACAGCATACAAATATTTCTAAGCGACATACGAATATTTCTAAGCGGCATACGAATATTTCTAAGCGGCATACAAAAAAGGCTTCTAAGCGACATACCGACGGTTACCACAGGCAGCATACAGAGTACGATAAACGACGTACGGAGCATAGTAGACCACATACAGAGTGTCGTAAGCGACATACGGACGTTTCTAAGCGGCATACAAATACTTCTAAGCGGCAAAGGAACGTTTCTAAGCGACATACAAATATTCACGAGAGACGCACTAGACGACGTTATTTCGAGTATCCGTTAGAGGTTTAAATTAGAGTCACACCACGTTAGAGGTATTAGTGTTTCGGTTGTAGTTTCGATTATAGTCAGCTTAGATGAGGATTAGAATCAGGTTTAGTATTTCGGTTAGCGGTTCGGTGAGGAACGTTATCTTTTCGTGTAGATCTATTATGTCACGCATCTATCACGCGTTTATAAAAAATAGACCGTCGTATTTAGTAGGCCGCATACAGAGTACTGTAGACCGCATACAGAGTACCATAGACCACTATAGACCGCATACAGAACGCTACGGACCGCGTACAGAATGCTATAGACCGCATACAGAGTGCTACTGACCGCTATAGATCGCATACAGAGTGTCGTAGCCCACATACGAACGTTTATAGACCACATACCGACGTTTGTAGTCCACATACGAAGCGTCGTAGGCGACATACAAACATTCGTAGACAGCATACAAATATTTCTAAGCGACATACGAATATTTCTAAGCGGCATACGAATATTTCTAAGCGGCATACAAAAAAGGCTTCTAAGCGACATACCGACGGTTACCACAGGCAGCATACAGAGTACGATAAACGACGTACGGAGCATAGTAGACCACATACAGAGTGTCGTAAGCGACATACGGACGTTTCTAAGCGGCATACAAATACTTCTAAGCGGCAAAGGAACGTTTCTAAGCGACATACAAATATTCACGAGAGACGCACTAGACGACGTTATTTCGAGTATCCGTTAGAGGTTTAAATTAGAGTCACACCACGTTAGAGGTATTAGTGTTTCGGTTGTAGTTTCGATTATAGTCAGCTTAGATGAGGATTAGAATCAGGTTTAGTATTTCGGTTAGCGGTTCGGTGAGGAACGTTATCTTTTCGTGTAGATCTATTATGTCACGCATCTATCACGCGTTTATAAAAAATAGACCGTCGTATTTAGTAGGCCGCATACAGAGTACTGTAGACCGCATACAGAGTACCATAGACCACTATAGACCGCATACAGAACGCTACGGACCGCGTACAGAATGCTATAGACCGCATACAGAGTGCTACTGACCGCTATAGATCGCATACAGAGTGTCGTAGCCCACATACGAACGTTTATAGACCACATACCGACGTTTGTAGTCCACATACGAAGCGTCGTAGGCGACATACAAACATTCGTAGACAGCATACAAATATTTCTAAGCGACATACGAATATTTCTAAGCGGCATACGAATATTTCTAAGCGGCATACAAAAAAGGCTTCTAAGCGACATACCGACGGTTACCACAGGCAGCATACAGAGTACGATAAACGACGTACGGAGCATAGTAGACCACATACAGAGTGTCGTAAGCGACATACGGACGTTTCTAAGCGGCATACAAATACTTCTAAGCGGCAAAGGAACGTTTCTAAGCGACATACAAATATTCACGAGAGACGCACTAGACGACGTTATTTCGAGTATCCGTTAGAGGTTTAAATTAGAGTCACACCACGTTAGAGGTATTAGTGTTTCGGTTGTAGTTTCGATTATAGTCAGCTTAGATGAGGATTAGAATCAGGTTTAGTATTTCGGTTAGCGGTTCGGTGAGGAACGTTATCTTTTCGTGTAGATCTATTATGTCACGCATCTATCACGCGTTTATAAAAAATAGACCGTCGTATTTAGTAGGCCGCATACAGAGTACTGTAGACCGCATACAGAGTACCATAGACCACTATAGACCGCATACAGAACGCTACGGACCGCGTACAGAATGCTATAGACCGCATACAGAGTGCTACTGACCGCTATAGATCGCATACAGAGTGTCGTAGCCCACATACGAACGTTTATAGACCACATACCGACGTTTGTAGTCCACATACGAAGCGTCGTAGGCGACATACAAACATTCGTAGACAGCATACAAATATTTCTAAGCGACATACGAATATTTCTAAGCGGCATACGAATATTTCTAAGCGGCATACAAAAAAGGCTTCTAAGCGACATACCGACGGTTACCACAGGCAGCATACAGAGTACGATAAACGACGTACGGAGCATAGTAGACCACATACAGAGTGTCGTAAGCGACATACGGACGTTTCTAAGCGGCATACAAATACTTCTAAGCGGCAAAGGAACGTTTCTAAGCGACATACAAATATTCACGAGAGACGCACTAGACGACGTTATTTCGAGTATCCGTTAGAGGTTTAAATTAGAGTCACACCACGTTAGAGGTATTAGTGTTTTCGGTTTGTAGTTTCGATTATAGTCAGCTTAGATGAGGATTAGAATCAGGTTTAGTATTTCGGTTAGCGGTTCGGTGAGGAACGTTATCTTTTCGTGTAGATCTATTATGTCACGCATCTATCACGCGTTTATAAAAAATAGACCGTCGTATTTAGTAGGCCGCATACAGAGTACTGTAGACCGCATACAGAGTGCTACTGACCGCTATAGATCGCATACAGAGTGTCGTAGCCCACATACGAACGTTTATAGACCACATACCGACGTTTGTAGTCCACATACGAAGCGTCGTAGGCGACATACAAACATTCGTAGACAGCATACAAATATTTCTAAGCGACATACGAATATTTCTAAGCGGCATACGAATATTTCTAAGCGGCATACAAAAAAGGCTTCTAAGCGACATACCGACGGTTACCACAGGCAGCATACAGAGTACGATAAACGACGTACGGAGCATAGTAGACCACATACAGAGTGTCGTAAGCGACATACGGACGTTTCTAAGCGGCATACAAATACTTCTAAGCGGCAAAGGAACGTTTCTAAGCGACATACAAATATTCACGAGAGACGCACTAGACGACGTTATTTCGAGTATCCGTTAGAGGTTTAAATTAGAGTCACACCACGTTAGAGGTATTAGTGTTTCGGTTGTAGTTTCGATTATAGTCAGCTTAGATGAGGATTAGAATCAGGTTTAGTATTTCGGTTAGCGGTTCGGTGAGGAACGTTATCTTTTCGTGTAGATCTATTATGTCACGCATCTATCACGCGTTTATAAAAAATAGACCGTCGTATTTAGTAGGCCGCATACAGAGTACTGTAGACCGCATACAGAGTACCATAGACCACTATAGACCGCATACAGAACGCTACGGACCGCGTACAGAATGCTATAGACCGCATACAGAGTGCTACTGACCGCTATAGATCGCATACAGAGTGTCGTAGCCCACATACGAACGTTTATAGACCACATACCGACGTTTGTAGTCCACATACGAAGCGTCGTAGGCGACATACAAACATTCGTAGACAGCATACAAATATTTCTAAGCGACATACGAATATTTCTAAGCGGCATACGAATATTTCTAAGCGGCATACAAAAAAGGCTTCTAAGCGACATACCGACGGTTACCACAGGCAGCATACAGAGTACGATAAACGACGTACGGAGCATAGTAGACCACATACAGAGTGTCGTAAGCGACATACGGACGTTTCTAAGCGGCATACAAATACTTCTAAGCGGCAAAGGAACGTTTCTAAGCGACATACAAATATTCACGAGAGACGCACTAGACGACGTTATTTCGAGTATCCGTTAGAGGTTTAAATTAGAGTCACACCACGTTAGAGGTATTAGTGTTTCGGTTGTAGTTTCGATTATAGTCAGCTTAGATGAGGATTAGAATCAGGTTTAGTATTTCGGTTAGCGGTTCGGTGAG